GCCATCATGCAGTTTTTTACATTATTTGCCATTGTAAGTGATGGTAGGATTTTATCCGACCAGAACGAATCCAAACTCTTGAGTTTCAAAGTTTTGCATAACAATGTGAATGCATTGAAGCATTTGTCATGATTCGATTTTTAAGCGTATCAGTAATTAGATTGACATAAAGATGAAACCACATCGAAATGGATGGCAATTCACATTATTGTTTGAATTTTGAATTTGTTCAAACACCTTTGATCCGATTAAATGTAAATAATGGAGTCACACATTTGTATCGCACGCATTTGCCAACTGTGCCAGAAGAATACGATTGAATCGCTTCGAATATAAGCTTTTCCAGCTTTTCTAGCATTCACGAAAAAAAATTTCTTTACCACCATCATATCATCATGCCACACACTATTCCATTGCATTAATTTGATGACAGATAAATGGTGCGAATGATATTTATTTGGTAATTTAAAATAAGTTTTAACGTAAAACAAAATGTCAGACACGCTTGCAATGCACATACACACATGTGATATACATTTATGGCTTGCAAGTTCAATCAATATTATGAATGAAGCATGTAATGCTCACCTCTCATCATTCATCTCATCTTTGTTGGCATTCGTATTTTTATGCCAAATGTATTTTAGCGCCTGCGATATGTAGAATTGAAAAAAAAAAAACAAAGAAAAAAGAACGGAAAAACAATTCAACAGAATATAACTCCCGTCTGCATAATGTTCAGGTTTCAATACCTATAGTCGTGACATTGAAAGGTATGCAAATCGAATCAAGGTATTGAGCATTTATGATTATTTATTCAAGTGATTCTAATAACAATCATAAAACATTATCGATGATTATTTCTCTGTGTATCTCATTTTCTTGATTGTAAACAATTGAGTTTTATTACATTCTAAGTGCTTTATTCGACTTACAAAATCGTAATTGACAACCGTTATACAATCGTAATTATATATTCATGTGCCGTTAACGCATCGATTACTTTGTTAGTTGCTGCTGGATGTGTAAATACAATAATTCGACAGTATTGACAACAGCATGATTGATACAAGCCGGTTGAGCAAGTTTAGCAAAATAGTATGATTCGTTCGTAGTATTTGTTACCATCCTTGTTGTTTTGATGAATGGTAACAGTTCAATGGCCGAGAAAATTGATAAAAATAAAACATGGGGTTTGGTTAATGTTCGATCGTTGATAATTATTAATCCATCCACAATATAGTGTTCACAAAATCAATTTGGCTATAGTATATCGGTATTTGTTGTTATCATTTGTTTTAGCGACCATTATGAATGAAAATTTGAATTGATTTGATTTGATCAGAAAAATTATAAAAGCAATTATTATCGATGCTTCAAAATGGTAATGTCGTTTAATTTTAAAATATATATAGAACATTGTGTGGTTGAAAAAAGACGAATGTTATGCTTATGAATAACGAAAACGACCATTCCACATCTTATCGACGTTTGCCGGATTCAACGCCGTCGCCAATACTTCGTCGCACCAAATCGGTACGAGCATCATTCAGAATGCTCGGCTCAAGATGGAAGTCATCCAGTAACAGTGGCAATTCAAAAATTGATGCCACCACCGGACCACCACAAAAGAATATAAATGCTACAACAAAAGATGCAGTTTCCGAGCGATTTGGCAAGGATTTTAATCGAAATGTAAAACAACCAATGACCGACCAAAGCGATCGATTATCATCGATGCCACCACCATCATCTTCGACAACAACAACAACGACAACAACATCATCTTCATCGTTGCCACAATCCATTTTATCCATAAAAACAAAAACAAAATTATTTCACGCATTTGCCAAAGAGAATGTCAACGAACGACACATCCAATATGAAATACCGAAAAATGTTGCACCCAAAGCGGCCGCATTGCTTCAAATACCGATGTTACCACATCGACAACAGCCAATGAATGGCAATTACGTTGAATCGAATAGCCAATATTCACATCAACGTGAACGCCATCAACAGCAGGATCTGAAAAAGAAACATGATCTTATCAAAATGGATGGAAAATTCAATGTACGTTTGGATAGTAATTCATGCGATTTGATTACGAACAGCAATCAATTTGCAATGTTGAAATCTCTTTCGGAAAACAGCACCACACAAAATACGCACGATATGTTCAAAGCGGCTACAATTCGTCGGGCTCCATATTGGCCCAACAATCCACCAATGAAATATAGTAAGAATTTGGAATTGTTTTCTCTCTCTCTCTATCCCCGAACCGTTGAATTATTATTATTGACTGCGGATGAGCCGAAAGCGTGAAACAAGTCATGCGAAAATCACCGAAACACGAATCATGGCACTTCCATTTTCAATATCGTCACTTTTTATATTCACCGTGATCTTTATGCATTTCGCATTGTGTTTAGGGATTTATTTATATTTTTCCTCTTGCGACGCTATTACATTTGATTTGAACGTATTTTTGAATAGAAAAAAAATATGTAATCATAGATTTATCAAATACCGGAAATTGTGTTTCATTTTTATGTGAGAAATACTGTCGATTTCCGTCGAACGAAAAACTAAATTCAACAAAGTATTCTTGTTTGCGCATCTAAAGTATTTACCAAACAAATGTTTATGTGTATTCAGTTTAATTCAGGAATCATCATCATATTGTGCCAATAAGTTGTGCACATATTTTAATATTATCAAATATTCATATCAATTAGCAGTTTTGCTACTGTTGGTTTTCGCATCGTTGAATATTCTTGAATTTAAAATCTCCTGATAAATCACATCGATATTTGTATTAAATAATAACCGTCGATACAGCATCCGATGTTGTTATTGTTGAATCGATGATTGGAAATCTCATTCTGAACACAACAAATATTTTAGCTTGATGAAAGCTCATTTGGTATGCAAGTTTTCCATTTCCGGTGCGAATCGTAAACAAAAGCACACAACTTTTCTATACTAATATTGCACGCGTGTACTAAATATTGCCTATTGGGATTTTGCACTGCCATTAATTCGTAATTCATTAGTTTCGCTTTTTTTTTGTTGATTTGTCGAGTTTTATAAATCAGAATTCGTTCTTTTTTAAATGGTTTTAATTTTGCTTTTAGTCTATATTTGTACAAATGAATTTTGATTTTAATTTTTTTTTTTGTTTTTATATTTTTCTTTCCATTTTATTCTCGTTCATTTTTATGATTTGCCCGTTGGCCATTTTAAATGGTAATATTAGAATCAGCAATATTACCTGAAACGGAGCGTGTAAATAAAATTCGCGCTTCGACAATAGCCCCAGGGCAATTAATAACGAATCCATCGTCGAAAAAACCATCGTCATCATTGTCTATGACGAATGTATTTTATGCGAATGGAAAGACGCATGGCCATTCAAAGCATCAGCAACCACAGCAATATCGTATCGCTAGCAATGGTCAACAACATAATCATCAGTTGAACGAGTTGTTTATACAACAAAGGCAACCAATTCAAAAACATTCACTCGAAATTGAACGAAAAAATATGGAGTTTTTAATACCGCGTCCACCAAATACAGCTGCCACATGTCAATCGCAAGCCACCCTCTCAAATATCATCGCACCACGGTTCACACTAAATGACATTAAAAGTCATCTAAGCGATAACTTTAAAATTATTCAATCGACGGCAGCACCTCCACAAAAAATGACAAAAAAACAACTAAAATTGGCTCAGGCGCAATTAGATAAATTAACACAAATTAATATTCATTTACAGGGTATGTTAAATTTGCTTTTTATTTCCATACAAAACATTCGATATGGTGTATTTAAATTTTTAAAGCGTCAACACACACACACACACATACACTTTATATTATTGTTTTGTTTGCTGTCAAATGATAGGCTTGTTTTTCAAAATAGTAATGCATATGCAAAATTCAAAATCATGATAAAACAATTGAAATAAACTCAACATTTGCTTTTCCTATCAAATCATTTTGAATCGATTTCAATTTAAATTTCACTTGTTCTCGCATAGTTGTTTTTATGCCTCGCATCGTTCCATTTTAAACGATCCGACAACAAATTAAGAGGACCATCGTAAAATAAATGAAATGGCACCATACCAAATTAATAATGAACGGTTTGTTTTTTTTTTTCTCCCTCTCGATTCTTTGTTTTCTTAGCTCTATTTTCGGCCGTTGAAAATGGTCATTTGGAAAAAGCGAGAACAATCCTCGAATCAACTGATGTAGACATAAACAGGCAAGAAAATTAAATGAATAACCTTTGAAAATCGAACGAATCCAATTAATATGGGATATAAACATTTCAATTTTCTTTGATAATAACAGTTTGAACAGTGATGGATTGTCGCCCTTGGATGTAGCCGTACTCAGCAATAATCGATCGCTCACAAAGATGCTATTGCAACACGGTGCCACCGAAGGAAATAAATGTAAGTATTTTTAATGATGTTTTTTTTAATCCCCATTTCCAGCCAATTCGAATTAATTTTTTTTATCTTTTCTTCGCCTCACGTGTTCAAACCATTACGATGTTTTCGTTTTTGCTTTGTTTCAGTTAAATCGACCGATTCGTTGGGTAACCATTTGAACAATTTGCTGCGAGAAGCTGAAAATCGCATTCAAGAATTGAGTGGCATTGAAGATGCTCCGCAAGCTCCATTTAGCACGCGAGCTTCATTTTCCAGTATTATCGGTAAGTCCCCCTTCCACCTTTCGCCTCTCATCTTTTTCCTCTTATGATTATTATTACATCACATCAACTTTGCAAGGATATTTCAATTCGCCAGTTTCATGTATATGCATTCCATTCAACCTAATTTAACTTTTAAACTTAACTCCACTAATAATAATATGCGCGCTATTTGCTTGTAGTAAAATTGGCAAAGGCTTCGTAATATTTCTTAACGTTTGCTATTGTTCTATCGATCGTGTGGCTGGTTGAATTGATAATACATTAGAAAACTTGACATTTGGCGATGGTCTGCCTTGTAAAGATCTTAAGAAAATTATGAAAAGAAAATCTTTCAATGCCACATGCTAGAAGATCTCATCGTCTCCTTTTTCATTCAATCGATACAATTTCGCTGGCCTTTTGACCTTTTTTCTGACGAGAAAATTTCAAAAGTTAAGGAATTCTACAACGACAGCAAATACTGTGTGTTTCAAGTAAAACAAGCATCAAGGCTCTAATTACAAGAGGAAATCAATTAAATTTGTTCTAATTATTATTTTTTCTGTGTTTAACTCACTTTCTTCTTTGTTTGAAGAGAATGTTTCATAATAATAACACGAACGAATTGCACGAATCCATATGATGACACATACGTGTTTTCAAGTTGTGAACTGTTCGCTTATTAATATCTGAAGCATTTGGACGTTTTCAATTCAATTGATGTTATCACATTTACTGTTCACATTCTTCGTTCATGGAATGATAATATGAGAATGCGCAATTAACACAATGGTCACAATTTACGTTTGTATTGAAACTGTAATGAGTTGGACAATTTATTGTGTATTTTGTTCCATCATCATCATCATATGGATAAAAATTATTCCATTTATTTCTACGAATTGAAACACTGTTAAATTTATGCACATTTATTGGTATATAATTAAACTGAGTTTATCATGAATTATTCAAGGGGCTTATGACATATGTGAATCGCAAGAGTCACATGTAAATTATACTTAAGAGTCTGTGATTTGCGAGTGTCCTGATGATTTTCGAGTCAGTAAAAAGTCTCAATGACAGGTTTTAAGCGAATGTCAAATCATAAAAATTTGTTGAAATTTGTTAAAAATTGTTATTCAGAACATTACATTGAAATAGTAAATAAATATTTTATTTTTTTATTATTATTTTTTAATAAAAATGTGATTTGTCTCATATTTAAGTGTTCAATTACCAAATATTGTTCATCCAATTTTGCGAGGAATGGGATTTGGATGCCGAACTAGTTTATCTCTTATTAAAACAGAAAGTGTCGCTGAAATTGAAGAAAATGTAATCGAAAATCGTGAAATTTAAGCATTGTCGTGAATCAAACATCGAACAGAAAATGAATTTGTCACAATTTCCGTATTTATTAAAATGCTTCATGGAAATCGCCCAATCGCATGTTAATTTGAGTGCAAATGCCAGAATCTTTATGTATATGATGAGTGAAAAGTATTTTTATAAGACATTTACTTCTAATTTTCCGATCCCAAAACCAAGCGCATTTTTTAAATTATTAAACAGAAAGACATTTGAACAATATGGACATTTTTAGGAGAATTAATATGATTCCTTTGGATGCTAGAAAAATTATATGTCTTCGATTAAACGTTGATGATATTTGAAATTGACATTAATGATTGACTCGTGACTCGCTCTACGGCCATATATTTTGTGTGCTTTGTGTATGAAGTGACTCGCTTTAGCGGTTTGTATGAAATTTTCAAGAGTCAGCACTGACTCGAGTCATTCATAAGCCCCTTGGAATTATTCTATGAAATTCTATATATTTTTTTTTTACATGAATGAACCATTTGAATTGATACTATCAATTTGATAGTGCCCCTTTCCTCAACAATGTGGCCTAATGTAGTTTTCGAATCTTCTCGAATGTGTTTTCGTTGTATCAAATCGAAACATGTAGCATACCGAAAGAAAAGCAAACATGCACATAAACTCGAGTTTCAGCAAATTTCCGACTTAATGACTTTCTGTTGGGAAACATGATGAATAAGTGAAAAACAAATTTCAATTTTCGATATGGTTTTGTTAGATGAAGCCAATTTGAAAACATAAATAATTAAATTCGTACACATAAAAACAATTCTGTATGTAAATGATAGTAATTCGTGATATCGTTTGCTGTTTTGAGAAATTTGTTTAGTTTACTAATATTCGATTTAATTACATAAAAAAAAGAATCGGCTGTTTGTGTGTATTATTCTTGGACTTGACCAAAATTGCCATTATTAAACTAACTAAAAAAACATCATAAAGGTTAATAACACATTTGATAATCAATCACTCATGATATTATAGAAATATGTGCACACTCTTATATTTGGTTAAATAAGTGGAATTCTGAACATTGCACCACTTCAGAATATACAAAAGGACTCGTGAAATCTATTCAAAAGCACAATTTAACGTACAAAAGTTATTTCTTTTCATTTCTTTTGTTAGAAAAATCGATTGAAATTTCGACAAAAGATAAAGATGATTTGGAAGGAAAGCCACTGTTCAAATCAGACCGTTTTCAATTTCGGTATAAAATGTATTTGAACACACGCGTACCACTTTCTCTTATTTCATTTCATTCTCATTCTTTTGCTTTCTATTTCTTTCTTCTTTCTCTCTCTCTCTCTCTCTCTCTCTCTCTCTCTCTCTCTCTCTCTCTGTGAAAATTTAAGTTCGTGGTCTTAACAAGAGTTGATTTCTTTTTGATAAAATCATATTTTCATCGATTTGCTTGATTTGAATTCAATGGCATGAATGACGTGAAACGGGGTTGAAAAAAAGTTGAAACATATTGATTTATTTTGAATAATATTCATATCTTGCGGGCGCACCGGTTCGACCACACACACGCACAATTTAATCAAACAAATCGAATCAAACTTCATTAAAATTGAATGGTATTGGTGCCATTGAATTTAGCTTCCGGCATAGAAAACCCCGTCGATTACCCTATATTTTTGTGGTTAAAATTAAATAAAAGGTTGATTTCACTCTCTTTTCATGCGCCGTTATTATAATTTATTTATAAGGTCACACGCATAAGCACAATTCATTGAAGATTTTTTAAAATATAACTTTCGAAGTGGCTTAATGGATATTTTTTCTTCTATCTGCCTTCAAAAACAAAAGAAAATGTCAAATACGAAAAAATCAATAACATTTTCAGTTGAAATTGCGTGACAACAACAAAAAATCATTCAAATATCTCCAACAAACCATCAATGAAACCAATTGGAGGATGTCACAATGTTTATAATTACATGTTGAGCTCAAATAATGTTGATTTAATCTCAAGCTTGAAATGACACAATAACATTGAATGTAAAATGTGAAACAAAGATAATTTATTTGATTATCTCACAAGAACGATTCGGTAAGGATGGGAATTGTCTGTGGAACTAACACCAATTCAAATGATTGATGTGTCAATATGCAACAATTCGGAAACGTTGCTTCCCTTTGTTTTCGAAATTCTCTCCGACTCTTCTGAAACCTTAACTAAATCGATGTGTGTCTTTGTCATAAATTCAAATGGATATTTCAATTCGACATCAATACTAAAAGATCAATCACAACTTTGTCGCACCGTTCAAATGACTGATTATTTAATTTGCATTTTGTGTTTCATTTTGCAGGCACTGCATACGCTGGACCGTCAGTATCGGGTTGCACTGGAACAGAAACTGACAAACAAATTGGCATGTGGGAAAGACGTATCAAAGGATTACGTCGAATGCTCTTAGGATGGGATCAAACCAAACCACCTGATCCACCAAATTTCATTGCAATCGATGTAACAAGCACCAATTCAGCCAATTTACGTATACAGGAATCGGGTGACGGGCCAATTGCTACTAAGTTCAAAGGTGAGTACATGTGTATACACAAAATTATAATTTTCTACATTGATGTGCAATCGTTTCATCTTGGATAAGAAATCACTTCAGAAACAAGATGAACATGTTTTATACAAGTGATAATGCGGTTTTTTAGGTGAATATGGATAAAGTTTGTGATGAGAGTCACAAACGGAATTTTTGTTTTTATTCGTATTGAAATGACCCAATGTCGATACAGACAAGTCATTAATTCCATTATAATTATTTGCGCCCACGTGTAACGAATGTCGTGTAACGCAACAATCACATGAATGAAATTGTTACAATATGTGAAGTTCACATTGTGAACAAACTTTTGGGCGTAAGAGTTTTCTTTTTTATTCGAGTTTGGCTATCGATTTTTTTATGTTGTTTATAGCATTTGTTTTCACATTCGATCTAAAAATAGTTGCCAAGTTCTGAAATAATCATATAAAACCGAGAAAATATTTTTAAATAACAACATAAACTACAACATATTGCACAAGCACATAATCAAATCGACTAACAAAGATGCTACACGGTATTTGAAATTCACTTTTTATATGTGGCTGAAGAAGCGAAATTGATTGGCAAATTAAATTTATCGATTTCCCCATAATGACCGCAAAACACGTTGAAAATTAAAATTCTCGTAAAACAAGAAAAAAAATAGAGCTCATTCATTGCACATTTTCTCTACAAAATGTACTTTGATAGTAATTTCATGAAATTGTTGAGCACATATCGGTATCATTCATCGAATTTATTGGTATTCCACGTGACTGCAAAAAAAAAATTCACACTATTTTACAATTGCTACAAAACGGAATATTAAATCAATGCGTCCGAATTCATCAATAAATAATAAAGCGGTGAATTTAATGCAACGCAATGAGGCGATAACAAACTAACATTCAAACGGAATATCAAAAATGTTGGCGGCATTGCTCTCAGGAATGGATGATTTTATGAGTGGCAAATATAAATGATCATTTGATTTGTGTCACACGTACATCGATATAATAATGAATAGTTAATTCAGGTTGCGATTTATTTTCAGTTCAATGGTCATCTCGTGGCGATTTCAGTAACATTGTTGGCGAACGTGAAGTAAACGAATGGAATAGTTTTCAAACTACGATGGCAGCCAATTGCCGGATTAACGATTTGACACATGGTCGACGTTACTTCTTTCGTGCATGCTGTGGCAATGTTAAAGGATGGGGTCAATATCGCACATCAATACCAAATAGCATTACACCATCGAGTAAGTGTAGTTGAATGTTGTTGTTGTTGTTTTTTGTATGTGCCAGACGGTGCAATTGGAAAACTTTCAATGTGTTTTGATGTAATTTGACAAAAAAAAATGTTTTTCCTAGGTTGGCGTGATTTTGAGAATGTTGAATCAAGATTTGCGGGCCGTCAGAAAATTCTCGATGATCTTTTTACAGCTGTACGCCTATCACGGCCAAATGATGCATCTGAAATACCATTAGACACACCAGCACTACAAAGACGAAATCCAAAGAAGAAAACAACAATCAAACAATTGTTTTCAGCGGCCTCAAAATTCCAAAAAAATCTAAGAAGGTAATTACGACTTGAAATGCAAACAAATACGCTTCGGCTAATGCTAATGCTAATGCCAACGTATTTTTTTTCGATTTTCAGAGGAATATTCTTGGCTTGTATTTTATACCATGAAGATAAAATCTTGGTGACGAATGAAGATTTTTTGCCAGTCATTGAAATCGATGAAACGTATCCAAGTAGTTTGCACACCGATTATCATTGGCTCATGAAGGTGACTTTAATGCAAATAAAATCCGATTTGGATTTGGATATGCGATGCGCAAATGTCAATGTGCATACAATGTATTCTGATCTTAATGTATTCATTTTTTAGGTTGCCTGCACTTGGGATGATGTAAAATCACTTCGCACCGATATGGAACGAAATTCGACGTCGGCTGTTCACTTTCGGACAAAATTGTTAACGGCTGCCTGTCAAATGCAATCAGCATTATGCATACAGGATTTAGGTCAATTGTATCATAAACCGTTACGCGATTCTCATGGAACGGTTGTTTTAGCTTGTGTAAACAACGTTAAGGTACTTGATATATTATGCATATTTTGTTGCAATTGAAATGTTAGCTTTGCACAAATGCACATTTTCAACATTTTTTCCTATCTTTTTGTTCTTTTATCCTTCGTTCGTCTTTTCTTGTCTCATTTCAACGATGTGAACACTAACTGACATTACATTCTCTTTCTCTTGAATTTCATGTTATGTGTGCGCGTGGTGGATTTGCTTTTGATTGGATTTAAAGGGACCGAAAACTGTGTCAGTACTCAACTCAAGGTGGATCCCATTAAACAAAGTGCAAAAGAAAATGACAGCAATTCACGAAGATAACAATATCAATGAGATTCTGTTGAGTTCAATTCAAGAGCAAATCAATTACCATCAAGCGTCGACGGTGCGCTTATCGAAGGGATTGTATCTGGGCTATTTAAAAATGCAAAGCTCGGTTGATCAGATTCAAATTGTTGTACCGGCAAAAACGCCAAACATTTTACCACATCATAAAATCCGTGAGAATTCACATATATCGGCCGAAGAATGGAAATTTCTGAAACGAACAAAATTAAATGGTGGCGGTGACACGGTGACCGATGACAAGCCAACTGGTGGACAAGAGCTATTCATTGATGCATTAACACATGCGGCAAAGCGTTTATTTAAATATATGGACATTCCATTGGAGGATGCAATGACACATCGTTTATATGAATTTGAAGTGATTGAATTGAGTGCGGATGTTAGTTTTTTGATTGTATGCCCGCCGGCTGAATCGTCGTGCGCTGTACCTGGACAAAGAGAAATTCTACTACAACGTGGCGATCTATTGAGTTTGCCGATTCAAGCATTCGAAATGGTACATCTGAAAACCTATCAAAGTGGCATCATTCAAAAGTATTCACGTCTATCGTGCATTCTTGAATTGGATACGGTATTGGCAAATCATTCGCATCGCGAAGCATTCTCAACGATTGAAGTGCAAGCGGCCAAAGAACGTTTGGCCAAACTACAAGATTTAACACAAAGTTTAAATACCATTTGGAAAGGTGTACGTTGGCTTATGGATGTTATCAGTTTTGCACGAGATCGTGGCACATATCATGGTCTTTATATGAAAGATATATTCGAATACAGTCCAACGAGCAAAGAGGAATTAACGGTGGTACGTGATCCAAGCAATCAACAATTGCTACAACCACCGCCACCACGTGGTTCGATTAAAAATGTGGGCCGTGGTAGTTGGCCAGGTAATTAATTCAATTAATAATAACTTATAATTAACGAAATTTTAATTTAAAATTTATTTTATTTTTAACAGGTCCCAGTCATACGCTTGGTGCAAACGGTTTGCTCGGTGCCGAACACTCAAAATCGGAACAACAATTAAGTGGAGCCAGTTTCAATATGAGCTCACGATATTTGAGTGCAACATCTGGCATTGAAACATCATCACGTAAAAATAGTGCTGATTCAAATTTTTCACATTCGGGCAATAGTTACTATTCAGCTGGTGAATCAGTTGAACATATAAATGTACGACTTCCACCATCTCGATCCGAAGACACATTAGTTTTATCAAAAAAGCATTCAACACCGTTACATCGAAAACGTGCAACAACTGTCAATACAAATTTTACCAGCGATGCATCGTCACCGGTTACACCAACCAAACCGTTATGTGTCACACAAAAACTAAGCAACGAATCAGTTCCAAATTTAATCGCTGATTCGGATGTGGCTGGCCGAGATAGTACAATGACAACATCCACACCGATTACAACGGGCAGCGGCGGTGGTGGTAATTTACCAAAAGATACGATCGCTAACAAAAGGAATGACATTAAATTATTTACCGAAGAGCCAAACATTTTCAAAGATCAATTGCACATAACCGAAGGTGATGGCGGTGAAACGGTACGAAAATCGTCACCAGAATATCCATCGACGAATCCATTCAAAGTATCAGCCGAACGTAAGCCATCGAGCACTCAAAAAAGTTCACCGGAACACACTAAGAAGAAGCAGTCATCACCGCCACGTCAACAATCTGGCGATGATGAAGAAGACGCAACAACGAGCAATATTATGCCTGGCATAATTCAAGTGTTTGCCGCTTACAATACGGGCTTGGCAAATGGAACAAGTCTTAAGTTGCATGTTACACCGAAGACAACAGCTCGTGAAGTGGTCGATTTGGTGGTGAAACAATTGAATATGGCTGTTGTATTGAAAGGCAAAGATGGACCCATTTATGGTGCTGAAGAATTTGATAATTTCTGTTTGGTCGCTGTTATTGGTGCGAGAGAACGTTGTTTGCGCGATGATTTTAAACCATTACATTTACAATATCCATGGAAAAAAGGACGATTATATGTTCGCCAAAAGAATGATCTACTTGCTGCAATCGAACATGCGAATCGTGAAGCCACATTGATCTGAACCAATAATTCAACCTCTTTTACCAATAATATTTTGTTGACATCCAAAATTCAAACATTCTCAATTTGATAATGAAAAATATCTAACATAAACACACTGAATTCATGTTAGAATAAACTATTAAATAAAGTAGTGATTCATTTATTGTGCTTTGATCAGAAAAGCAAAGGAATACAAATGCAGAAATTTAATAATCTATTTGATGTCATTTTGCCGAATACAATTTCCACTCAAATCTATTGAGATCGACTTAATTGGCATAATTGTCAATTCATTCACGCATAAATGTATTTGAATTTGAATATAAACAAAAGACAACAGACATAACATAAATTATAGTATGAATGTTTCCATAGTTAGAAAGTTGAGATTGGATTTTCTGTGACACAAAAATAATAAAAGATTATTAGAAATTATGTTTAGCTGATAAAAAACAAGAAGAAGAGAAAAAAAAGGGAAAACAAATGTATTTTGATTTTCTTGTTTGTTTTTAATGTTTAAGTAGAAAAACAAATTAATGTAGAGATCATTGAATATTAAAAAGAAAAGATTTATTTTACTAGCATGACGGAGAGAGGAATATTTAAAGAAAAATTGAAGTTTTATTTCAACAGTCCTGCGTTAATAGTTAAACAACAAATTTAGAAGCTTTAAGTCGTATGGTCTTATGAATTACGTGAGAGAACAACAAAAGGGCGGGCATCTCGTTTCAATATCATTCATAACGAACAAATGCCATGAATCTATGAATTAATTTAATAAAGAATATAATATGGATTGGATGATGAAACAAAACAAAATTAAATTAAAAAACTAAAGAGACAAGAAAATATTACATAAATATTGCTCAGGATTGGCGACTAAAACCGTTTTTAGACAACTCAAACAATTTTCAAATCATTCAATAAATCAAAAACAATATTATTGTCCATATATTTAAAACAGCTACCAAATGCACGTGTTCTATGTCCATTCCATTTATCGCATTTTTTGTCCAAATATTTTATAGTTGAAAAATGTTGAAAAAAAAATCAGTATTAAAAATGAATTAAAATTAACGTCTATGTGTCTAACAATTCAAAAAAAAAACTATTAACAAAAAAAAAACCATTTCCAAATTGGACCTTTATTATACCATACATGACCATACATTTTCAAAAATAAAGACAACATTATTTTGCACTCTGTTTTATTATGATTGAATATTTTTGGATTTTATTTAATTTTTATTCACCTTCATGCAGTCTCTAAACCAGACATTATAATGAGATATTTTTAGCCAGATATCATCAGGAGCTGAAATGGAGTGAAAACAATAAAAGTGATTGTTATAGTGATTGTAGCAATGTAAGTGTAATTATAACCATAACAATCACTCCTAATGTTTTCACTAAATTTCGGCTCCTGACGATATCTGGCTGAGCTGATTCATCTGGCTGAAAATATCTCATTATAAAGTCTGCTCTAAACAAAAATACAGTTTCCTCACAAGCAAAAAGTCAAGTAATTGTCATTGTAATGAAGCACGTCGAATCTTAGCGGGAAATGCATAAGAATTCGAATCATCAAATGCCAAGATATTATTTGGCGAATCTGATGAATAACATATTTAAATAGTATGCAAAAATAGATACATTTTCCTATTTATTATAGACCATGCATGTTATTCAATCGATAATTTATTGGAATTCACTGTATGGATTTAAAAAAAATCTTTAGTGTAAAACGTTGTTTCCACATCTCCAATTCCAATCGTCCACTTAATAAATTTCAAGCTATAAAAAAACGAATACAACGAAATTTGTTGGAGTCTCACAATATGTATAAATTGATTATTTGTTTTTTTTTGTGCAGAATTAAAACGACCAGAAACAACTGTTCAGTGTTAATAAAATGAATATATGTATTTGAATTACATAAAATGAGAAAAAATAAATACCTGTATTGTCTTTTTTTTATTTCTTTGAAAAATATCCAATGTCTTCCTCAATGAAAGGTTAAAATCAGACAATATATAACAAGCTTATATACCTATAACAATCACTTCTATTGTTTTCACTTCGCATCATCTGCTGACGATATCTAGATGAGCTGTAATATCCAGATGACGGTAGCTAAATATATTGTCTGGTTAAAATTGAATTTTGAGTGTTTTTCTAGTACATTTAAAATGTTGAAAAATGTAATGCTTTGACCCGGTTTAATGGTAATTATCAAGTCAACTAGAACGAAGATTATATACAGGTTCATAAAAATTCATGTTAGGTAACTGGAAGTCCATTTAGAATTTCATGAAGAAAAAGCCAACGAAATGCAGAAGAAGAAGGCGCTGAAATGCAGCTTATATACTCAGAAAATGGGTGGTAAACATTGTGACTGGACACATCGGAATATTGCTGTTGATCATTGGCCGAATGTATTAGAAGAGGAAATTGTGATGGAATACAACGATAATGCCAATCAACAACCACCAAACTTACACAAAACAACCTGGAATCGTGACATCGTTGCTGCCAAAGCATTTATATGAAACAATAATTTGTTTACTTAAATGAAATTTCAATTTTATGCAGGAGATTTTGACCTTTTTCGATTGGCCAGCACCGTTAGCACGACGAAGACCATCTCCATGGCAATTAGTTCATAACAATCTGCAACCTTAATAGTTATTATTTTACTCGAACTTATATAAAAATTATTATGGTTTAGTATTTCGAGGAAGTACCAAAGGTATCCAGACTATGAATCAATTCATTTTTTTTTATCATATTAATTGTATTTTTTCTCTAGTTTTCTTCCATTGTGACGTTGAATTTGACTGAAATTACACACAAATCTGGCTCCAAATTGGAACGTGAACTTATACCTGATAGTGGATTATTTTGTGTGGTAGGGTATACCAAACGATAACGTCTTTTTTTCTATGATCCGTGTTTGTTTGGATTTTTATTTTATTTGAATGTTGATGCCCTGCTAAAGTTTATTTGAAATGAAAAAAGGCAAAACAAACTACCAATGACAACCAATTTTATGAAAAATTGCACTTCTTGATCAAAAAAATATCACATGTGTTCTTTAGAAAGAAAACTGGTCCGATTCGAATTCGAATACCTTTTTGACATGTGAGCGTCATCGTAAACGTATATCTGTCAAATAACAAAAAAACAATGTGGGAAAAAATGTCTGTGAAGAATAAAAAGATGAAATAAAAACAAAACGACAGTTCAACTTCATCAAAATTGGAAATTTTTATTTATTATCTCAATTTTGGTATAAGCTTAAACGTGTGCATGGTCATTGATGGTTTTGATCGTTTCACTTTTAAGCAATCGAACTTGAATTCGAAGCAATACGAGGCCATAAATCGGCGCATTCTTTTGCGACTGGACCAGTAATAGCGGAACCTTTCATTTCACCCTTGTTATTCACTATCACGCCCGCATTGTCCTCGAAGTATATAAACACCCCGTCCCGTCTTCGGAATGGTTTTCGTTGCCGAATCACAACGGCAGGCATAACCTAAAATTGTTACGAAAATACAAAACATACACACATTTCATTAGTATACACATTTATCAAGTGCACTTCACACAATGTGTTTTCAATTTGAAATAACAATGCACACCTTTTTACGCAATTCTGGCTTTCCTTTTTTGACAGTGGCGACGAACATGTCACCAGCTCCAGCAGCTGGCAAACGATTCAAACGACCACGGATGCCATGAACAGCGATTACATACAAGTTTTTACCACCTGAAATTCAATGAAAACGTGTTCTTGTATTAATCGAAATTACAATCATTAAAACCGTGATGGGATGTCGAAAATCAAAATTGTCGCTTGAAATAATTTGTAAAATCAAAGTCCAGCGTGTAATTACCTGTGTTGTCAGCGCAGTTAATAACAGCACCAACTGGCAAACCAAGTGAGATACGGAATTTTCCTCCGGCGGTACCACCACGACCTTAAAATATTCCCAAGAAAAATCACACAATTCATTTAATATTCGTTAGTTATGATAAATTTAAGTCAAATATCTCAGACGATTACGAAGTCTCGGTTAAGCATATTCACTCAACGTGACTATCGTGACTATCAAACAAAACACAAAACACTTTGACAATGTACATCATACCGATGGCCAAGCCGATTTTCGTCAAAGTTAAAAAATTCCCAATAAATTTGGAAAATTTTTATGAAATTTCACTCGAAATCGATCCATCGGCACATATATTTGTACGATGATCAAAAATAATTGGTAAATTTTGTGATTTTTAGCGATTTTTTTCAAAAATAATTACCTCTCTTCGACATTGTGAAGTGTTTTCTGCGAAAGGGAAATACACAAAGAAGGAGACAATATTGAAGTTTCCGGTAAGAAGCCCAAAAGTCAGTTGAATCGATCTAAAAAATGTGACATTTACATTTTAGCAGTGGTAAGAATTTTAGTACCCGATTTCACATCGACATACTTAACAATATCTCATATGGTTAACGAGAGAAAATTCATTCGGCGACGTTTTATTTATACGAAATATTTTCTTTTCTATTTTTAAAATTTGTTTTTATTTACAAAATTTAAAAATGCGATTTTTTTTGTACTTGAAAACTACATTTTACAGAGTATTTCGAACTAGTTTGTACGAAATGATGGTATTCAACGCACTCTATTGGTCAAATTGTGACTGACAATTTGTCAACATCAAATAAACCACCAAGGGAAAAAAACTAAACTGGAATTATTCTTGCAAATAAAATAAATTTAAATTATTTGAAAAAAAAAGAGAATGAGTTCTCCAGTGACCAGTCAGCTGCTTGAGCAGGAAATCATGGGTAAATTAGATGAAAATCAAATGACATCATTATTTCTGAAATGTGTTTGCGTACATGTTCGGATTACGTCTAATTTCAATTTATTACACACATAGCTGAAGAACCTTGGTGTAGCGAAACAAAATTATATCAACCATACGAAGCTGAGCAGATTCTGTTGGCCGAAAATGCGAGCTGTTTGGCTGTTAAAGCATATTTAAATGTAATGTCTGACATCGATCATTTAAAAAAAAATCCAATTTAATCAATGTCAATGCCAACTTATAGATGTGTAATTTACCTTACACAACCGAACCGTGTGCAAATGCTGAATATATGTCTCCGGGGGGTCATATGACAAAGTTACCTGTGCTACAATGCGGTGCATTTGTTGTATCTGAATTGGAACCAATCGTCAATTTGGTTGAACGAAAGGGATTTTCTTTGACTGCACAAATGGACGTTGACGAGAAAAATGATCTGAGAGCCTATCTAAGTTTAACGGAGAAGATTTTTACAAATGCCGAAGTAAGTGAATTCATTTTTATTTGCATTTGAAATTTAATTGCAAAATTGTGCCAATTTACTTTAAGCTATACATTTGTTGGATGGACAAGCAAACACTTGAAGAAGTCACTTACAGGCGATATGGATCAGTTTATCCATGGCCATTGAATCACATACAAAATTATCGCAAACGCAACGCAGTTGTTAAGAAATTAAAAGTATTCAATTGGGCATCGTATACGAACGAACAAGTTGTGAAAAAAGTGCGCAAATGTTGTGTATTCTTGAAAGAGAAATTAGGAAATAATCAATACTTCTATGGAGATAGGTAAATTTTATTTAATAACCCATGTCTAAATATCATGACTGACTATGTAACCAAGGGCGTCTAAATTGATTAAATTTGACAAAAATCAACTGAAATTGGCTCAATCATTTTGGTCATGTCGAAGTCAGTCAGTCAAGATATTTTGCAAAACAAAAATGTTGGATTTGATACTCATGTGAAAAAGGTTAGACTATTATTTGTCTTATTTTGTTCGAGGCAATCACATCTAGACAGCCAAAATGTCCGGCTGACTAGATGGTCATCATTTTTTTTGACACGAATATGTTTAATTCCAGACAATATATTTGAATATTTTCAGTCAGCTGAATCACCTCAGGAAGCTAACATCATACGCTGTAATGGAGTGAAAACCACAGAAGTGATTATAACATTGAACGTGTCTTCTTAACTATCACAATCACTTCCATTGCTTACACTCCATTTCATCGCCTGACGTTAGCTTCCTGAGCTAATTTATTCGGCTGAAAGTATTTCAATTTAATATCTGCTTGATTCGGCCATTCTTTCTAAATAATATTATATTGAATTGATTTTTTTTTCAGTCCAACTGAGCTGGATGCCTTAGTTTTTGGCCATATTTTTACAATTTTGACCACACCGTTGCCCAATAATAATCTCCAACACTTGATCAAAAATAATTTCGGAACCCTTGTCGATCTGTGCTTTAGAATTGAAAAGGAGTACTTCAGTAAAATTCCCGAAGTATCGACCCACAAAAACAAGTGAAATAATAGTACAAATGCAATAAATTAGTAAACACCAAAATAAGAAAATAATTGTTTAACATAATTTGTATATTTTCTCCTTTTTTTATTATTTTTGCTTGAAATTTGTTAACATGTTATTATATTATGGGCCATTGAAGAAAACCACAAAAGTAATTTCAAAAAGAAAATAATTAAAATTTAACATTTAAACAAAAAAAAAAAACAGTTGAATATCTTTGTTTTTATTTTTAAAAAAAATTTGTTTCAATTTCTCGGCTACGAATTTAAAATACAGCTAAAAGCTATAGCTAACAGCATGAAAAAAATTCCAGAAAGAATTAAGGCCTCTCAATTCTTAGATTGAAAAAGATCACACCGATGACAGAGTTAGTCGGTATGGCGTGGATCTTCAACTAAATCTATATCATCAAGACTACCATGGTGCTAAAAGATTGTATACAACTAATTGGATTTTCGCATTCATATCTCAAATGCAATGAGAAGAACAAGAACATTGAAGATCTATACAAACAAATTCCATTGGACACTGGACATTAAATCGTTGTTCGATTTGAAATTCGTATTTTCTTTTTAAATTACATTATGAAATGATTGTTGAACAATGAAATGATTGTTCGGTCGCCAGAAAATTGAGAAAATATGTAATGTCTCTATCTGATTGCAAAACCATTGTTCTTTTATCAGTATTCAATTTCAAACAAAAGAAATTTAGATTGTTTCGTATAAAAAATTTAAACGGTTGTGAGCAGCTAATAACAATATGCAAGTTTGATAGATTTAAAATGCTTAAAAGTAGACCCATGGTGAGTTATAAAAAAACTTCAGATGAAAAGCCACAAATAATTATAATCATTTTTCTGGTTGTTCTTCGATTCAAATGTACATTAATATTATTCGATATGAAAACCAACTCATGTTTACCTTGCGTGCTATGTTAAAAGCTATTTATCTATCGTAGTTGAGAAACACAGATCTTTTCGGAGGAGGTGCTTTAACTTACTGCTTCTTTCATCTTTGGTTGAATGTAAAAATTCTTATTGGAATTAAATAAATGGTTAAATCGATCTGAAGGCGATTTTTGAATTAATTTCTTCAAATCCAAAGACATTTTTATCGAATTGTATTCGTTAAAGTATCATTCACAGTCTTTGCCATGTTATGCGTCCAATTGATTACGGTAAAGCTTAATACGTATTCTGGTTTTTATACAAAAAGACAGTTTGATGAATGAAAATCAATAACAAATTACAATAAAACATTATCAACTATTCTGGTTCAAAATGCGGCTGTTTTTTCAAGCCCCATTTGTGATTTCCGTCGAATCAGTTGTCCTCAATCATGTCAACTCTTGACGGCTTCAATCTAAATTGATTGATTTACTATATGTAGTTGGGCTTTATGTATTTGTAAAAATCTTAACTGCTGATTGGTTCAATTCAATTTAAAACGGTATTTTAAGATACATTGTATAGTATGTGAATGTTGGTTTGCTGTTCTTTTCTTTCAATTCTAATTTTGTTAAGGTATTTTTCTGTTTATATTTAGTCTAAGTTGGTATGCAGCAAGGCAACGATTAAAAACAAATATGGTGTTTGAACGTGGTCATCATTCTCATGTTCACATGCTCAAGAAACATTTTGGTTCTTTTTCTTCATGTTTTCAGAAACATTGAGCACGTGAACGATTAAAAACTCTATTTGTTCTCTATCTCTATAACAATGACATATTTCAAAAGAGATTTTTTTTTATATCAAAATGTTTCGTAAAAAGTTTAATGGAAGAAGAGTTTTATTTAAAAGCTGCATTGCTTTTCCCAAATATGATTTGAAAATAAATGAAGAGCAAACAGAAGAAAGAGAGAGGGAGAGAGACAGAGAATAAGAACTGATAAAATTGTGTGCTTTTATGAATCTTTAAAAATCTTCATTTTTTGTCAGAATTTCATTCTGATCCTTGATCATTTTCGTTTTTCCTTTAATCAATTCTTATCAAAGATTTCAATTAGTTTATCCTAAAGTTATGCATTTAATGTTATTTTAATAATTTTCATTAAAATGGGAGTGCGTGCGAGAGAATAAGAAAAGGTGGTACAAAATATATAATGCGTCTATAGTCATTCTAGTAAATGATTTAACTTTTCAGTAATGATGCACGAGGGTCTTCTGTATTATAACTTAAAAGATTGCCATATCTGGAAGCGAAGGCGGCTTAAATCAGTCGAGTTTTTAACATCTTTCAACGTTATTCTTTGTCATTCTGATGAATTTATTCGATTTTTTTTGCAGAATTTCAGAAGAAAAAAAAATTTCTCCGAAAAGTGTCAAACTATTCTCAATCTGATACAAACGGTTTCAGATTGGGAAAAAAACATCTTAATTTTGGCTAAAAACCTATTGATGTGATTTCCGGTAACCGCGTTTTCAATTATCCACCCGGATGTCGATGCCATGCTCCGCTGATAATCGAGATCGTACTGTAGTTGAAAATGTATTCTTCTTGATCGAACAAAACTTATACTCAATGGCACAAAATGACTTTTATATATAACTTTTTATATCATAATTCAGAATTCCCAACCGCATCATCTTTGTATTTTTTTTATATCCATATCTTGAAGTATGAAATTCGTAGATTTTAAAATTACTTTTTTATAATTCTAGAAAAAAATATCTGAGAGTCAAACACTATGGTAAACGTGCTAGGGGTTATACACCAATTATAAAACTTTGGATTATGTGAATCACAGTGAATCAGATAAATCATGTCAATTCCCCAAGTAAACGTATGTTTATAGATAGAACAACGAAAAATCGGCAAATCAATCAATTGAATAAAAATATATGTATTTTAGAGCTTCCTGTGCTCTGATAGGAATTGATCGTTGACATTTTTATAGATTGTCGAACTGGAGTCGAAGTGACTTGATTTATATCGCAATGCTTTATATAAAAAAAATTAAAATAATTCACTCTATATTAAAGTCACAACCCAGGAATATGCTTAAAAGTCTACTATTTTTCGTCAACGGAATCAAACAAAATTCACATACACACAGAGGCACTAAACATAAATTAAAACAAATCAAAGGAGTTTAAAAAAATAATAAAATAAAACAATGAATCACTTTATTCAAACGGATTTATGACCAGAATGCCTGTAAAATCATTGTCTAGGGCAAATACAAAGACCCTATTTCAATGAAATTACAACATTTTTTGTCTTCTTTGTATTTTTCATTCCAAGCAAAATTTTCCTAACTAATCGCTCAAAAAAAAACATAAAAATAATAAGCACAGAAATGCGATATTGCCATTTCAGAAGTGAATTCATGGATTCATCATCGGTAGGCGGTTTTAGTGTTTATTCGCAATAAACAATCCAATAGAGTCTAAGAGTACTTAAGTACTTAACACAGTAAACGTGAAAATATTTAACAGCATTTTTTTGGGTAAGCATTGTTTTTTTTTGTCGAAAAAATGTTTCTCATCTCTTTTGAATATTACTATTTTAGTTTTGTCATGATTCCCGGTAATTTTTTTTCTTCAACGTAGTTTTCAACAAGTAACTATCTCATTTTTATTCTTACTGAATTTTATTCAAAATCGTTATCAAACAAAAAAAAAAAGAACAAATAAAGTGGAAAATGTTTACTTTCTCACTTATAATCTATTAAAATTGCACTCGGCGCCAATATTATGAAATACATTTTGTTCTTAATGACTCAATGCTTTGATTTTCCTATTAATATTACAAAATAATTCATTATTTTCTGTTTTCTTAATTTTTTTTTTGTATTTGTTTCATATTACACCAAAACATCAAAAGATATTGAATATTTGAATGAAAAAAAGAAGAAACGAGAATAGAAAACAGTTTATCATCAGCCAGAATATCCATTTAAAACAATGACTTATTTGATTATATTCACACGAGAAACAAACCCGACAAATTATTTTCGAATTTTTATCAAAATATGGATTTGTTAGATTTTCTTCTAATATCGGCATATTTTTCGGCAGAAAACTTTCTGAACACAAATAATAAAACAATCAAGTTAGCTTTGACAAGTGTGCGCACGCATGCCAAAATATTGCGACATTAAAAAGGGAACCTTACAAATTCATATTTTGGTGAGATTTCAAAACTAATTTGTCGAATTTGTTTCTTCTGTGTTTATTTGGTTGTTATTGGATCTGAATTATTATCTTCAGGTCCTATTGACTGAGTATAGTATATATGTTTGAAGGAAAACGAGTAAAATAGGCATAAATTTCTTTGAGTTTTGAAATGAAAAATTGGTTGATTTTTAAAGTTGGTTGTTATAACTGAGAGGGCGGGGGTTGTGTGTGTGTGTTGTGGTGCATGAGTATGTGTTTTGTTTCTATTTTTTAAATTTTTTCGCCGTTGACTCAAGGATGCTGGCCAGTCTTTCGGTTAATGGCTTCTTTGTGGTATCTGTATTTGTTGCTAAAGCCATTTGAAGTAGTTGATCGCTCGCACTGTTTGTAGCATTCAGCTTAAAAGTTGATGATGGTGAATGTCGTAAATAGAGCGGATCACGAAGTCGTCGTAAATCATTTTCAATACCATGAGCTTCTTCCTTCAATTGATTGTATCGAACCACATCGAATCCTTTCTTTTTCGCCTTTTTATGTACAGCAATTAAAAATTGTCTATCTTTTACTTCTGGCAAATTGTATTCCTGAAAAATTCCGATTTCCGGATGAAAAACGAAAAAAAGAAGATGATAAAAACATTAAAATCACATTAAGATCTCATCAAACGATTTAATTTTCTTACAAAAATTCGGATTAGTTCTTGAAAAAGAATGAAAAAGCATAGAATTATCGAATTAAATGTGAGAATGTGCGGTGCAGATGAAATGATTAAATTGAAATAAATGTGTGAAGCAAAAGCTCGACTAATTAGTAAGGATTTTTGAGATGTGTAACACATTCCATGTCTTTTGAAAACGAAAATGAAAAATAACAAAAGATGACACATGCGAAAAGAAAGTTTTTTTTGAGGTTTTTCCTTTTACGTTATTGCACTCAAACTTTTTTTTGACAGAAACAACAAAAAACACTAAAACAATTCAACGCTAAGTCCACTTTATGGTGTTTTCGACAACAAAATATTTTCAAGCATGCAATTGATTACACATATAACTAATCGAAATCAATAATCTCTGCTCTCAATTCAACCGTATACCAATTTGTTTGACGTTTCCATTATAAGTTTTATTGGGATTATTGAGCGTTGAGGCTTTGTATCGAGTCACAACAAATTAGTTTTTAGCTGAAAACAATATTTTACTACTCAGAAACTATGAATCCATCGGAAAAAGGATGCGATGAACCACTTAACTACAATGCATGTTTGGAAGCGTTCTATTCGATACAATTGGTAAACTCTTGGATAAAACTAGATGTTACGTGCTAGAAATGCATTTGTTGCAAAACGGATGTATACCGATTTTTTTGGAGCCGGGATACATGGCAACATTTATTTTAAAGCGCTCAGCAATGAGTGGTTTGCTCTGAAGACATTTTAACAAAATTGCTAGTACCGTTCATTGTTCACTGTGTGACTTTCTTCATTTTATTTAATTCCTTAAATTCATGTGCCATAAAATTGCAATTAAACAGTATTAAGCGTTTAATTATTTCTTGATAATTAAAAATAAGTTACAACGCAAGTAAAATGTTACGTAAAATTTGATTTATGGTATTGAAATTCATTTTCAACATGTCGCCCCAATTTCGGTATTGTCATTTTGCGTGTGGATGTGAAAAGTATTCAAATGAAGAAATATGTCAACATTGTTGAACTTTGAATAACCTACAGCGTGCATTTCACTGATGGAATGTCCGATAAATTTTTGTTCATCAAAATCGAAAGCTCATGGGAAAAATGGTTTTGTTTGTTAAATTTGAAGATGCAATTTACAGGAATGCATTTCAATATCAATACGCGTGCATTTTCTATGTACATTTTTATTGCAAACAAAAATTCCCCGGCCGCATATTTCATGCACGAAGATGCTCATGTGTGTACTTTCTTTGTTCCGCTATGAGAAAAAAGGAAAATTTGAAAGTATTGTGCGTGGCAATCTTCATCGGACTTTTTTTCTCTTTCTTTTTTACTTAATATAGAATGATCTCATGTTCATAAATTGCATACATTGTATGAAAAAATAAAATAAATAAAATAATGTAAAATAAAATAACTTCAATTATTGATGCATTAAAATGTGCCGCACGGAATGTAGTACAAATTGCAGACATTTTGTTTCACTTGTGTTGTTCATTTGCTGTTTTTTTTTTGTCGATGATTGTTCAGTATGTTTTTAATTTCTCTATTTCTGATGAAATCCCTCAACGAATTCACGTGAAATTCACACCTGCGATACGTCATAATTAATGCAAGTGCACCTGATTTATCTGACGCTTTGAAACGCACTAAATTTTCAATAATTATAATATAAATGGATTATAACATAGAGAGATAGATAAATAACAACAACAATAACAAATTTTTTTAACGATAATACATTAATTGAAAATGATAATGTGGAGGGCAGTGGAAAATGAATAACATAGAGACAACACATAAACACGGTACACGCACACTCATCGATTAAGATGAATTGAATGCAAATAGTCGCTTCTTTGGATGCGATGGAAAAACAAAAGAAGAACAAAAAAAAAATGGTACGATTATCAATCAGGAAAATATATGTTCACTATCGAGGTCACTATATTATTTTATACTATATTGTGGTAGCGCTTTTTCTTACAATCTTTTTATTTGACTGTATAATGTTTGTGTGTGTGTGTGTGTGTTTTTATCGGCGAAATAAATTAGTGGGTGTTTTGTGTGCATGTTTCTGTTTTCAATATGTATCAAGTGTCGTGTAATGTTTGTTTAAAGTTTTGCATAAATTTTGATTATGTTTATGTTGTGTTGTTGTTGTTTTTTTTTCGTATGGTATACAAAATACTTTACCATTAAAAGATAGTGTTCTCTGATTTGCTGTGTGGCTGTTGCACGCATGTTCAGAATTTCTCGCATTCAATAAATTTTTTTTCAAAGCGATTGATTTGTGCGTACGAAATTGTCTGTGTCTTTCGGTTTGTTTTTGTTTCTGTTTATGGTTTTGCTTTTGCTCACATTTCAATATGCATGATAATAAATTTATAAATACAAAATCAAATTCATTCCGATCATTCGTCAGGCTGCAATCTATAGTATGTATATAGTTTTTCATAAATTTTGTTTAAAAAAGAAGTGCGCTTAAGTGCGAAGCCGTAAATGCTATTTACACAAAGTAGAAATAGTGTTGAGGAGATGTAATGATGATGGTAGTATTAGAGCGTAGAAGGTGCAATTTGGATGGAATCTTTTATTTTATAGATATGTATAGTATTTGAGTTTTTTTTTTTCGTGAGTGAAGCAAAGAGAAAAGATAGAGAATCAAAGAAAAAAAAAGAAAACAAATTAAAATGTGAATTCAATTCGTTCGAGAGAAGAGAGTATCAATTAAGAAAGAAATTATTTTTTTTAATCAAATGAAATCAAATCAGCTAGTAGAAAGCTTGTTCATTCAACACATATTTAGTTTAAAGAGAAAAATAAATCGATTAATTTCGTGATAGGTAATATATGCGTGCGGCTCATTACTTTTAAAGTAATGCTCATCAGATTTTTTTCTACTTTTTCTTCTCTTTAGTTTTTTTTCTTAAATTAGAAATATATGTGTTTTTTTTTCTCATTTCGAATAGTCGATAAATTTCCATCCATGTTTTACCTGTTTGGTTAAACAATAATAAGCGTAGGCAGCCATTGCAGTTCCATAAGTAACGAAATATGTGACCGGTTCCATAATATCCCATGAATATTCCCACCATGTCAATCGGGCCAGTACACCAAATTGCACGGACATCAAACCTAAACCTACCTGGGGGAGAATAACAAAAACAAAAAAAAAATCAAAATAATGTAAATTATTATTATTAAATTATATATTATCTAAACCTACCCATGTCAAGTAGGATGTTTTTTTATCGGCAGTCAACGTAATCTCTTCTTTCAACTAAACGGTGGCGAAACGAGAGAAAAAGTGAATGAGCGTGTGAGAGGTGGGAAGGAAAAAAAACAGAACTTTTCTAAAAGAAAACATGAAATATTGGCATTCCTTTTGATTTTCTTTTCAAGCTTTTGATATATTCTTTTACTATTACGTACAATGAATCATGGGGTCAATCACGAAATTCTAGTGTATCTAGTTTTTAATAAGATTTAACTAGAAAACTAGAAAATTCTAGTGCGTGAAGTTGGCTCTCAGTAGTTTTTCATATAAATTATATGGCCTTTGGTGTGAAGTTGGCTTCGTTTGTGACGTCATTATTCGCACTAGATTTACTAGTTTTTCTAGTATTTACTAGCGTGATTCGCCCCATGCAATGAATCCTTCATACCTGTTCTAACGGTAGCAATTCTGTGTTTATTTCTTCTAAGCGTGTGTACATATCACGTTCTTTTTTTATTTGATGTTCACCTACATGAAGTGTTTCGTAAAGCTAGTTTGTTTTTGCGAGAGAGAGGGAGAGAGAGAAACGATTGAAATATCGATTAAAATTTTATTGAACTATGACTTCTGAAAAGATTTAAGATCAAAACGTGCTCCATTTCATTTTCAAGCGAAATGTATGTTTTTCGCAAAAGTTATTGTCGATTTTTGAATGATAATTGGCATAAAAGTTTTAATGAAAATATTATTTATTTACCTGCGCCACCAGCGATCGCACATCATTTATTTTTCCCATTTCTTCGATTGACGTTGCAGATCGCGGAGGAGGTTGAACATGATAACGTTTATCATTCACATGTAACCTGAAATTTAAAATAACGTATATGTAAATAAACCCAAAGTTGTGCTCCATTTGCGTTGGCATGTCGTATTTAGTTGCGAAAGTCTACAATGTAGACTCTACATTGTTTTTATGCAAAAATTATGCTTGTTAAATATTCAGGCACTAAGTGTACACTCAAGCCTCCGAAAATACCAAAACGAACTACGTTTTACATTCGAATGCTCAGGCCGATGAAAATCCGATGCGGAAAATGGCATAACGAGGATTTGTAATTACTCGAGTCTAAAATTATCGTCATCAATGAAACACGTTGCTTTCATGTTAATGGTAATGATTGTTCAACAACTACTTCTGTTTGCTAAATGCTTATGTACCGGTAATTCTCGAGTATGAAAACAGAGAAAATTAGTTTCAACAATTTAAAATCTCTTTCACAGTGAAATTTGAATCACAATTTTCTTGTCATGTGTTTATTTTTATCCCTTTTAACTCATCCCTTTTCGTACATACAGAAAAAACCCAGGGGCAAAGCAGTACTTGTATAATGATTCTAATGCCAAAGGTAATGCCAAACAAATATGCATATAATGCCACCTAATGCGATGTGTAGAAAAACAATGTCAAACGTACTTTTTCTTTCTTGAATGCGTCTTGCTTCTTGTTTTTAAAAACTTTAGCATATTTTTATTATAAACAAAATTTCAATATGAATATAAATAATTAATTTTCCGAAAATTAAAAACACGTCGAATATGCGCGTACAGCTAAACATGGATTCGATTCCGCTGAGAAAAGAGAAGTAAGATACTGTGACGTAAACAACGCAGCTACTCTGCATCGGTAGAGTTGACGTACGGTTGACATTATTTTCTATACATAGCATTGAGTGGCATTATATGTGTATTTATTGGCATTAAGTTTGCATCAGAATAATGGAACCCATACTGACGAGTTAGATTGTCATGACACTGGTGGTGGTCGTTTGAAAGTACGTCGGGTACATTGAGACAATATTCTAGTGTCTGTACTTTCGATTCTATATTTCTTACCATGCAAATTTCGGCCTACTAGATGATGTTGTTCAAACTACAAACAGTGGCGATCTAGAGTGGACATTTTGTCAACAAAAAATGCGTGTCGTTTCATTACTCTGGTTTGCATTAAAGTCATTGTTCTTATAGTACTGCCTTGCCCCTTGGAAAAAACTTACTTTAATGTAGGAAAATATGCCTCTTTAGTGAACATTATCAACAAACTGCAATATTCGGTGCGTTTTGACCAAAAATTGAAATGTATCAATATATCTTGTTTGCTTTGTATTCAAATGAATTGAAAATGAATTCACCTCAGATCAACATTGCAAACCAGTTCATTTGATATTTATGATTGTATTTCAAATACATTTGAGTTGCATATTCTATCCCATCGACTGTTTTACGTAATTTCATTTTCAAAGTGGAAATTTATAATGAAAAATCAGTACAATCCGATATCTATTGAATGAATTTGCACTCCCAGTTCTCTGTACAACTGTTGGTTTTCCATTGATAAATGAAAATAAAAAATGAATTTTATTTTTCGTTTTTGCTATCAAATATATAAAACTATAATTCATTTCGTTTGCTTGAGCGAAATGTGTGCAATGATGAAAATAAATTTGAAAATATAAATTGTCCATGAAAAACTAGAACGAAATCTCATCAAAACAAACTACGTAAAACTGGCATCAGGAGAAGAACAGAATACTTCCAACGTATTCACAACTTTTATCAACGCAACTTTTCTCTTTATCTACATTGACATATTCGCATTCAGTTCATCGAGTGTGGAATATAAGGAGTTTTTTTCATGTTCAATCAAAAGTTTCTCTATTAGATAACAAGCAGACATATGTCATTCATTTATAAGTGTGCATATTTGAGAGTGTGCATATTGCACATTAAATCGTGTGTATTATCGATAACTTACCAAAAACCATCATTCAGCAGACTTTCGATTGAACATGCAGCGGCTATGCGAATACCATCCTCATTCATAACAGCAGCTCGATCGATACCTTTGTCTTCGGCCAAAAGCATTTGCAAAAAGTCACCAACATTGTGGGATACCGGTCGTAGTGCAAATTGACATTTTTCATTTCGACTTGGCAATGGCACTGTCACATGCGGCAATCCTCTAATGTACTTAATAGTTACTTCTGAAAATAGACAAATAGAAATAATATCGAATGAATAAGTTTTTCGCATCGAATGAAAATCCAAGATTTATAAATATTTGAAATAAAATGATCGAACAATTATCGATCCATTTTGTGAATAGCAAAAAAAAAAAGGTTCTGTAAATTGACAGTTTGACAGAGTTATGCAAAAGTGGGTATGAGATTGATGAATGTGTATTATTCAGAGTGTTGTCGAATATTTTGTGAAGTGGGTTATTTTAAAATTCACTAGCATTTTCATGTGTTAAAGTTTCATCTGCATCTCTTCTCATTTCGTTTCTTAGAGAAGTGCATGAGATGAGTGTGTACATCTCTTTATGAATATTTTCAATATCACGAAAGTGAGAATATTTTCTAAAACAGACACCGATAATGAGCCAAATGATCAAGCAAAAAAAAAAAAACGGTGTCGATTGACCTCCTTTCGAATACATTGAAAAGGATGCAATGAGAAAATGTGAAGCAAGTGAGTTAGATGTGAGTTCATTAAAAATTTATCTACTTCAAATAGTTGTTCTTGTGCTTTTCAATTGCGAATTTTCCTTATTTTTCGATTTCCACTAGTATTTGTCAATTATTCGTGTGAGTGTATCAAGACACTTGGCATGGAAAAGTCGAAAAAAAGAGTTAGATTGCACACTGAAATGCCAAGAGAATTACGAAAATGCTGCCAATCAATTACATGTCTATGCTATTTGAAAACAATGTAAAAAACAAAAATAATCAACATCATTTTTATGTTTTCTGTTGTTGGCTTTTTCCATTTACTACTTTATCTTTGAGCTGAGCTCGGTAGCAGCAAATATTTTAATCAAGTTAATATAATTAAATATCTCGGCCGCTTTCGTGATTTTCAGATTGATAGATTCAACCGATGATGATGATGATGATGGTGATGATTATAAAAGCACTGTTGATTTGAGTAACAAAAAGGCACGCACATCCATATTCATTGCAGTATATGTACACACACAACACGATTGTTCATTGCATCGTTTATTTTCCATTGAATACACAACTAATTTAATATTTTCTATATCACATATAGAATCAATTGAATATGATATTCGGTGCGGTGAAACGATTCTGAGCGCGTATTATTATGAGTGTGATGCGGCTGTTCCATTGTTTGTGCTATTGAAATGGCAATGTTTTGTGTTGTTGTTGTTTCTGCTCTTTTCCTCAGCTCATATTTTTTGACCGTTTTTCGCTTACTTAGTGTATGGCACACAACAGTGCACTACTTGCTAGCACTTGCTGATCTCATTTTGCTTTGCGCACATTTTCTCTGTTTTCGAACTAATAACTGAAATAGTGCATACATTCAACAAAGTATGTTCGACTGTTCACGTCTACAAACCCCCATTGACGCTCTACTACTGTTGGTCTATGTGCTATCTCTCTCTCTCCCTCTCTCTCTTTCGTTGTAATGAAATTCAAAAGCGTCAAAGCTAAAAAGTTTGTCCGACCGATGCGTCGGTACCATTCGTATTATTCAACACTCACCGCATTTTCTTGGTGCATTTCATGCACTTGCCGATGCAGCTATATTGCGTACCGCAGTATAGACTTTTTGAGTGGTTTAAACACATACACACGCCACAGAATCACATAACCAAAACCAAATGCGAATTGAAACAGAAAAATCTATTAATTAAATTGTGGAGACTGTGTGAAAGGCAACACTCTTACTCCATTGAACATATAAAAACGGTATCAATCAAAGACTGATTCGATATCACTATAATTCAGTTCAGTTGACTTCCACTGAACTGATTTCAACGATTATTATATGCATAGCAATACGGAAAGTTACGGAAAGGATGGCCGTCTTGTTGAAGTGCATGTGCTTTGAGCATGTTTACACACCATACATATTGGACGTGTAAACAGTATTTTTGACTCTAAAAGGGTACGAAATGGGATCGATTCCAATTGAAATTATATTATCACCGTTTCATTAAATGATTTTCCATCGTTTTGGAGTGAATTGAGTGTTTTCCCACTTCAATACCGATCATTTCACAATCATTTTTATCTAAATTTCGTAGCGGGTTCGAGTGCGTTCATCAAAAAAAAAAAAAATACTATCTACCTTATTGCTCACACATCATATCATTGGTACAAGTGTTAAGATTGGGTCTAACAATTATTCTCAATATGAAAAAAATAATCTACAAATACGAAAGTAAACTCATTCATTAATAACATTATTATATATTTGCTTCGAGAACTGCACATGCATTTCGAAACAGCGTTTAAGTGTGCGGCAATGATAATTGATCATCTTAAGCACACTGTACACTGCTCCATAAAATCTATAGAGCATTAAAATTATGTTATGCGCCCTCACATATTCATTTATTCATACATTTCTTCATACTATATCTATTTTGTGTTCGAGTTTTTTACGGTTTTCCATCGTTTTTTTTTTTTTTTTTGTTCACTCGTTCTCTTCATCTCTCTTTTCTTCGGCTAACGCGGGCAATTCTTTCATTTCGGTTTGTGCGTTACGGTTTTTTTTTTCATTTAAAATTAGGCTTGAAAGGCACGCAAATATCACATAAAATCCAAATAACACTTCTCACTTGCTTCAAATTTTTGTTGATTTGGTCGGTTATTTCGCTGTTGTTTTATTTATTAGCTGTACTGGCAATATTCAACTACTTGCTTACGAAAAATGTGCAAACAAACTGACAGACAGCAAACGAATTGATAAACGGTTTACCAAATAGCGTGCACCGTGCCATCGTGTTTAAGTAGCCAACGAAGTGGTTTCAAATGGGACAAATTCATTTGGAATTGTTATTGTTGGCTTAATATCAACAGCGTATAATTGAGGTTTGCTGGTATGTTGAACGAATGTGTTCATTCGGGATCCTTTCATATTTATTATACACTTTTCAATATGATAAAAGTCATTTTGTCGTCAAATCAAGTCAATCTCTTTCTTCGATAAACGCATAAAAAATTCAGTCAAAAAAATCGCCAATCAAGACGAATGGAAATCGCATAGAAAATTCGTAAAATGTTAAGAGGGGAGAAATACCGATAAGAAAATTGCATAAGTTTATGATGTGAAGTGGATATTATTGTAGCGCTACACGAAATCAAACATCAGATTTAAAACCTATTTTGCGGAGATTATCAGTTAATTTGGCGAAGAAAAATCAACACATTTGTTAACTCTTTGCTCATCATCCAAATTGAATTGAGAGGCTTTCATCTAAAATACAATCGCACACGATTATAGCACTAGAGCCAAAGTGAGCGAATTCATTATAAAAACAGAAATAAATATTAACTCAATCGAAGAATATTAGCGCCGTTTCGCAGATGATGTTAATGTTGTTGTTATTTTTTTTTAAATAATTAAACCAAACCAATTAATAGCAGACATTGTACCGCATTTTGCAACCACGAAAATGTGTGGGCTTGTATAGTGTACGCACACAATGAACAAATGCAATACATTATAACGAGCTGTATCGTTGAAGCTTCGGCTTAAGCTTTGGATGGACTGGAGAAGGAAGCAGTAAACAAAGAGATTTTCTTTAAATGTGTATCAAAACACTGTAAACTCTATAGCGCGCAAAACTATCGAAGTATTAAATTTATTAGCTTTGTTCATCTATCTATATATTCATTCTTCTTTGCCGTCCTCTTCTTCGTTCATTTTATTGTTTTCAATTTTTTTTCTTTTCCACCAAAACCTGTGGAATTCACTTCAGTTATTGTTAACATTTCATTGCGATCGGACCGGGTATCGATTTGTTATTTGTCTTAACAACACTGAGACACACAGAGCGAAACATTTAATCGGGAAATTTTGTTGCAAAACCATCAAACGTCCATAGAAAAACAACGAAGAGTTACATTTATATCTTCATTGCATCGAACCATTTATTTTTTTATATTTGGTTAATTTGGAGAAAACATTTTCTGGAGATAAAAAAAAATATATATTAAAAAAAAGTGGAAAAGTGCTGGGAAAAGAAAGGATATTGAGACAATTGATGATAACGGTGAAAACAGCAGAAATATTATACTAGTGCTAACGAACACAAAATCAAGTATAGAAAAATACGACGTCTGTTCCCGCCGAAACAGAGACATTCAGCAACAAAAGCAAAAAAAAAGAAAATTCAATTTTTTTTTTTGAGTGAACGGTGTTTTAATTGCCATCAACATAGGTTCGGGACAAAGTAATGGTTTTTGTAATGGAGGCACTCGAATGGGATATATGCAAGGATCACAGACACGTAGCAAGTATAAGTAAGTTGTTAAATAAAAAGCCTAATTATTAATTCGGTGCAATTGATGCTGAATGCAAAAGTACCACATATCTCTTGATTAACGATGACCACATATAACCACTGGTCATTTAATTTATCATGAAATTTCATGTTGCATTCGTACACAATTCAGTGAACTTTAGTTTGATTAAGAAACTTTTGACAAGTGCTTTTTTTTTGTTTTTCTTTTTGAGTTTGATTACTTCATTCATTGCACACAGTTCTGCAAAAAAAAAGAGTGTAACTATTAAAGACCTAACTGTTAAAGACCTTCTTTCCAATTCTATAAATTATATATTGATTGATTTTGAGGTTTGATACCGATTATTAGACCATCACATATCGCTGCTTCGAATAAATTGAAAACAAAAGACAACAAAAAATGAACAGTGCCATCAAACAAAGATTGATTTCATTGATGTCACCATTATTATTTTTTATTTTGTTTTCAAAAAAAAAAGTTTTGCGCATTCTTTCACTTCCATTTTCGTCAAACACTCCGCAATGATAGCGTTAATGTAATTCTTTGTTGTTATTTCTTTTCAACAACATAAAAAAACACCTGCAATTTAACACTCTAATACAATTCATTTTGTAAGTTAGCACGCCCCAAACTTAATGCACAGTTATGCCTTATTGATCGAATAAATGATTGTTTTCGTTGCGTACAACTATTCCGTCGAGCAGCCCCTCTGGAGGTAACAGTCAAGCTATATAGATTTATTATATCCATTCATCAAATCGTAGTGTGGGGCAAACGCCTAAAGATGTATTTGTTTCAATCGATTTATTCTGCTGAAACACACTTCCAGTTCGATTGATGATAATGTCATTTTCAACATTGCATTGCGGTTTCATTGTTGTGCGCTATCTATTTTGTTTGCAATCACATCAAAATTATTGTGCCTGACAAATTGCAGAGTGAGAACATTAAAATTGATTTATTAAAATCTCAAATAATATCAAACCATTAATTATTGGTCCGCTCACATTTGATGGCATTTGGTTTGTCGGATTTCGTTTCTCTTTGATACTTTTTTTTTTAATTTTTGTCCAATGCTATGATAATATGTAATTTTCGTAGATTTTCAATTCAAAAACTTAAGATATGGACCAGAAACACACTTTATTTTCAAATTGTGAAAATAGTGAAAAATCCACAAAAAATACTGGCATTGAAAATTCAAATTATGACATTTGCAAAAATATCGGAGCGAAACGAAATCGGACAAGCCTAGATATGGCATTCAACGCTTAACGCACAAAAACACCTCGCTGCATAAAACACACTACATTTTAAAAGCGATATTTGCACTGCACATGAAAATGTTGTCGGTTTTGAATTGTCAAATAATTACCAGTTGCCGTGCAATGAATTTCAATATCGTCATGTTTTTAATGCTTTTTAATAGAATTTCACTGTGAATTGATGTCCTGAGATTTTCGACGCTTTTTATTTTCACATTTTCTCACATTTGATTTTGAATGTTTCGCTTAAAATTTCATTTATTGTTTGAAATAGTGTCAAAATTCTCTTTTTTTTAGTAATTAGATTCCTTTGCGTCATTAGAATTTCCTTACAAGCCACGCACATCATTTACCTAACTAACAATCATAAGCATTTTGCTTGAAACATAAATCTTTGTCGCAAATGAACCAATTATTTTTCAAAAATGCCCCGATGTTCATTATTGTTTTTTTTGTTGTTGTTTCGTTTGTTTATTGTCTTTGTTCGTTCATCAGTCTCTCATTAAAATTGTTTGTGACAACAAAAATTGCTTGTGATTTATGTCGGTAATTTTTAGCACAATGAACTATTCGAAACCATTTCACATTGGCGAGCATGTCTTTTTTTTGGGAAAAACAAAAGCTTTTGATGGACATGCTGATGTTGAATGTGTGATCATCACAATGAATTTTCTATTTCTGATTCATTTCGATATCAACAGTAATGTATCCTGTCTACTGCAAATGGTGGTGTCATGTCCGACACAGAATAGAATCGAGACGACAAAAGTGTGGTTTTTGTTTTTGCAAATCATGTCATGTTAAAGCCTTGTTTGTTATTTCAATATACGTACCGATACGGAAAATACTTTTGATGAACATTTTACAAACAAATAAAATCCTCTTGCAAAAATAAATAAAACTAATTTACACTCAAGCAGATGCTCAACGCAATTTTCTGATTATATCAACGATTAGATGTCACTCATGCGAGTGCCAAATTGTAATTTAACGTATTGTCTTTGTTGAAGATTTCACATTTTCATTTCATCAACAACGTCATCACCGCGTGAAGATGAAAATTAGTAACATCGTCAACCAATTATTTTATTGAATATATCCATCACATCGCATTTGTCCAACATGAATGATTTTATTTAACCTAATAGATGTTGATCATTGTGATCTTTGCATTTATTGTCAAAAGAAACATTACATTGTCGTTTAGAATGCGGCGCCTGGTAACCCAAAGCTTTTAAGATGTAATGCTGGTTTTCTATGTGACTCAGCCGCACACACTCATATGGATGAAACCGTGCACGCCAAATACTGTTCATAATAAGAGAAGCACGTAACGGCTATAATGAATTGTTGATTTCTTCATTTCATATTTATCATTTTTCCGTAATTTTCGTATCTTGAGCGGCGACGAATATTACTGTGTTGTTGTTTTTTTTTCTCGCGCGCCATTATATTGTCATATTCATTTAACGTATACATGAATTGAACAAGTGTGTGCACTGTAGTGTGAATGATTTTTGTTTTGTTTTGTCGGTGTGCGTTTTTGTTTTCATTGTTCATTTTTTTTTCACTGCCGCTTATGATTGTTTTATTTGTCTTTCTGTACACATATATATATGTATTCTGGTGCGTTTGTATTTTTATATATATAAATTTATTTATTTTTTTTTCTCATTGTTGTTATTGTAATTTTGTTAATTATGCGACGTTTGATGCAAATACCATACTGTACCACCATTGAAGTGTATGGTGTAAAGCACACGAGGTTCTGTGTTTGTGACTCGACTGGAATTGAAATAGTTGTCAAAAATAGCCACAGTTGATCGTATCCAAGTGAAGTGTGATTCAGAATATTTTACATTTTGGATTAAATCCATAGACAAGATCCACATTTAAGAACAAAAAACTTAAGGTGAGAACGTGATAGAAAAGTAAACGTTGAAACATGCTCATTTTGGAGAAAATTGTGAAAAATGTATAAATTGGCACAATTCATCGCCTTATCGTTTAGTCGCGTGATACTTTCAACAAAATGCTTTTTAAATAGTTGAATTTCGGCTCTTTTTAAGTTTTGTCAATTGAATAATTAACAACATTCAGGCGATCACATGAGATATGACAATGAATCGAATTGGTGTGAATAGTCTATTTGTATAGCAAAATTCAGACTTTTTCTTATATAATTTCTTGTTTTAAAAGTGTTTTTTTTTATTCTCAGCTCCTTTCGTATATATATTTCGAACTCATTCAAGTGTTTTTAATTTCCTTTATTTTGTGTAATGTTAATTTCATTTTACGAAACTCATTATTGTGGCCAAACAAGATATAAAAAAAGTATCGCGTGTAAACGAAATATAACTGGAATATTGCATATTCAGTACCTGTTGATCTCTTTATTTATTTCGAACATTCTGCATCGAAATGGATTATAAATATATATATTTTTTTGGTTTAACTCGAAAAGTTTTAAGTAAAATAAAAATGATTTCAGTCAGACCATTCGTGACTCTCTTTAAATGGTTCTGGTGCAAACCAAATGGATTTCACAAGAATAGAGATTGAATTAAATGGACTGAAAGCTATAGTTTATTGCTTATGTCATAAAAAAAAATAACGAACGCCTCTCAACGGAGCGAGAACAATTTTTCTTTGTTTTCTGTTGGGGCATTTAAATATAAGGGAAATTGTATAAATGAATTTGGTATGGTTCGTGCATGGAATATAATCGATTTTCTGAAATCCTAATGGATTTTTTTTTTTGCTAAAAGCAAAGCTGTGTCGAAATCTTTTTTCAATTCTGAAATGAATTAAAATACGATTTCAGCTACGGACGATGACGATGACGACAGCGACGATAGTTGAATAATGATTCGAAATAATTCTACAGGGATTTTAGTTCGATTTATGACTTTCCCGTGAACATTTAACTTTAACTTGAGACAAAACTATATTTAAATTACAAAACAATAGTGGCATGGCGTCATTCATGCATGCAATTTCATTCAGAGAATTCAATTCAGACAATTTTTTTTGTCTACTTAAAAATACAATGCGGGATTTGTTCTAGGATTTAGTACTTTCGAATGTTTGACGTCTCTCGTTGCCGTCGTAGAATTGTTCTTATCGCAAATCATCTTTGTAGTGAATAAAAAAAAATATCTGAGACGAAAGTAAAATAAAATAATTCCTCACTCGGTCGAGTTCATTTTGAAGACGCACGGAGAATTTAATAAGAGTAATAATTTGTTGAATGGCATACCCGTGTGCAAAACTACTGACTCACTGACTGATTGGCTGAAATCAACTGAAAATGAGTTTTGTTAACTGTAGACGTTTAACCACTTGACGACAGTTGTCTATTTATTTGATTTTAAACAGACGAATATAGCTAATTGTGATGGAAATTGGCTTAAGTCAATAACATTCCAACTTAGCCAACTGACTAGTTAGTGAATATTTTTGCACACGGGATATGCTTGAGTCGGAAATAAAAATAGACATCTACTGATACAACAAATCAAATTAGGGGAAAAAAAATCTGTTGTTGTTATCACGCTTATGATTATAATGACCCTCGATAATCTGCTCATGATATTCAGTTTTCGAAGACTAAAGAGCTCACATTCAAATTGCACGAATCACGAGTTTGATTCGCAATGGAGAAGTGCGTCCAATTAAAACATTTTAATCAAACAAATGGTACGCACTAAAACAAACAAAATACATCCACACAATACAACGTGCCCTTCTTACTTTTACACGGGAAATTCTATGGTCAAGTGATGATCAACTGAAAGTGTGCCGTATGAACGGTACACGATATTGATACAATTCATTGCATTTGGAATGAGAGAAACTATGTGGAAGCGGAACTGCGGCACAATGAATTTTAATCCGCTCAACAACAAAAAAAAGATGGTTTAACATGGTAAAAGATGCATACTGAATGAGCCGCGCACACTGAATGAAAACTATTTCATTTTGTCATATATATGAAGAGTGTGCGCGCCCGTGTGTGTGTGAGTGTGTGTGGACAGCTGACAAGATTCGGAAAAAAAATTTGAATGAGACTTTAACGTGTGTTGTACATGCAGAGAACATTTCGAAAAGTGCTTTGGCAGAGATTTTGAATGACCTGTATAAAGATGTCTAATGTCATGTAATCCAATCAGATTAATAGAAATCACTTAGCATATATTCTTGGGTGGCATCCATCACATTTATCATCACACATCAAGTTAAACGCTCTACAAATAAAAGTGGAAATATTGCCATGCACAGGAGTCGGTCGCCGTCATCGTTGTCGCTAGTCAAGACGAATGATTGACTCACGCACCTGTTCACCACCACTAATGCGCTTGGCTAAATCTTAAATTACTATTCATTTATTATGTAAAATTTACGTTTCATAAAATACATTTACATTTTCATTCGAGAACTTTATGCAGACAGACCATTTTGAATAGCATCATTTCTTAAATCCCATCTACTCATATACATTCGAAACATAATCTCAATGTAAACCCTGTATGCTAAATGGTATAACTTAACCACGCACATTATGGTTGTCGTTCGGTGGGGATGTGTGTGATTTTTTTTTTTTTTTTTTTGAGATAAATGTTATGTTTATCGCACACTTTCATACTCCCAGTTTGCAAAAGTACGTTCAATTTGTACATTTTCAAGTTTGATGTAAATAATAAAATTCCGATTTATTTTATGGTTACGATTTATTTTTCTGCCAACCTATGACATGATATCGCACTATAGCGATGAAAGTGGGACCATTGAATAAAAGACAAACTCAAATTTATGATTTGTCATTTCGTGCAATTCACACCACAAGAGTGAAATGTAACAAATGTCAATGTACATTGGCCATAAATTATGCACTGGCTACGGAAGAGAGGTAGCCAATTGTCAACAATTTGATTTTAATCATAGCAGATAATCGTTATGGATGTGCGTGTTACGTTATTATTTTTTTTTATTTTTTTCAATTTTGTCTATTCATTTCTAATGGATTAATTTATCGTGCATTGTTCATCGCTTTTATGCTGACTGATTCATATAGTGGTATTTTTTTTTAAAATCTGTTTTCATGCGCTTTGAACATTTTTAAAATGCAGTTATACTTGAAAATTTCATCGGAAACGAAGCGCTAGTATGAATTTGTCGAAAAGTACATAGAAGAATATGTATGGGTTTGTTGTCGACGATTGAACTAGCAATGCATATAAATGTTGATGTGTTTGTTGTGTTTTGGTTCGATTCAATGAACACTCGTTTCAATGCATTTTAAGTGTGTTTGATTTTTCATTTTGTTTGCATATACGTGTGCACAAAACAATTGAATTGCGCACAGCTGATTGAAAAAAGATTTTTGAGAAATTAGATGAAATAACTTTTCAAATAACATTTTCGCTAGATTTCAGCGTGCGTGTGCTTGTCATGCTTATTGTATATATTTAAGGCATCACGTTCATTTCCAATCGCTCTAAATCATCGAAAATGTTCTCATTAATTTTTCAATAAATTGCTTCCCTTAATAAATTTTTGCATAATAAATTATGCACACACAAACACACACCCACCCATCCACAAATATAAACACAGGAGTTGTTCGTTTGTCGAAAGTGTTGTATATATCAATTTGCATTGTAAATTTGTGCGATTGAATGTATGTAATTTCTCTCGTCTCTAAAATGGTTGAAAATCAGAAATTTCGTTATATCGACTAATTAGACACGAGGAAATAACCGATTTCAATATGAGATAAGCATACACATAAATACCGGATTTCGTGTTTACACTGCGCAGTGTGTGCTTGACAAAAATATGAAGCGTTGTCGTCTATCGTCTCGGCAACAACGGTCAAAGCGGCGAATCTCTGTTCAACGACATGTGTATTGTACATGCAACAACTATTAGGCGCAAACATGGTGCTCGAAGATGTTTTTTTAATGTACATGTGATATATTGCAGTCAAAATTTAATGATTTTCCGATGAAATACAAATGTGTATATATAAATATTTTTCTACTCGTTCGGATGATGCACGGTTTGGATGAAGGTTTAAATGTAATTGTTTTACAAAATGCTGTTATCTTATTCACTACACGTATATACATAAGATAAAAATGATTCTCTTTTTATGTAGTTACAAAATAATCTTATCTTCATTGCCAACTGAATAATTCTCAGAGATTTTGCATTGCCCTTCATTCGCATACTAAAGATTCTCTCGATTTTTATCTGAACGGTTAGTCATTTTTTTCTATTTCAATCCCTTAGAGCACAGTGCTTTGCATATTGAAAATCGTTTGACGCATTTTGTAAAAATCATCAAATTACTTAATGCATAAGTCATTTTCATATTGATTTTTCTTCTTTTAAATTGAGTGAGTGTGATGTGTGTGTGTGTGTGTCTGTCTATCGATCAATCTTAACATGCATTTAATTAATAATCAGATTTTGTATAATTTTTGTCTCGCGCGTAATATAGAAATACTGATTCAGCACAAAATCACGTCGATCGTGTTCGTGTACCCGATCCAAATTGTCAATTTGGTGGGCCAGGCCGTGGATCCGGTTGGCGTCATCGTTCATTATCCAACATCGATTTAACCTCACAGAGTAAGCATTCGTTCACTAAACAAACGAAAGGGTACACATCCAGTTTGTACGATTTATATTCACGTTTAGAAGGCCGAAAAGATAAAAACGATTTGGAAAACTTGTACGGAAATACAAACGTAAATAGTGGTGAGTATTAAAATCCATTGCTGACCTCTTATGTCAATTCGGTTGGTTCTTCCATTTTTTTTTTGCACTATTTCTACCACATTAAGTCGTTGGACAAACACATTTTCGATATTTAAATGGCAATAAGAGCGGTCATATTCAAATCAGGCCATGCATATTTCAAGCGTAGTTTGTGTGCAACGATACATCAATCGTATATCATGAGCTCGTAATGCTGCTCACGAGATGTTATTTTTGCCGTTGGTTTTTATTTGTGTGTGTGTTTATGTTTTTTTCCTCGTTCAGCTCCAGCCATTTTTCACTTCGTTGATTATGCTGTCTTGGGAATTTATTTACCAAGTCAGCATTATCAACAATTTTTCTAACCGCTTTACTCGGTCATGCTATCGAATAGAACATATATATCTAGTAATATTATTTCTGACTCGTCGGTTTATAAAATTTGTGCTCTTCTTTCTTGTATTTTCTGTTTTTCTTTGATGTGCACTTTTTCTTCAATTTTAACACACATTTTACCGCAAATTTAAACGATGACTAATAATTAATGATTCGTCTGTCATTTTTTATTTGTTCATTAAATTAATTCTTTTTTTGTATGTTTGTTTTATTTGGCAGCTGAAAAAGTTGAATCAATATATGATCGTATTGAGCAAACTTTAGACACAATTAACAAATCGGAATCGTGTAGCTTGCGTCGTACCAGAAGTTTGGCTGTTATACGCGAAGAGACATTCAACGATTTACAAATTGGTAGCGGCATCCGATCGAGACGCTCACAATTGATACCACGTGCAAAGCTTTTGAATCGCAGCTTCTTCCAAAATCGGTATAATTTTTTAAAAACATTTTCTATATTCAGTATTTATGAAACTAAAGTCAATTTAGAATGAGCAGATATATTTCATGCGCATCTCTTCCTGAAATTCACTTATTTACGTCGATTAGAACAATGAAAAAAGAAGTGATTGAGCTGTGTTCAAATGCGAAATGAATAAAAGTTTCAGCTTTGAAATGCGCTTTGAACACACAATATTCCCATTATAAAAATGTTGTGCACGTAATTGTATTTACGAGCATCGTAAAATAATGATAATAAATAATTACAGAAAATGATTTATTCGATAAAAGAAAGAAAACACAAATTGCTCTTCCCTCCATGAATCATAAGTTCACTTCCAGCAAAACAAACTCACTTATAATTTTAGTTTTTTGTGTTGTGATTACAGCAGCAACAGCAGCACCAATAACAACAACAACAAAGTACATCGGAAGAAATATCGGGGTGAAGACGATAGTGGCAGTGGCGTTGATACGCAAACATCCGAAACTCGCGAATCGGATGATTATTGTGGTAATTTAAAGAAGCTTCAAGGCACTCAAATCATTCAAAAGGGCGATCAAAAACTATTGCCCGCTTTGTGGGTTAATGACAAAAGCGATTTGGACAGTCTTGATTCGGATTATTTTAAAAATTCATTGCATCAATTGGACGGCAGTGGAATCTATTCGACATATGAAGGCAAAGATCCATACACGGGTCGAATAATTGGTACGCCAGATATATCACTTCAAAACGGTTACATTGACGATAATTTATCACTGAGATCGGATGCACAAGAGCAATCACCGTTGCCCGACTATTGCACCATCAAAACGGATGACATCTATTCAAACAATAAATTTGTTAGCGCCGAAGATGTATCGGTGATTCATGTAAACGGCGGCACCAGCAGCGTTGATACGAACACATACAAAGCGAAACGATCGAATGGACCATTGATAATTTGTGAAAACGAACAAGCCGAAAATCGTCGTATATCGGATATTGTTGGCATTGATGAAATTGAACCAGATCGAAAACCGAAATTCCGTGAAGACCATAAAAGTGTAATATCGTACGATTCAATTTATTTGTCGTCGGAAGGTAGCAACGAAGCGGCAACCATTGTTGAAGAAGAGGAAAAAATTAACGAATATCTATCGGATAACAATTATTCCACATTGAGCGAATATATGAACACAAAAAAGGACACAAAAGCAACGACGACGACAACAACAACAACAACGGAAGCATCAACAGCAATTATTGAACCAATTGCAAAAGAAGACGGTGACAATTTATACAGTCAAATTAACAAAAATCCACCAGCAAGAAGCGGCAACATTGCAAGTGAAACAAAAACAAAACTCACCACATTCTCGGATATATCGAATCGTGGTACATTAGAACGGCTCACATTCATTTCGTCGGGAAGCGGTGCGCACAACAACGAAATCAATAAAAAGGTTGAAAAACCACTGCCACCAACAACATTAACACCACGTGATTCGGTTGCTATTGAAAATCAGTACTGTTCATTGCCATTGGCAAATATTAACAAAAGTCTTCAAGCATCGGAACGAATTGATGCAAAACTTCGATTGTCTTGCTATCCATTGGAAGAGCAAACGAAAATTTACGATTCGATTACAAACTTTGGTCGTGCCCATAAAAAAATTCGACAACGCGAATCATACGAACCATCACCACCACATCCAATACCAATTCAAAAGGAGGTCAAATCAAAAGAGCCGATTTTCATTGAATTTTCAAAAATTGTGCCGGAACAAGCTGTTATCGTTGCGCCTGCCACCATTATTACCGCACCAGTTGCCATCGATGCTCTCGACGACAACGTTTTGAGTGGCGTGACAAAGAATAATTCAATTGTCAAAAACAACAGTGCCGATGAATCGAATCATTTAGTGAAAATCGATGAAGAGTGTATTTCATTATTTTCAGCGGAATTGAATGAAGTGGATAATTTGAGCACAAAAAATTGTGAAATCGACGAAATTCGTGAAAAACCGAAAAACATTTTATTGCCGGCCAAACAAAAATCAATCGAATATAGTAGTTCACCCGACATTCAAATCTCACGAGATAATAACATCGAAGAAACGGTTGATGTGCCAGCTGTTAAAGTAAACCGAAGCGGTGGTCATAAATCATATCAAAAATCACATTATTCGAAACGCCAACACCATCATTACAGCAAAAGTGGTGAACGTTTTGGCGATAGTCGCGAACATCGTATGCATTCGAATTTAAAAGTCAATTTGTCGAACACGTTGAAGCGTCGCTTGGAAAATAAAACCAAACATAATCTCAACGAGAAATTGACACGAAACAACGATAAATCAAGACACCATAAGCATCATCATCGTGTCCAGCAGGCAATTATTGAAAACATTAAAACACACATTGTTCAACCAAATTTCAATATGTCACGACCGCAAATAATGCATGTAATCGATTCGAAACGCAATCTACCAAAATCGGCGTTAAAAAATAGCAAAGAAAATAAAGAAAATGAAATGATCAATGTGAATACGACGGTAACCGGTCAGGCGAAACATGAAATGCTACGAAAAGTCGATTCGGTTAGAACCTATTGGTCAAAATTAATTGATACCGTTGATGGTGATGAAGATATGGTTGACATGATGGAAAATTTACAAGACAATCGAAATTTAAATGCATCAACCACATGCATTAGCGAAACGATGAGCGCTAATTCAACACTTAATCGTATACTTGATACAAATAAATTGAAAAAATCAAGTAACGAAGAAATGGTCTTGAAACCACCAACCATTAGCGTTTCCAATAATACTTTACGGCGAGCTGCATCGGCCGCATCAGGATTACATTCATTATTGTATACGGATCGTGATGAATTAAACAGTTACACACCATCGGTGGAAATTGTCGAATTGGACGATCAAAAGCAAGCCGCTATTGTAAAGGTACAAGGAGTTGATGCCGAAGATTTCGATCATGTTCGATACAAAGTCATGAAAACTGATACATTCCAGAAAAACTTGCTCAATCACACCCGTAAAGAACCACCATTGGATGGACTGTTACAGTATTTGAACGACTATCGTTTTCAGGTACGATAAAAAAGCACTCAATAAATCGAGTAATTTAAGTAAAGTGCACATACAGTATGCACTAGGCTTGTCGGATTTTCTTTCCATTTGAGACCTATATCGAAAAGTTCGGATTGTAGATTCCAGAGAAACACATTATTTTCAAATTATAGTAACAGTGCTACTGCTGTAAAACAAAAATGTCATAAATTGAGTTTTTAAAGTGGAAATCCACACAAATTCCAAATTATGGCATTGAAAAAAAAGTACCAGAGAGAAAGCAAATCCGACAAGCCTTGTATGCACAGAATGTTTATAACCTAATCCTTCTTTACTGTTTAGATAGATATACAGTCGATAGATTTAGTTTTATTTTTACGATTCGTCCGACCGTTCATTTTCCAATTTTATGAATTTTATAGGAATTATTAACCCAGAATAATGTGGTCATAATTGAACCGGTACGAACGAAAATCGAACCAATATCCAGTAAATCGCACGAATCGCCACTTTTAACTTGTAAAATAACTGCTGGCGCTGGAAAAGGTGACGGTAGCAAAGGTGGATTGCGAAAGCATTTCTTTTATCATCCGATCCGTGTCAATAAAGAGTTGATTGACGAAGAGCTACCCACACCGGATACCGTTCGTAATGCAAAAAAACTCTTTGAAGAAACGTTACTTCTGTGCCCGATGAAAGCACAAAAATCGAGAAGCATGATTGGTTTGAATGAAAATTGTAAAAGTATCGATCGAAAATATTTAACCTTGGAAACATTCAACAATGGGCAAATGAAGAGTAACAGTAAACATAGTTTGAATACTAGTGGCATTATTTATAGTGGAACTGGTAACGTATGTAATCGTATTAAGAAATGGGATTCATCGAGTCTCTCGAGTGGAATATCTAGCGGTGATTTGAGTTCACCGTGCGATTGCAACGATAATGATGACACAAAAATGATATCCAACGAAAATGCAAATGAACTATGCGAATCATACTACGTAAGCCAGGTATTTATTGAAATTGATTTTGTTTTTTCTTTTCGTTTCTTACTATAGAGTTAACGGATAAAATCCGTTTAACGTCACCAAATGACTCGTGTATTCAATTGTAAATCGATAGATAATCTCATTAGAGTTTTTTTTTGTATGTTTGTTAGTCAAAATTGAATTTTCGCATTGATTTCCTTGTTTATTTGTTTCGTTTCGTTTCATTTCGCAATGGGCCGAATCCTACCGTAATGCTTTCAAATAATCAAAGGATATACTGGAAAAGATACGTGAATGTGGCTCATCGGTTACGTACTATGGCGGTCGTGTGCTGAATAATCAATCACCTGAAGTGAGCCCAATGACAAAAGCTATAATGCGAGAAATTCACCACAGTGATAATAACATTTGCGAAGTTTGTCATCCAAACAACGGTTCACATGCTAACCGATTATACACAAATTTCTGTGATGCGGATAAAAATCATTTGGGTAAATGAAAAGATATTGCCACCATGGCATCATATGCTATTACATGAGATTTTATATGTGACACAACTATGTTATCAATTTCTTTGTTTCATTCTCATTTTTTTTCTCTTCTTTCATTGTCATTTCGTTGCTTCGTTAGGTATGAAATTACGTTTAATAAAGTCAAATAGCTGCAATAGCCGCTTAGAATTGGCCGGAACACGTTTTAATGATGGGCCATTACATAAATTTTGCTCGCGAAATCGTAGCATTTCGAATACAGAGGACACCGTACGAAATATCATCCAACGAATTGAAACGAATGCAATTCAAGAGAAACGCGTACCACGTATCATTGAATCGAAATGCATCGAAAAAGCGGCCACCGATGCAGCAAAAATCAAACCAATCAGCTCATTTCGAAAGCAAGATTTGAGTGGATTGTCAAAATCAATGGATCGATTGGGACCGATTGAGATACTATCACAAGTCAGTGTGAAAAATCACATAAATGCAATCGGAATGAAAGCGAATAGCAGCGGTTGCATTGGTGGCAGCAGCAGTAACATCGTCGCCAAAGTATCAAAAGAAGTTTTATTGCCACGTAATAAAGACGTTGATCTTGCACTTCAAATGAACATAAAATCGCATAAAGAAAAAGATAAAGTTAAAACCGCAACACGAAAGGAACTATTGAATGGCAACAAGGAGAAGGGCAACGCAGGTGAAATTCGATCAACAACAAGAAAAACCGGTCCAATTACAGCCACCGTTCGGCCAACATCGATGCTCACCAAAGCCGAATTGGATGAACGACAACAAATCAAGGAAACTCATAAAGCAATATTAGAGGATTTGTGTAAGGTGGTCGCCAGATCCGAAGAGGAAAAAAGCAAGAAAAACAACTTAGTGAAATGGGACTCACTTGAGAAAAACTATTTTGCAAATGATATGGCCTTGAAACGTAAACCAAAATACGATGACATTGAATTTGAAGAATTTGAAGTAATCGAACCGAAAAAATGAACCGACCGATGCATATGGCAGCAAACAAAAATTTAGCTTAACTTTTAAGCATTTATCGCATAAAGTTTATTTGTTGTTATTGTTTTTCCAAAATAATCGGCCAAAAAGTGTTCAACAGTGCCTACAAAAACAAAAACAAAAACGGAAACAAACAGCAACGTATTGATTTCCTTGTCTAATTTCAGGCATTGGTACGTAATGTAATTGGCGTGAAATTATAAAATGTATATGAAGCAAAACCCACATTTAAAATTAATCACATTCAATCCACTTAATGTTTGTTCTATTTTTTTTTCATTACTTTTCATTCACGCCTGTTCTCTGTATTTATTTTTATAAGAATTTCTTCGAAAAATGTATTTCACTTTTCAGCGATCCAAAAAATGAAATGTAGCGGTGCCCAAGTTCTTGAAAACAACTATATGTAGTTTTGCTTGCAAAGATTGTTGGTAACATACTATGAGAAAAAAAGGATTTATTCATTATACATATACATTCATACAAAACACTTATTATTTATTTTATAAATTCATTTCTATTGAGTCTGTTTGGTTTATCATATGTTACTGAAAACGAAAATATTACAGTTGTTAATTGAAATTTAAATAATATAATAAAGCCTATAAACCAGATTTTGTGCGTTTTAATTTATTTTGGCCACTCCTGATTCTGTTCATGTCCTTCATGTTGCATGTATAATATGCGGAAAGCCAAATGACTATGTATATTTAAACGTGAACAAGAAGAACAAAATTGCATCGATAATTGGAAAAAAAGAGGGTAAGAGAGCGAGGAGCGAGAGAGAAGTCAAAATGGCCATACCGAGATATGTCAAATAAGTTTGTTTATTCTGTTTCATAAAGTTTTAGCCTTGTTTTCTTGATTTTTCAATTTTCTGCATTCTTTCGGAGAAATTATTATGTTCGGTGTATGTTTCCTATTTGTTATGGAATTTTGAATTTTTCATGTTCATTTTTTCTTCTCAGCTCCAATGTTTTACATTAATAAGCAACAAAAAGAGCAAAACATTTGGCAAATAATGTGAGAAATTCGTGCGGTCGGGCGGTTCGTTCGTGTATGCGTGTTTGTTTGCTGCCAGTGTGCACGCTTCATCCGCACTATTTTCATTCAATATACGCTAAAAGGAAATTTAAAAGGGATATACGGTGTCGCATGTACCGTGAAAATAGGCGTACCACACTTTTTCAATGCCATAAAAATTACATTCACACCAAACATTTGTCATTAAAATTGCTCGTTTTTTCTCTCTTTCTCTCTTCATACCATTTTGTAAGAGCGAATCACTTTTTACCATATCTCCTTTTCTTTTATACCATGCGAGTTCATTTTTTTTTTGTTGTTGTTGTTGTTTCACTATCAGAACTTACTCGTTTAAATGAGGGGCTCATGCAACGATTATATTATTACTTGTTATTAAGCATTTTGTATGTGAACGTAAGTGTGCATTCATCACACGTACGAAATTATTTGATGTTCGGGATTCAAAAATTAATGCCAACATTAAAATGTGTATTTTTTTTTCGTTGGGAATGTATCTGTTTTATTATATATATTTATGTTGCATACAAATAGACTTGCCTTTGTTTTCTTTTGTCTTTTCGTCACTGCTGTGAGAATCACTGGTGCTTGAGCGCTTATCATCTCCTTCGTCATCGCTTGAGGTGCTCTCAATTCGTTTCGATGAACTAAAGCTTCTACCATTATGTTGTCGATTTAATGATGTCTTGAAAGTTATAAAGAGAGGAAGAGATAGAGAGAGAGAGAAATGTTATAGTTATAAATTTTCGATGAAAACAAAAGTCATTTATTTTTATGTTAGCATTTTCAAAGAGAGCATATTTTTTGAATCGTAAATTGAATGATTCGATGAATAGTTGAAAAAGAGCAACAGCAAGATTCGTACGTAGAAGGGTTGGTTATATTATATTATTTTAAAGCACGTTTGATTGGTTTTCAATTGGAAAAATGAAGAGCTTGCATTCAAACATTAAAATCCAGATGGCAATTGTCAACGGCAATGTTTTAGTGGTTTCTGGTGATTGTTTTTATTGGTATGTGTGTGTGTGTGCTCGCGAACACAAAAATAAATTAGTTTGATTCTGATTGTGTCACGTTATTACCATATTTTGTGTGTGCATGTAAAGTCAAATTCACCAATTGCAATCCGCATCATTGCGCGCCATATATCTTTTCATTTTTTTTCATTTACATTTCAGTTTTATTGTAAAACCATAAATTTTCATATGAATTGTCGATTCGATGGCCATACAATATTCACTGCTATTTTAATGCTTTATATCGTTCCAATTTAAATTTAAACTCATGTTATAAATGTTGAAAATCTGTGTCTCGCTTTGGCGAAAGCTGTCAGAACACATTGCGGCATCTGATACACTGTTTAAACGGAAAATATATGTTTTGTGGTGGTAATTCATTAGTTCAATGATTGTGTGTGTATCGCCAATACGCACACATGACGGACGTTATGCCGCTGTGCAGCTCTGTGACCAAACAGGAAGGTTCATAAAATGACGGTGCCAGGAGATTGGTGTCAGTCTGTGATTAGTGTAATAAGTGTATTCTACCATGAATCGTATATAAGTCCCAAAGTGCGCCTTTTCAAGCAATTTCGAAACAATTCAAGCTGAGAAATCCAAAAAGGATATGTTATTTCGACATTAAATATTTAAGATCTGTCTGATGAATTGCAGTGCGTTGTTTCGTTTTTTTTTTTCTTCGTCTGTTGTTTGTCAAACATTTTGTGTCTTTGGTGCACTGCAACGAACACAAATCTTGTAGTTTCACATACTTTCTGTGTGTTACAATGTTTTTCTCATGAGAACCATTGTTGCTGCTATTGACACTGGCGATTCCTTGATTGCAGTAAAGAACATTGCGCACAGTGCGAGACAACACCAACTAGTTTTCTGTGAACAACATTGAACGCATCGAGAAAATCACAATTGGAATTTTGCCAAACGCTGTTTGAATTTTTCTGCTTCTGTTTGACATTGTCCCATTGCTAGTATTCTACCGCCTAGATGGCATGTTCTTTTACATTATTTTTCAAAAGCATAGTAGCAGTTAGTGTTTAACGAAAAAATTGAATTGAAAACGAACAAAAACGATATTTATTCTCATGATGTTATGGAGTAACAAACCCATAATATATTAACTTGTGTTAAAACCCCTTTTTTTGTGTCCAACAACATTGTGATCTAAATTGAATAGCGGTTGAAATAGGATAATAGAAAAGAATTGTTCGCCAGTGTATTTCTAATGAGCGAACATTCTCTTTTATGTGCTAACGCAACGGTTGATCAATGTTTCATGTTTAATGAGGCTGAACATTTTCGTTTGCATTCGCAAAATTTTTCAACACAATTTTATGTGTAAAACACTTTCATTCATGGAACGTGTGAAATGCTTCGCCCGCATTTTTTCCCATTTGCAGATAAAGTGTTTGCATTGAAACACCAATTCGATACCGATTGGTATTATTTACATTTTTTTATGATGACGAAAAAATTCCAAATATACTCTGAATGTGTCCAGTGCCCATACACACATTGTTCGAATTCTGAATTAACTTTTTTTTTGCAAAATGTCTCTTTTTCATAATTTTTATTATCTCTCAATGCTATGTGACACGGAAGGAAATAGCGTGAAAAGAAGCTATAGGTAAATATACAAAATGTGTTGGTTTCGTTTGTACGGATGGTGCTTTTATTTCACTAGGCGAGGTAAATTGGAAATTGGAGTTCACAGCAGCGAACAATGTCAACAGAATTAAGTCAAATTTATGTAGGCCAATTGTATTTGAAGAATTACTCCAAAAAATGCATTTTACTTGATAAATTCACTGAGAGAATTAATACATTATTTGGTTGATCTCTTGTTGAACAATACGAAAATTTTATGTGAGTAATTTTCAGGCAGGATGGAGTTTGTATCGATTTACAAAATAGTTTGAGTGCATTTAAGGTAAGTGCATCTATCTTTAAGAGGAAAACAAATTCGTTCACATATAAAGGATCGATCTCTTGAAATAAACATCATTCGATTTTGTTTATTTAAATATGCTGATTGATCTTGTCAACAATTTAGCGCGTTAACTTGACTGAGAGCTAACGGTGACAGAGAGAACGAAAATGACGAAAGCGCTTCACCGAATTGCTATTATGCACAACGAAATCGGTTCTTCTATTTTGTTCTCTCTTTGCATTGGGTCTTTATTTTCTTCTTCTCTTGCCTATGCCCAACTCGACAAACAACATTACATTTGGATGCAAGTCATAAACTTCCCCTATGCGCCAACACTTTGTACTTGAAAATAAAATTTACCCTCGTTTTTTTTGCTCTCTTTCTCTTTGTGTCGCAGAGATGCACCTGCCTCGCGCGATACACAATTTTGCACAATAAATGGCAAATAAAAGCAGGAAACTAGAGACAATATACAAAATGTCATGAATAGAAAATGGCAATAAAAAAATATTGAAAAAGCTTATTCGTCAAACGACTCGGCCAATTCGTTATGCGGTCACATATCTATAAATATACATCATAAATAAAATACAACCACAAAAAGTAGCGAAAAAGATGGAAAGCCGAAATATTCGTTCGACCCGATGTAAAATTGCGAAAAAAAAATTAATCGCACCAAAGAACCGATTTTCATCATTTATTCTGATGCAGGCATTCTTGACGATTTTCTTATAAATATTTTCTATTCGTCTTTGTTCTTTTTTCTTTGCTCCATCGTTGGGTGTTAAAAATTTTATTTTTAGAGAAACCAGTAAGAATAAACTTGAAAAGTTCGGTTGAATTTTAATAACTGAAAATCCTTCTTTTATATAAAATTTTTATATTATAAATGCTGCCTTTCGATGCTAAAAGTAGCTGAATGTGATTTGAAACAACTTGTCATTCAAGCATTGTTGACTCATATTATAAAACGCAGGTTGTTTGAGGGATGAGTAATTGAGAGAATTGCCGCTACTAACAATTTTTCCCATTAATTCAAAATTCCGAAATGAATCAGCCAGACAACACACAATCACGGCACACATGGAATTCTCTCTTCGAACAATATTTAACTTTCAAATATATTCAAAACAATGATACTGATTCGATTTGTGGTCATTTTATACAACATTGAACAGCTTGAAGAAGAGCGGATTTAAAATCCTTCAACAAAGCTTTCATCATGCACACTCAACGAAAGACGAAAAAAATAACAGATGATTCAAATCACATATATATTTTGATTGTATAAGGGAAATTGCAAGAATTTTCACATAAAATTTCTGCTTTTAAAATGAATTTGAAACCACTAAAGCATGCTTTCATTCCTTCAATGTTTCCATTCATAATTTCCCCGAAGATTTTTCGTGTCACAAAAAAAAACTCTGTCCTCTCATATGGCAATGAAAAAAAAACATTCAAACGATATGACTTGCATAGAGGTAATTGATTCGCGCTAAACCTTTGTATGTTCGTTCAAAAAAAAAACCATTTACAAACACATGCACTGCGTATAATTTATAACCAACAAGAAAAATCTTTGATTGGCATGCGATGGTCCGTGGTGTTAAGTTTTTCTTATTTAAATATTTATCCAATAAACTAACCAAAAATAATTGACCACTATTTAATTTTGTTAGTCCACAAGATCGTGCATTTGTATTTATTTTAAATAATATTTGACATCTTGAAACACACACACTTATCGCCATGTTTAAGGTCTATATACTACTGACTGCTTCGGCAACCAGATTTTTTGAATACACTTGTCAACTTTGGCTACTCGCTACAATATAGCCGAAATGAAGAAAAAAAAAATATTGTTATAAAATCCATACATGTGATAGAATGCGTGTGTTAAGAGCTAAGCAAGCGTAATATCAATGTGTATACATAGTACGGTGTCCTGGTGTGTGCGGTGTGGCTCCATCTCTTGCCACTAAATTCACTGTGTGATAAATGTCAGGTGGACACCGTACTTAAATAAATGTCAAGTGCGTTGTGATAACAAACCAAATGTTCATTTATTGATTTTCAAATAGATAAAATCGGTTTGCTTTTTTAGTTATTTATACGTTTCCTTTTGACTTTTGTATGTTTCAAAATTATTATGTTGTGTATAATTTTTTAAAAAGAACTTTGAACGGACTGTTTTTATATTTATATAAAAATCAACAAAACTTCTTTTTTTTATTAAATAAACACGTTTTTATACACATAATATGAGTTTTGGTTATCATCGTCGTAAAGAATATACATTTTGAAAAGAATGCTTGCTATCGACATTTGTTGAAATTTACTCTCTTTTTTTTGAAAAAAAAAAAGAACGAAAAAGGGAGAAAAGACAAAAACTTAAATGGTCAGGCATGAACAGCTATATCAAATCCATGTTTGAATCGTTGGTACTTAAATAAACTTGAGTATTTGCTCAATCGACTTAAACAATGAAAAAATGTGACATATGATTCGTTGTGAATGCTATTTATAAATAATAATATAGATGTTTTGTTGTTAGTGTGATTACGACCTGTTGCTAAATAGAAGCGCTACAAAGAACAGTGTAAAAAAAGGGCAGCAAAGTGTGTAAAATACAAAGAAAAAATCGAAAGATTTGTTTGTGATAAGAAATCCTTAATAAATAGAGAGTAATTTATTGGAAATATGTCAGTATCAGCAAATGAGCTAGCGAACATGGAGTTGAGACATTTAACAATTTCACAAACATCGCAATTATCGCAAATATTGGATCGAAATGATTCATGGAAATCGTTGATGGAGAAAATTCCACGGAATTTAAATGAAATTGATGTTCAATCGGATTTGGAGAAAATCTCACGTAAATACAGTGCTGAAAATATCCAGTAAGTTTAAGTGATAAAAATGCAGTGATGATGTGCACTTTAGAAGTATTTTAAATGTATTTGTGTTTTTATTCTGTTTTTTTGCATTGTAGACTAGTAGATGAAACAAGTAAACAATTACATCGATCACCGACACTTATACTATTAGATGAATGGGGTACGTCGGGTAAAAAGCGGGCAACAGTTGGTGATTTATTGAATTTATTGGTAAAAGTGCAATTATATCGTGCTGCCGATTTTGTTGCAATGGACATTTTAAAGGGGCCACCGCCCAAGCGACCAGACACCGGACCAGTGGCTCGAATCGACATTAATTTGCCACCCGAAGAATTTGACATAGAAGCCATGGAAGAATATTTAAAAAATGCAGCCTATCCAAATACAACACGCCTATTTCAGAATCATGAATCGGAAATAAATAATATGAATCGAGATTATAGTAACAGTGTCAGCGTTGATCATGTTAAACAAATTCGTGAATTTTTTGCAAGCAGCTCAGATGCATACACCGATCAATCGGAGTCCGATTCACATTCCGATCTTATTGAATTTTCCGCCACAGTCAATGGTGGTTCATCCGTTAAAAATCATCAACAACAATCAAGTCAATTATCGACACCAGTATTTCCGCCAATGCAACCATCATCAATCGATACATCGGAATTTCATAGTAATAATAATGATGATGACGACGACGATGATGAAAATGAATCATCGGTGACGGAAAGCGAATGGAATGCCAATAATAGTATACCCAATCTGCCAAATATAAGTGCAATACAATCAATCTCATCACATCTGTATAGCAATAATTCCATTAGCAGCCAAGTGAACAATTCAATCATTCCGGACATTGACAAACTACAATTACGTGATGAATTAAATAGTGCTTCCGTATCAAATGTATCGAAAAATGAAGAAACCGTCTCAACTGAACTTTCCACCGAATCATACATTCCAAAGCTATCACTATTACATGGAAATAGTTGAATTTGCTTTCGGTTTTGTACTTAACATTTAGTATTCAATATAAATATCAACGGCACCATCTCAAATATCATTAAACAAACGAACAAACTTAAGAATGTCGACAATGTAAACAACAGCTAAATTCATTTATTTTCATTTTGTGTTATTTATATATATATCTTTTTTTACTGCAATATGAGCGCTATATTTTTATTTTCTTTTTAACTGAAATTACTCATTCGGATTTAAAATTGACTCATTCATATTTAGAATTCCCAACACAAACAAGGTTACAAACGAACAACAAATGTGCTTTATTCATTCCGAAATCTCTCTTGTTTCTTTTCAAAATTTAAGAAACAAGAATATGTAACAACAATAAAATGCATTCGTGTATTTATATTAAATAAATTCTAACAAATAAATATTATAAATGTAATTGAAATGTCAATGTTATCCCTGAAAATGGGATGTTTTTTATTTGCTTATTTGGTAAATATTTGCAGGCGTCAATCTTACAATCTCAATTCAAAAGGGGAATGTATCACTCCAGTTATCAACAGAGTTTGCGTGTGTTCTATTTTTTGCAAATGGAAATCTATCAGCGAGTCATGCGGTGACCGTCATATATATGCGTCAAATTAATCAAACTTTAAACTCAAAATACTACACGCGAATGAAATTATCAAAAAATTACATCCCGTCTGTAAATTGAAATGAAAAAAAAAACTGCTCTCGATTAATATTAATCAAAGAGAAACAAAACAAAGTGTATTTTACAATGTATATTTCATTCTATAAATATAAAATCGATTTCATCATTTTTATAGTATAGATGATGTTATGGAATCAAACAAATTGAACGGTTTTTTTTGCAGGTACAATGGTTTTTTTTCTGAACTAGACGCCACACAGACGCTTCGATTGTATGTTTTAAAATTTACTATAATTTTGTTAATGAAACGTAGATAATCTTTTTAAAACATGAAAAAGCAATCCTTGAAAATGATTAAAGTAGATATTGTCGATTGATGTAAGTTTGATGTTACTGATGTTCGATGGCTGGGATGATTTTTTTTGCTTCATATTCTAGTTTTTATGGATTCTTGTAAAATCTCCTTATCTACTGAAATAGTTACTTAAATAGGTTAATGAAACCCCTCATGAGGTAACTACTACTCTCGACACGGCACATAGCGGTCCATGTCTCATATGAAAAAAATATCCACGTGGTTACACGTTTATTTTTTTTGCCTTTCCATTATTCTTTACATTTATCTGAAACATTTCAAATAAATTAAATAAGGATCTTTTACACATAAATTTTTTTGGAAAAAATTTCAATTGCGTCACAGCAATAAAATCGAAGGAAATCAGTTCATTTTGTGATTTCATCTCTCAAATATATTTTTCAAAGTTGATCAAAATGTTATATTTTCAAAAAAAAAAAATTGGCTATCGCAATTGTCCTTTTGGCCATTTCAGCTATGTAACTGTTGAAGTAAAAAATATAATTTGATCATTTCAAAAAGAAATTTTACATTTGTTTTACAGACTGGCAAATGCATCTGAAAATAATGAATAGTTTATACAAATACAAATATTTCATAAAAAATAAATAACTAAATTCAATGTTTCAGTACAAGTACCTCCGGATCTAGTTCATATACACAAGAAGTTGACGAATTATCGGTGTAAATGGGCCGATTGTAAGTTGATACAAATACATCATAAATATTTCCGAAAATTATTTTAGTTTTCGGATTTTTTCAGAAATCGTGTCGAACGGTAACTATTTTGATCCGTGCGAAAGATTTTCAAATTTGAAAGAATTTTTTTGTACTTATGGTTAACAGTCAACAGAGAGCAGATGCAAGGACGTAAGATTTGTATTTATTATTTAAATGTTTGAACGATACTTTATTCATGGTCATCTGAGACTGTAGACGCGAGATGCAGCCTTAGCTAAATATTATAAGTCAAAGGGAAGAGAGCGGCAGCCAAATGAAATAAATACAGATTCTTACATACACAAAATGATTCCTCTCGCCGAAAAAAAATTGAGAATAAAAAAAAACATTTCTCTCGTTTATATTGTAAAATGATTTAAAATTTATTTCAGTCAGAAAAGTTGAAAAATGGCATTGAATTAAAATATAACTACAATAAAATTAAGATTCAAACTAAATGATCTATGTAAAATTTGGTCTCATTATTAGACAATTCAACAAGTTTACAATTAAATGTGTGTTTAAAGCTATCTAAAAATAACGGCATAACATCGTCAATTGATACATTTTTATCTAATTCTTTGGTCAACGATGTAACACTTTTATCAGTCAAACCGCACGGTACAATATGATCGAACCATTTTAAATCAATGTCACAGTTCAATGCCAATCCATGCGATGTTATATAACGTTTGCCATGCACTCCCATTGCGCATATTTTGCGATCGTCAATCCAGACACCCGTGTCTGGTGTTGTTTTTGCATTTAAATTGAATTGTTTGCACACATCGATAATTGTTTTCTCCAAATGGCACACATACCATCGGATGCTTGGTTCAAACTCTTTCAAATTAAGTATTGGATAGGCGACCAATTGGCCAGGACCATGAAAAGTAATCAAACCGCCGCGATTTGTTTTATAAAATTCAGCGCCTAAGCTTTGTAGATACGCTTCGTCATCGATGGTATAGTCTTTGGTGCGAATGCCGATTGTGTATACCGGTCGATGTTCCGTTAAAATTAAAATATTTTTAAATTTGCAATCGTTTTGTTCATTAAACGTAGATGTGATAAATTTTTGTAGACGCAATCCTTGCCCGTACTTAATTAAACCCGTTCGTAAAATATGTACTAGTGGCAAAGACATTGTTGAACACCTTGAATAGAATTGCGATTAGAGTAGTTTTTGTCGTTCGATGTAGGCTTGTTCGCCGTATTCTTCAATAAATTTTCGAGTCTCTTCTTCTTGTTCCACTTCTTTTGCTTTTAATTTGTAGAACATCACTTGTGATATCTGTACAGTGGATAAATGAAAAATACAAATTTTTCGTTAATTTTAAATTAATTTTGCTTTTACTGCGGCTGCGGCTGCTGTGCGAATAAATATTCAAAACAATACGTAACCTCAACGATTTGACATTTGTCACAACACACACAAATACATATGTTATCACAAATATGTTCAACACTTACATATACATCGATAGCAGCGTAGATTTGTTGTTCAGTCGACAATGGCATTATGTGCCATTTACTATTTCGCACTTTTTTGTCCTTGTTTATTTTCAGGCGACACTGAAATTCGTGATAACAAATGCCAATTGAAGAATATAGAAATTGGCGAATTTAAAAGTAACAAATACTTTAATCATACATACAAGATACCAAACAAGTCGTTCCATACTCCATCTGCCACCAGTGTTCATGATTTTATTGCAATATACGCCCAGATCGATGCATTGATCAATCATCTTTTGTGAGTTTATTTCAGGAAAGTCTCGCTCCAATTTTCGGCAATCACTGAAAAACAAAGCATACTACGTCACAAAAATAACATAAAAACGTTGTCATTAGGTCAACAAAACATATACGTCTCATCTGATTATTATAGCCCGAATATATTTTGTTTGTTCTATCATCAGAAAATACTCACTTCTTAATGTTGACTCCATGCAGCAATACTTTGTCATGCATCAATAATTGCACAAGAGCCGCTGGCAATTTTTTCAAATCGGCAATGTGAAGAACGTAGCATAAATCAACATTTGCACAGAGTTGAACGACGGCTGTTTTACCTGGCCCCTGAAAAATCGAAACCGAACTGCATCAATTAAGTTTCATTTACAAATATTGGTGTTCAGTGTAACAATCGTATTACCGTTTGAAATGTAAATGGCCATTCCATATCGAATGCAACCGGTATCATTTCATTTGTTTGTTGACCATTCACCCATGTCCTGCAGCACAATAATTTATTCAATATCGCATTTGACAAATAAAAATGAAAAGTAAACATTTTCAAACTCATTTCACTTACAGTAGCGTATCCGCTGCGAATGCAATATCAATAAAATCGGTATAGTATTCAACTTTGCCTTTGTAGTCGATGAATGCTGGCTTTGGCCTTGGTGCGGTCGCTGACCGTTCTTTTCTTTGTACTTGTGTATTATTTTGAAGAGTTTCAGCATTAGACACGCTCGATCGTGTTCGATACCGTTTAATTGGCACATCATTCGATTGGCTTTTCGTTTCATCAGTCACATTTAATATGTTTGAATTTTCTTTTTCGTCAGTTGCAACATTTGGTTCAACTATCATATCCATACCCAGTCTTTCAATTTGAACGGTACATTGCTGAGCATATGAATTTATTAGAACGAACATTTTAATAAATATTGAATTAAAAACCAAACCTCATACAATCATTCTCACCATCGATTTCATCCAGTCGGGTAAATTTCGTTTCTTTTTATTACACACTTCCATTTTTGTTATGCTTTATTTTGGTATTTTCACTATATCGTGTAAAAAAAGTCGGTTGAGTCAAAGCAAGCTTATTGGTTGTGACAGAAACGGTTTCGCGCCAAATATACTAACAACTATAACAATACTTTCCGTGCATCTTGTAACACTATAAGTGTTATCGGGTAAGCTACCATTTGGCGCGACATTCGAAAGTTTTTCTTTTTCCAGCATCAAGTTTTCACAAATTAAAAGATTCAAAGAGAGAAATTGAACATCTTTATTTACAGACACATTTTAATGAAAAATTAATAATAACTAATTGGCCAAATATGCGATTTTTCTTTTCTTTTTGGCTTTGAATATGAATGTTGACCACTATTCTATTGAGTAACATCCATCGCGAATATTGGCTAGTAATCTGGTTTCGATATGAAAAGGTTAGTTATCATTTAAGGTAAGTCGCTGAAATTCGGAAAATATCTGAAATAAATGAAACCACGTCTCGATTCATTCGTGAAATTTTAAAATTATTTTTCATCGCATTGTCACCTTTCGATCCGATTGAAACCAAAACAAAATGTAAATTTCACACCGATTGTATTTAACATTTTTCTACTTTATTATCGTCTTAACAAATATCCCGATGGAAATGCGTAATTTAAACACTTGTGTGCCATTGCAAAGGCATTTGCTGAAAATGTATAATGTGCATTTGGAGAGAGTTCAGTAAAGAAAACACTTGAAATTTCATGCAATCCATTTATTTCCAATGTTTTTATTTTATTCGCTTAAAAGACTAATTTGGATGTTTTGCATGGATGTGACTGTACAATTCCACACAATTGATTACGTGTTGTATTTGTTTATTTGCTATTTTTTTTTTGTTTTGAATTTCTATTTCTCTTTTTCAAATGACAATTGTTTCTTTTTTATTTCGTCGACGAAAAACGAAAAAAATAAAATGTCATGTGAATGGAATTAATTACCACGTATTTCGATTAAATGGATCATCACACGAAATTTGTTATTTTCCCATTATGTTGTACATTCATTTATTTCGTTTTGTCTTGTATATATATGTGTGTGTGTTATCTGTCGGCCGATTTGGGAACCGGATTTCATTTTGCAGCACAAATTGAATTTAGGTAGTTATTCACCCCATCACCTCATAATAAAGTCTCACTTTTATCTGCTTCTCATTTGCTTGTTATTGTTTATTTGTTTTTTTAGAATATTAAGCTTCTTCGATATTAAAAAGGAGAGAATTTTTTTTAACTAAAAATGAAATTTATTAAATCATAAGCAGAAGAAAAAAAAAGGTACCATTAAAGAACAATATTCACAAATACTTTAATAAAATTTACAAAGTTTTTTTTTTTTTTTCTATTTTTATCATCATTTTTGATAATCTAGTGTGTTTTTTTTTGAAATTCAATTTTTTACTATTTTTCTGTTGATGCTTTCAAAGTCATTAATTCCCTTTAAATTAGAAGCATTTTGCATTCGGCGTCTATGACGGAATTCATTTTCGTTCAAGTGAATGTATAATAGAACATTCACTATCTATATAATCCCGAAAGTTGACATTATTTCGATGGATTTGTTCATGCGCTTATTATTTAGAAAAAAAATTGAAGAATAAAAGAATGAAAGCATTACACCCGATAAAGATGTAGCCGCATCCTTTCACAGTGTCCGTCGTCAAGTTTTTCGTTTGGAACAATTTCACCTAATAACCATATTGAAACCAAAATCGAAAAAAATTCAGATCAATCAGACGATGTACGTTTTACATTTTATTTTACACATTTGTTTTTATATTTGTTAACAACAAAAAAAAATCAGTTTTCATTTTTAATTTGTGTCTCTCAATGTTTGTGTGTATGTGTGTGTCTCAGTAAATCTAACGTTATATCATAATAATGTAAATGCGCTTTTTGTTTTACTTGTTAAAATGTATTTCATCTTTTATTTCTTTGTGTATAAACTAGAAATTTCTCACATTTCCCACGTTCAATTATTTTTTGTTTATAAATTTTAATTAAGAATTTATTGTGTTTTACATATTACGTGTTCGATTAATCGAAAGGGACTGTTCTTTCTATTTCGTAAACATTTAAATGAAGAAAAAAAAAGAGAATTGTGGTTATTTCGGTATCCGGACATGCATTTCTTCTCGACTCAATTCAAACAATTTTTTTTTATTCTAAACTTTTTATGCTTTTCGTTAAAAATTCTTTTTGTATCGAATCATCATATGTCAACGGTATTTTTTTTTTCTCACAGTATTTATTTTTTTTACAATCAATTTATATTGGTTTTTGTGTCAGTTTTATTTGAGAAAAAAAATGTATGTGTTTTCTTTTTCATTTAATTGTAACCGTAAATTTAGCAGTTTTAATTTTTTTTTTTTCAATATGTATGAATTATGACGACGAATAATGTAGACAATAGATATAACGACGAGTAATTGTGATTTCATTTAAAACTGCTAGTTTCCGCGTCTATTTCACTAATTTCAGTATTTATTCACGTTCATCTCTTTTTATACTCAAAAACAAAAAGAAAATGATTGGTTCGAATTAATAAAACGCGGAGAGACATGTATTTTACATATACATATAAAAAAGAACAAAGTAATAAAAAAGAGTGTATTTTTGTATTTTTTCTGTTTATCATTAAATTAAAAAAAAAGGAAAACTTTACCCTCTCTAATGGTTCAATTATCATTTCTAGAGTTTTAGAGACAAATTGTTACTAAAATGTATAATAACACTTTTCCCTCCGTATTATAGCATATTTTTCCTCACTTTTTTTTTTTCTTGTTTGCTTTAATTTAGTACATTGAATAAATGTTGTAGTCTCTGTGTGTCCCTACAACTTTCTCTGTTCTCCTTCTGATTCCATTTCTATTCAATATTCACGCTCTTATTTAATTAATTTTTTTCTCTCCTCTTCTTCGACTTATTCTTCTGCCACTTTTTCTCTTATACGCTGTTCCTATGTATTTGTTTTATCTCATTGTTTTATCAATGCAAAATTACTTGTTTTAATTTTCTCAATTTTGTTGTTGTTGTTGCTGTTTTATTTTTCATAATAAATGTTACTTGTAAATTTCCCTTTTGCTTATTTTTCGCAAGTGTTCCATGTGTTCGAAATGTGTGTGTTTTCATATGGGTTTCTGTGTTCCCTATTTTGCATTTCGTGAATCAGTCACCACATTTTGACCCCGAAGTCGCACCGATGAACGTCGTTCAGGTTTGTCGTGTGGTCGTGGGCTATTTGTTGCCATTGGTTCTTCGTTTGGATGATTTGTTATTTGATTACGTTTATTCGTTGGGCCATCATTATCTTCTTGCTGTTGTGCCGTGCCACTAGCCATCGCTGCACTTCCCATTGCACCAACGCCAGCGCTACCACTTACCGCATTGTTAGCTGCCCCACTGGCTATTGCATTTGTTCCTACCGCATTTCGTGAGCCACCAAATTTAAGCATATTCCAATCGAATACACAATCGTATGTGAAGCTCTTTTGATGAAATAGCGATCGGAATAATTTTCGCAGGTAATTATAATCGGGACGTTGTTCAAAATGTAATTGGCGGCAATATGTTAAATACGTTGGAAATTCGTTGGGAAAATTTTTGCAGAGCGTATCGATTGGTGTGGACAGTTTCTTTTCGGAAATTCGTTCATATTTCTGTCGTTTATTAACGGCCTTTAAACCTTGCCATGGAAGTGCGCCTAAATTAAAGTACATGAGTACATAACCCAATGATTCTAAGTCATCACGACGTGACTGTTCTATGCCCAAATGTGTATTTATCGATGCGTATCGCGCGGTGCCGGTTAAATTTTTGTTTTCCCGATACGGTATGTGCAGCAGTGTTCGCGAATCACGATATTTTTTCGCCAAACCAAAATCAATCATATACACTAGGTTGCCTTTCTTTCCGAGACCCATCAGAAAATTGTCTGGTTTAATGTCACGATGAATGAAATCGCGTGAATGAATGAAATCAATGCGGGATATCATTTGATCAGCTAACAGCAGTACGGTCTTCAGTGTAAACAATCTCGAGCAAAAATTGAATAAATCTTCAAGCGATGGACCAAGCAATTCTATCACCATTACATTATAATCACCTTCGGCACCGCACCAAATAATACGTGGTATTCCAATACCACCTTGCATCATTTTATAAAATTTGCTTTCTATGTGGAGTTGGGGATGCTTCGTTCGAATGCATTCTAATTTTATGGCAACCTGCAATCACAAAACAATATCACATCAAAATCAAAACGATGAACAAAAAAAACCATTCAAGTTTTTATTTCTGCTGTTTTTTTTCTGTTTTCATAAAAAAACCATTCAACTATGTACAGGTTAAGCATTAGTCTACCATAAATTGGAATCATTTCAACTGAATCGTAGGCCATACACACAAAATATTATGCGGATAAATAAGTCGAATGGTAGGCTATTCAATTCAAGTCTCGGTTGCAAATAATCAATTACTCCTATCATCTCTGGATTTTATTATGCAAAAAAAAAAGAAACAAAAAAACAAAACAAACCCATGGAAAGCACACGAAAGATGTGTAGCATGTTATTCAAATGTGTAATCACATTTATTCATTATAATCAAATGGCAAAAGACAGATCACGTCGGTGAATTTTGCATGTATATGTGTCGGTGTGTATTGCACAACAGTGGAGCTTCTGAAGTTCTATCCAGTCGTTTAAGTTCAGAATGTTTCTACTGTTTTACGTATATTTTGTTTATTCATGTTCGCAAACGTTGAATCTGAACATTGTCAGTCAAAGTGGAAGCCAATGCGAATATCTAATAGAATTGTAGAATTGTAACAATTGTACTGTTTTGAGGCGTTGATAATAGAAAATAATTTTAGGTCTTGTTTCATAACGATTTGAATATCGAAGTATGAAAACAGCACAGGAAATGGAAAAAGTAACGAAAAATAAACGAATTGACTGAATGAATTTAAAGAAAAAACAAAACTCGCGGCAAGACACGTGAGATGCGCTTTCACGTTCTTTCGAAGATGAATTGATTGAATAAAAACATCCTTTATTTCGTTTCTTATTGTCGTTGGAGATTTTCTTAAGAAAAAACGTGATGCGACAACATAATATCATTGTAAACATGAAAAATATGCTTATTTTTTCACGATTTAATTGGACCTGAATAATGTTGTAATCATTTTGATCTAAGACGTAAAAAGCATTCAATTGAATGCAATAAATTATTTTGTGAGTCTCTCTATTCTTCAAGAAAATACACATGCACGCATCGCACGCGCACCGCACACATATACACAAAGACAACGTTCCGTTATGTTCATAGCAACCCGTGTGCCCGTGTCCAGTGCCCTACTATCAATATTTGCAAACATATTTATTTCGTATCGAAAATTACCTCTTCGCCGGTTTTAATAGTTGTTCCCAAATAAATGTCGCCGAATGAACCGGAACCAATTTTTCGGCCTAGTCTGTATTTGTTTCCTACACGCAATTCCATGTTTCGAATTGATTTGTTGTCTTTCTGCGTCTAGATCACACACATACACACACACGCCACACTTGGGTCGGTTAATTTTGCAAATGCTTGGATTTGAGACCAAGTCTTTTCCTTGAAATGCACGTTAATTGACTTTAGTTGCTTCGTGTTGGATGCATACTCTCTGAAACTAGCATATAAAAAAAGAAACAGAAAAAATATAAAAGATTTAAAAAAAAATTCTCAATTCGTTTCATCAAACTGTTGCAGCGTACACTAAACATTTTTTTTCTCTTCACATTGTTAAATATAAGTCAAACACGCATAAACATGAAATACACTGGCATAAGCAAAAATTCGTTTGAAACTGATTCGTTTTTTCTGTGCATGTGTAGAACCAATAATAACCATGAATACAACAAATAAATTATGCAAAGTGTCTTGGTTTCAACGGTAAAATGTCAAATTTTCGTCCAATATCTCACTTCGACTTAGAATTTTAAAGACATTTTTTTTATTCTACATTCGTTTGACAGAAGAACGATTTTCTTCATCGAAAAGAAAAAGAAAACTTAAACTCACATTACTCATCATACCTTTTGCGGAACAAGAAAATATGAAGATATTGTGCGATTTTTTTTCACTGATTTAATTTATATGAATAAAATTGGTTGTCTCATCTCTCCTGGAAGTTCTCCATTCTTTTCATTGGATATGCATACGCGCTATCGACTCACAGTTGTTTCACGAAAAGAAAGCGACTTTGTATTTGAAACAAGGAAAAGAACAAAAAGGTCCAATGTACGGGTACTCAAAACACGACAATTTTTTTTTTTTTTTCGTTCGATTCTCTTTCTTACACAAGTTTGTTTGCTTCGAGATTTCACCGTTTTCGTTTTGGCATTTATTGTTTGATTATTTTTCTTGGTCACAATTTGCCAACACAGAACGACTTAGCGAACAGAAAACTTTTTCTATTCAATTTGGAAACAATGAAAATGCACTAAAACCTAAACCATTTCAGAGTGTCTTTTCTATTCCGAAGTTTTTTTTTCTCTCTCACTCTCTGTCGATTTCGTATTTACGCTTGCATGTAGTCGTATGAATATCAAATATGTATATGCTGACTCTGTTTGAAATGTACTTGCTGAAACTTCATTTGTAGATGTGCGCGAGTGTATGGAGGCAACGAATGGACGCAGTGCAAGTTTCAACAATGTATATGTACTGTTTTTTTTTATGAACCTTATTATTTTCTTCTTTCAATTCCCGAAAATTCATCAATTTGCTCGAATTTTTCATGGAAAATCTTACCAATTCTTCAATTCCAAGGTGGTTTTTGATTGAAAACTGATTGTTGAACAGCGTTTTCGTGGCGATAAATGATCCGTCTGGCAACAATTAAATTATAATAATTTCTGGTTTTTTGTCTGCCTTTTCTTTTAGTGTGAATTTTTGCTATTCTTTCTTTGTAAATGTCTGATTCGCTTGTGCTGCGCCCTCTGCATCTTTCATATTACGGAACGGTCGCCATTTTTACTAAACACACACGCACACATACGCATAGGTCTCGCACTCTCTCATTGTGTATTGCACAAACATTCAAATGCCTGCGTACTCAACCGAATTCTACTTAAAAAGTGTTGACGAACTCACTTTTAGAACGCAACACAACGCATCTGTCACTTTATCCAAGCCAACATTCAAATCAAAGTACTATTTTGATAGTTTCGCACCGAATTACATTTGCGCTTGGGTTTTCGTTTTTCAGTTTTTTTGATGAATTTCTCTTTCAAAAACAATTACTTGGGCATAATAATTTATTTCATTTGCAAAACGATGATAATCAAAATAGCTGCAAACAACATTCATAATCTAAAAAAGAATCGATTTAAATGTAAAAATAAAAAAAATCAACGAAAGTTTTAGGACAAAAGCGCCCGTTACAAAAATAAAATAATGTGAAAAGTGGTTTTTAATAAATTGATGCGGAATAACAAATTTTTTTTTTTTGGGAGACGTGATAAAGTGATATATTCGGTGAATATGTACAACAATTAACAAGCTGAAATTTGAGAAAAATATAAGGTATTGATTCATACTCAAGAAAAATATTTATGTCAATTTTATAATCATGAAGAGTATGCTTTTACGTTTTTTCGCGTTATGGTAAAAAAAATAATGAATAAACAATGGTTGCGGACGCAACAAATTTGAAATTGTGTACTAAAATGACTAAATTAAGTATATTTGACATTTCAAATTTACAATTTCCATAGCATATTGTTGATATATTATTATTATTTTTGTTGACGTTTCGAATTAACGAAATGAATTGTTCAAATAACTTTCGTACATTTATTTTCTATAGTACAATTACGACATAATGTTTTTTTTGTTGTTTAAAATTACGCATGAATTCGTTTAAATATGCTTAAATTATGACATGATCATCATTTAAACGATATCTTAGATTTTGAAATTAGCAGCTGCAGTACCCAAAAATGAGCTCACGCCTACTTAAATTTTACAGTTTATCTGAAAATATTCCGTTTTATGTCTGATTATTAATTCAAAAAATTATGCAAATTCCAAAAGATTTTCCAATCGTTTTTAATGCGTTTCATTGTCTGTTTTCCCATCAAAATTCAATGATTTGATTCTTTATCAATGGATGGCGCTATGGCATTGCTGAAAATCGTTTAAATGGTGTCATTTTCTTTTTCATTTTTTTGAAGGAGACTCAAACGAGTAAAATCGGTTTTGAGTTTGTAAACAAAGCATTGTTGATAACAGAAAACGTTACATTAATCAACTGAATAAAAAATCTTAAATATGAAGAAAAATGGAATAAATTCCACAAAGTTTCGCCAATTATATAAATAAAGCGTCGAGTTTTGAAATGAGACCAATTCCATCTCTAAATAACTGTAGACGTAATCGTTTAATTAAGATTGGTAATCAGTTGAATAACACAGTTTTTTTTTTTAAATAAAATGAATGTACCAATTAGATTACCAAGTTGCTTATTGTCTACCATTGCTCTCATCTATAAAACCATGTTCCTTGACACCCAATCCTCAATTTGAACCTTCAAAGTTGTTTCACATCGTTGAATAAGTCAATTACTTGTCCATTCGCCATTCGATACAATCGTACAATCAACAACATACATATAAATGGTGATTCAATATGTGTTTCTCTTTAACGTTGTTGAAAGGTTGAAGATTGGCATTTTTTTTTTGTTCGAAAAGATAAGCAGATATGTATGTGTGGTCACCATTTGCACTTTGCCATTAGTCTTATTCCCAAACGTAATCCCTTGTGCATCAGCAATTTATTCTGGATTCACATGAAATACAAAATCATTTATTGGCTCATGTATGGAATGCTGATCCATTGATGCGCTTTGTTGTCGTATGAATTTGACATCCACATCACACAAGTACCACCATCACCACCACCATGCCAACATGCACGCATACACGTTGTGCGCAAGCATACATTCACGCTAGACACTCACAATTTGGACGACGTAATATATAATTCGCTACGCAAAACGACAAAGAAGAAGTAAAAAAAAAAACGAAGTTCGAACAAAACAGTTGATGTGTGCTTTGGGTCTGTCGCCTTTTATTATTATTGGTGTGTGCTCGTTTTTGTTATTTTTCATTTCTCTCTCTCTCATACGTGTGGTGATTTTGTTGTGTTTTTTCATTCAAACTTACATGTTGCATACACATCGAACACACAATGAAAACACTTCGATCAAGTCTATCTGTGGATTCATTGAAATAATAACAGTGAATAGCAACAACAACATATAAATTCAACTTTACGCGCTAGTTCAGCATTCTAACTGAAGCAATACGGACTTTTCACAGCTGTAACACGTATCGATTCTCGTCATACTCTCGACCGATTTGCGATTAATCAGATGTCAACCAGAAATTTTGTGTTTTAATCGAAAAATCAGATCATCGAAAAATTAGAAAAATAAAGTCCTTGCAATCAATAAAAGTAGTGAACTTGAGTGATTCGCGGACAATCGTGATATCGATGTGAATTCAATAGTTTAACGCTGTAGCATTAATTTAATTCAGCACAATCAAACAGAGCGATAAAACTCTATGATACGAAATTATTTTTTTCATCAATTTTATTATTGTGCCAAGCCCAAATAGAGTCATTCAAAACGCATTTACCTTTCCCGTTGTTTTATAATTCGTTTTTTTCTTAATTGTTGTTGTTCATTTTTGATTGTTTGTTGAAATTCTAAAAAAATTCAACAGTAATACTCAAGTATAAAAAATATCATAAAGAAAAACGTTGTCACGAAGAAACAAAGTCTATACGAACAAAAATTTCAACTTATAAAACTGATTGCCAAGTTAAAATAAAGAGTGTACGGGTACACGTGTGTTCCATACACGGTGATTGTTTATTATTGCGCATATAATACTTGTAAAGTGCGTATACACAAAGTGAAAGGAAAACGAACAAAATACACATCGTATTGTGCGCGCACATTGTAAAATGCATACAGGTGAAGTTCACATACGTCCTCTCACAATAATCTTATAAACGCAACAAAAGCAAAAAAAAAAAACGCAAAATCATATAAGGATCACGCAAAACGATGAAAAAAACATTAAATAAATAAGGTGATCTAAAAGGTAAATTAGAAATAAGTTGTTTTCAATTAATTCTCAATCGACATATTCTCGACGCTCTTTATCGAATCACAAATGTCATTGATAACTTTAATTATAGTGCACATTGAATGATATTCTAATATCAACGGATTTTGGTTTGCAAATTACTCGTAATATACTGTGTACATGGAATTAGCTTAATTATTTTGTTGTTGTAAGAGCGATAACCATTGGTGGTGTGAGGCAGTTGATCGCGTGAACATTACGTCATTGGTACAGTTTTTCCTTCTTCATTTATTTCAATCGAAATTTCATGAACATTACCGAAAAAAACAACAATAACAACAGTATTCGTGTTATCTCCGGAAAACGAGGCAAAGTAAAGTGACATTCGTTGAAAAATAACACACGCGATAAACAGAGTATACGCTAATTTTATCATTATTATGAACGATAGGAATAATAATAATAAAAAACACAATGTAAATGTGAATCACATATTTTGAAAATACGATCAAATAAATTTTCGTGCACGTCGAGCGAAAATTTATTTGTCGCCAACGGTGCGCGGCATTGTTGATCATTTGTGTGTTGATTTATTTATCGCGCATTTTTTTGATCTGCTCATCAAATAATGAGTCAACCAGCAAATTAGCCGGTATTCCTTGTAAAAGTGTGTTGATTCATTATATCATCAGACCAATTTAAGATATAAATCCAAAAATAAGCATGTATTTCATCTAAAAATAAACATAATTTTTGATTGATGGTTATGTTGTTACGCACTCAAAAAAAAATGACAGCACTGTAAACAAAATTCGTCTTCGTTTAGAATGTAGTCAATTGTTGTTAATCATCTTGTTAAATAAATTGTTGCAAATTGTAATGCAGCATGTAAAATAATGTGATGACTATTGTTCACGTCAGCAAAACAGATGATCACACCGAATTCACAATTTAAAGCGTATTTTCTTTCATTGAACGATGTTCTTTTATTAGAACCAGGAACAACATTTCGAACAATAAAACATTGTAAATTAAGCGACAAATCTAATGGTATCCTAATTTTATTGTAAGAGTTTTAATTTTATTGGTCTTTGACACGGGTTGGTTTAATTGACCATGTGTGTGTGCTCGTGCACTAATGTTAGTTTGTTTATTTGATGCGCATTTTACCATATTTTTTATTGTTGTTATTTGGTTTGTGTCACCGTTAAACAATGAAATGCATAAGCACACGCATTTTCAATGTTGAATAAATATCATGTGTGTTGAAAATAACCTTGCTGTTGTTTTTCCCCCAGATCAGAGTCGCCTGTTGTTGTCGTTGTTGTTTCTTTGAAATAATAATCATTTCTCTAAATCATAACTTGAGATCCGTGTTGATAAACCAGATCAGACAAGAGACAATGTTTAAGACGAAGGCGTTCGCGACGATAATTTTATCGTTTGATTTTACGTTGAATTTTCCGCAATGACACATTGTCGGGACGGAGAATAACAAAAACCAAAAAAAAAAAAACTAGAGGGGACAGTTCATTGTGATTTATTAGTATTTAATTTAGACTCATTTTTTTGAGCGGGCAAGCGTATCGCTTTCCAATGGTGAAACCGAAAATTCTTTTTGTTGGCAATTGTTCTTGTTTCAAAATCACATACTGCATTAAGTATGTCACTGTCAATGGTATGTTTATGCCATTATTTATGTTATTCGTATATGATGAATTAAAAAAAACAGAGAACATTTTGACTATCGCAGAGAGTCAAGCCTCCGTTTTGAATTAAGCTATTTTTGTTTATGACACATAAGAATAGTTCAATAGAAATGAATCATTTGACACTCTTGTGATGAGCGTAGAGAGAGAGAAAACCGCGAGTGACCGATCACACATGTGAATTTGCACGTACGAAAATTACAGGTCTTCTCTTTTCTGGTATTCGCCATAACAAAAGGTGAAGGCTCGATTCCAATGTTATGTTCGCATTACAATACGAAATCGATTCAGACGCACACTTCAGTGCACACAGTTAAACTTTGAAAGAATCGATTGTAGTTCAAACTAAAATCTATAATGCACAACCCATCTCTCCGTATCAGTTGAAACTGTTGATCGATAGATGTTTCTATTTAAAATCGAAAACGTAATCAAACAGCAATTAACATGTTGACTTGAAAGATCGTAAAAAGGTTACTGCCCGAACGTAATACAAAAGTTTATAACTTTTTTTTCGTATTGGCGTATTTTAATATGAACGTAAAGCGAATTATGGAAAAAATAAACTTAGCAGTAAACCTGATATATGTACATACAGCGCTAAGTTTGCCGATATTTTCCAATACATTATCGAATACGACAACGATCCAATTTCAGTTTTTTTTTATTCAAATAATAATAATAATACCTTTATTTCTATTAGAATCATTGTAAATTTCCAATAGATTCGAGTTCAATTCGTTCTTATTGAATCCTTGAAGCTGCATGTGAGTCCTCGAAAAAAAAAGAGATATTGTTGATATAAAACGAATGACTATGAATTGTTTCGTTTTGGGTTTAAAAAAAATGTAAATAGTTACACAATAATGAAATACAAAGTAATAACACATAGATAAAGAAACTTAATACATTGAATACAATTTTATGCATAGCAAGCAATTTGGTCTTTTATTGTGGTTTGATAATGGGTTTTTGTAAAAATTGCCAAATCTGCATTTTATCGAAATCGAATTTATTCAAGGTTGTAAATGTTCAAAAACAACAAAAAATAACACACAAACACACCGAAAGCGAATTCATTCAGTGCCGGTAATCAACAAACGCTGTGGTGACATTTCGTTTTTGCTATTTTTACTCGAAGTAGCGTCAAAGAAGAAACCACTCATTTGTGTATTGTGATTGATATTTACTTCTCATTCCATTTTACATTTCGTTTATTTGCACACACGATTAAACGAAATACTATTCGATTTCAAAAAAAAAACTCTTCGGTAGATTTTAACATTTTTGAGAAAAACACATTAACTTTAACGTCATCCTTTCAATCATAGTTTATTTTTTGTCTGTTTTCCAGGTAGACGATTGAAAAGCGACCGGATATTCGCAGCCAGCAACGTATATTTGTGAATGAATTGAACAGAAATCCATTTCATCGAAAATGACAGTTTTAGGTGAGTCAAACTAAATTCTATTTGTGTGAAGAGAAAGATAGAGGGAGAGAGAGAGAGGGAGGGTGAAAGCGCAATGCTTTTCGCCGGGCGTTTATTTTTTGTATATGAGTGAAGAGTCAGCATTAAATTAGAGTGAACATCCGTTGTCTTATCACATCATCCTCAGCTATGTATACTGAATATTTGACACGTTCAAGCAAATTTTCATTTGAAAATGCGCACATACTTTCCGTCAATACATTCATTCAAAAAATGAAGTATCGGCATTTAGAATCAGCTACGGTTCAGAAAAAACCACGAGAAGTTAACGGAAATGCGCATACAATTGATGATTTCGTCATAATTTTTGCCTTCACAAGCAAATACAATCGGTGTGGCAAAATCAAATACAAAATCGATTTTATAGTTCTGTTATTATTATCAAGCTTCTATTTTCTTATCAAGTCTTTTTTTTTGTTTGTTTCATTTTCGCAATTATTGCGAGTTCAATGAGTTTGAAAAGTTCATTTGAATTCGTTGTGGGACAGAGGGAACAAAATAAAAACTACGTTGTCAACAAAAGTTTTAAGCGATAAGGGGATTTTTGATAAGATTCAAGCGCAAAAATCATCGTATTTAAATGATATTGAACTTGAGTCGGGTTTTCACAAAAGGAAAGAAACAGAAGCAAAAGCAGAAAATCTATTTCTGTTTCTGTCTCTTGCCATTTTTTGAGGGTGTGCAAGAAAGAACAGAAACAGAATGTTATTTTCAGATAATCATTGTTGATATTTCTTGCATTGTCATTGTGCGATTTGTGCCTTACAAATACAAATTGTGTGTATTTCGCAAAAATGCAAAATTATTGTGAACAAATTGCAGCATGTATAATGCTGCAAATCATTATTTTTTTTAGTCGATTTCAGAGCTTTGGTCACTCTTCTTTTGTTGCTCAAGAAAAAAGAGAAAAAGTTCGTATAAGTGCTCTCAACGTTTTGGTTGATCGACATTTGATGGGAGTTCAGGGAGTAATTTCAGCCCGTTTTCAAAATTTTTGGATGTTTTGAAGGAAGATCTGGAAGGTGTTCCCACAAATTGGGTACCGAAATCAATGAGTGCGCATCACAAGTTGTGTATGACAACTTTCAGGTCTTTGGCATTTAAATATAGAGCACATCATTCATCAATCGGTCGTATTGTCGAGAAATGTTTTGGTTCAATCATAACGAAATCTTCTTAATAGGTTTAAGCATTGTACGTGACATGCGATGCAAAAAAGATACAATAAGACAAATCGAGTTTCAAGTTTATTTTCCACTCCTGTTCTTACTCTCTCTATTGTGTACACTCTCTCACTTTCTATCTGAACGAATTCTCTACAATAAATTGCATTGGATATTTTTCGTATGTGAAAAGAAGCGGAAGTTTCAATTCACCTGCATTTATATTGATTTGATATGATTTGATTTGTGATGAAACGTTAATGATTTTCTCTCTTCCAATTCGTTTATCTCGTTTTAAAGCAGTTTCGGACAACCTTTCGGCTGAGCCAATTTGGAATTTGGAGCGACGTGAGTCTTCGGGCCATTTGTTTTGGTGCCGTGATTCATCCAAAGTAAAATTCCGATGCGACGTCGAAGTAATGGAATATGAAAAAGACCCGGAAGAACACAAGAGCTTTTACGATTCAAATAACAATACAACCACCGAAAAATTGACAAATGTTGCTGTTGTTTGTGCAACATGCATCGCGGCTATTGCGGTAACGGTATTTTTGCCGTGGTTCCTGATTGGATCCAATTAGTTTTTAGCATTTTTTTTCTTTTCATTGAATTTTAATGATCGTTTTCTTTGGTTTTTAAACTTCTATATTTATATATTGGTGTTGTAGTCAATTTATATATACATATTATATATATCGTCTACAGTCAGCGACTGGTATTTTGGCACATGGTTAGAACAAAACGAAATGTTTTTGTACATCTGTCAATCAATGTGTGTAATATACATAAACAAAATATAAAATCGGTATATAAAATCGGTAGTATAAATTTGTATGTTTCGGTCAAAACCGATTTTCAGATTTTGTATATGTATATGTTTGTGTTGGGTATGAAAATATGTGACATATGTTGACTGTGAGCGCCGTCTGACGCAAACTAGCTGTAAGAAGAATGATTTGAGTGAAAATGATTCACATACAATTTTCAATAATTTTTTTTTCAATTTTATGAATTTCAGTAAATTGATTAACTTAGTTCATTATATTGAGATTTTTGCATAATTTTATTTCCAAAAAATCCATTCAATTTAACATAAAATCCCGACTCAAGCGTTGAAATCTGCCAATTTCGAAATCGCCGTCAATTTGAACTTGCCGTTACTACTAGACCATTTTGCTTTTCTCTCTTGAATCGGTGTCATATTCAAGACTAAACATTCAAACGGGAGCATAAACACAATTTTTTTTTTGGTTAAATCGGCACACAATCAACTTTAAACGAAAATTTGCATTTGCGACCATCTAACGAAAATCGATTAAATAATTTCACAATTTGGTGACCGAATGATTTGTTGAGAGGACAATTCGAAACAAAAGTGGATTAAATTTTGTAGTAATTCAAATTTATGTGAAAAACTATAGGTAAAGTGCTTTTTTTTATATTGTTGTTGTATTTTTTTTGATGCGACAACTTTTTTTTCTAAATAATAGTAGAAAAATAAAAGAAATTATTTAATGCATATTGTAATCGTAGCATGTCCTTTTGAATTGATATTTTATTCTCGAATAGATCGTAACTGTGTAACGGTAATTTTCGAGTTTTTATTTTCATTTTTTTTCGTCTTGAAGAATGGGAAATGGATTTTTTTTTATTAAAATATGGTATCTATAAAAAAATAAGATTGAAACTGTCTCAAGACCCAACATATACCCGAGAATAATATTTAAAAAAAAAAATGAAGATCTAGTTTATTCTAGAAAATATTTCGATAAACATTTATGGAATAATGGGATATGTCTTCAAATTAATATTGTACAGCATTTTTTTAAATATATAATTACGTAAGCAACAAATAAAAAAAGGTTCAAATTAAAATGTTGTTATGTTATTTTTTACTAATCTCTCTGCATCGTAAAGTGGCCGATTCGACGGCACCAGCAACTGTAGAACGGAATGCTGACAATCGAAAGAGGATTTTATTTTAGTTACTTTTCACAGGATTGTAATTTAAAAAAAATGCTCACCATTTGCTTCTAAATGCCAAAGGCCGGACGCTGTGGAACCTATAAATGCACACAACATAATAAAGTTGATTTGATCTTAACTGATTTTTATATGTGTTCAATTACCTGCTGGACTTGTAACATCGTCTTTCAGTTTGCCAGGATGTACACCTGAATCGCGTAGTAATTGTCCAGAACCGAGCACTGTTTGCGATGCTAAACGGTAAGCGAGATCACGTGGTAGTCCTATAAAAATGTATAGTATACTATAACTATATTGCTAACTGCACACAATTATGTTAAATAGTTTAATTAAATAACATGTTTAAAACTTTCCTATGGAAATAAAAGAAATCAATTCATGTTAAATGGGCGCATTTTCACCCTCTTAAAGTCAGTAATTCCCCAATTATGAAATGGCACAAAAAAAAGTTAGAATTAGTTTTTCAAAGTTTTTGCATTTTTTGTCAAACTTTTTCATACACTGTAACTACGATTGTAATCATTGGCCCTTTAAGAATAGTATAAGCTCTGGTGTGACGCAATTCAAATTAAGTTTTTTTTTTTTTTGCAAAATTCACCTCCCAACTATTGTTGATTTTGTGCCGATATTTTGGTATAGTTTCAAAAAAGAAACAGTTTATATTCTTTGCGAGTATTATTTAAAAGGAAAACTAACTAATCGCCATTGATATTGGTGGTATTCGTGATTAAATAAAAAAAGTGAATAAAGAAAATTTTCAATTTCCATTCGAAACTATTGTCAATGTGTGTTATTGACGTGTGAATGACATCATTTTGATTAAAAAGAACTGTTTTGAAACCCAAAAAATGTTGTTAAATTGAATGAGTCAAACCCATTTTAACGGCGCCATCAGCAAGTCCTTCAATCATAACAAACACATAAGCCGGACCACTTCCACTAAGTGCTGTTACAGCATCCATCATGTCTTCGGTGATTTCTTCACTTGTTCCAATTGATTGCAGCAGTGATTGTGCGATGTCAGCATCATTTTGCGTTGCATTCTTTCCTCGAACAAAAACCGAACATCCCTGATTAACAATGGCCGGTGTGTTCGGCATTACACGTATAACTCTCGTTTTTTGCGGCAAAATCTATTGTGTATTCATTGCGAAATGATGAAATGGCTATCAATATTAATATTTGCTATATGCTACATGTTAATTAATCACATGTGAAAGCTTACATTTTCCATTTGTGCAATTGTAATGCCCATGGCAACCGAGATGAACAGCTTATTCGTTGCAATGCTCTTTATCTCTTGTAAAACTCCGGGCACAACTGCCGGCTTAACTGACACAAACACAACATCGGATTCTTCAACGACCGGAGCATTTTCTGTTATCGTTTTTGCACCAATCGCCTAATACCACAGAGAATAATTAATTGAATAGAAATGAAAAAGGAACGGCAATGTTAAAAAGAGACCATAGGGAGTCTCTCTCAGAGTGAAAACAAATCGAACCGTAGACATTTAATTGAATCAAATTGTCTAACCTTGAACGCATTTAAACTGAGCTGATCCGATGGATGGCAACTGGCTGTTACTCGATCAGCTTTCGTCAAACCTTTCAATTACGAATGAAAGAATAAAAAAAAGACATGGTTACACTATTACAAGTACAGACAAACTTCGATGAAAATCGAATTGGTCGCTATTTGATTAAATTATGTGTTCTCGTTGCTTTGTAACGATGCAATCAATTGTAAGCATTGTGAAATCACATCTTTTACTTACCGGCTTTAATGAAACCTTTTGCCATGGCTTGGGCAATTTTTCCACCACCGATGAATCCAATTTTATGCATTTTGTATAGGTTTTCCGATGGTAAGGCACTTTGAATTATACTCTTTTTTTTTTCGTCTTTAAACCTTTAAACGGAATATTTGTACGAGAACCGGGAGAAACACTGTATCGTACGCTGTATTGTACACATATAAATGTCTGATGTTTTGGTATACTGTTTTCAATGGATTGAAACAGACAGCAATGGCATATCTAAATTGATTTAAATTAGAAATGTCGTTGTATTGCTGATTATTGCGAAATTATCTTGGAAACATTATTTGTTCAATATAACTATACATAGTATAAATGTTTTTTATACTTAAACGTTCAAAGACGAATTGACCATATGTGTGATTGAGTGACTTTTAGCCGTTTCAAAAACTACACTCCAACATATTCCCGATTATGAAACAGTGCTCTTTTACTGATAAATTGACACACAGTGCACACGTAAACGCAATTGAACGATTTTATTTTTCGTTCTATGATCTTTATATTTATACATGCCAGCACAATGTGCAAAGTACAACAACACACTTCTGGTCAGTCGATCTGTGTGTGCGCATTATCTTTGTTTTCGTTCAATTGTTGACGAGTTCGATGTTTATGGAATCGTATGTGCCTAGAAATACACATCAAAATGATTGAAACTTGATTTTTGTTGTTTTTTTTTTGCAACTTATAATATGCTACTTCTGTTTAGTTAATTTTAGTTTAAAAGGCATGGCAATTTCTTGAAATGCATTTGGAATTCAAACGAAAATGCTATATATGTATCACATTGCGAATGTTTTATTTGTTCATGAATACGAAAAAAAAATGTACAAATAAATAATTTAAAAAAAAACATTGGCATTAGGTAAATAGTGTGTTGGAGGGAGGTGGTTGTGGGAGGATTTACGCTCCCTGAAGTTTTACTTTGGCGAAGAAAAAAACTATCTTTTTTGGTCGCTAATTTTGCCCAGAAGTTTACACACAGAAGTTTTGAAAATTAAATCCCTCCCCCATCTTAGACGTCAAACCTCACACACTACGGTGTTATACATATGAATGGGGTAGAATAAAAACTACTTCTCGAAAAATTGCTATTTTAAAACGAAACCTAAAAAAATTTTCAATAAAAAGTGAATCAATTTTTTTTTGTCCAATTGAAGTGAATCAAGAAAATTTTGTTCAATAAAAGTGAACCAAAAAAAAATTTCACTCGGTTTTTTCAGTGTAAAATACACTAAAATGAATTTTTTTTTTGGGTTCACTTTTATTGAACAAATTTTTTTTGGTTCACTTCAATTGGACGAAAAAAAATTGATTCACTTTTCATTGAAAGTTTTTTTTTAGGTTTCGTGTTTAAACATTTTTCGAGAAGTAGTTTTTATTCTACCCCATTCATATATGTGTAAGCTAACTAAATCGATGCTTTTTATTTGAATAATTGTTCAACTATTTGATCAGTTCATGCTTGTACACACTTGCATTGCCTGTCAATATTCATGAATAGATTAGTTAACACGTCGAAAGTGCAATCGGTTCGAGGCGATAACACAAATAATCAGTGATTTGGTGAGCACAACAACAGCACAAGTTTTGTCGCAAGTTTTCATAATCCAAATATATACGCTATCAGTTCAATAAATAAACTTTGCAGATACTTGATCCAAAAACCAGTTGGACGTGGCTCAGCAGGTGAACATTACAACTACATAAATGCAATTTGATTGTTTTGAAGTTTGTTTCGGCATGTTTTTCGCACAGTATTTGTTCTATACTCTTTTCTTTTTTTTTTTGTTTCGTTGTAAAACTTATTGCAGAAACAATTCCGTGCGCAAGGACTTGTAACATATATATCAATTTTGAGTCGAAAGTTTCGGCTCAAAACTAAGTTCAAATGAAACGTGTCTTCATTGCATTTTACAAATCAAATTTATATGATTTCTCCTAACAAACCGGATAATGTGTGAAATTGAAAGATCAACACTATTTAGTTGGCAAACAGTTGGATTAGTTAGCAAGACTTACTTACCCATTCGGCACATAGTACTCAAAAAAGGTGAACAGAAATGAAAAGAATGACACATTCATTATATTTAAAATGCGATTCAGTGTGTTTATTCGATCAATCTGATAAATTGTGTTTTATTTCTTAATTTTGATTCTATGCTTATGTTTATTGTACTATGTGATTCATTTAAGTTTGAATTGATATTAATTTGCATTCAATAATTTGATTTATATCGAGGAACATATATTTCCACACACTGATAGTACAATATTTACAAACAATTAGATTTATTCAACACCTAACCATTCAGTCCAAATAAATTAATAAATATGTCTTCTTCTTCTTCTTTTTCTTCGTATTATAGAATATGTTGTAATTAACATTTATGTGATATTGATCATTAGACCAATAGACAAATATTCAAATCACAATGTAAAAATCTGGTCACAATTGTGAGTTTTCTGAATGATGACAACTTCGGGCAACTTCATATTTGGTCTTATCTATTTATGAGTTTGAATTTAGGCTGAATAAATATGATGGAATGGCTGTTACGTAAAGTTGCATCGTTGCACTCATCTTGCTAGTAAAAATGTTAATTCGTCTTGAATTTCCTTTTGAATTTCGTTATTATTTTCCATGACCTGTTGTACTTCCAAATCCGCTTCGCTAAATTCACGTGAATCGGTAAAACCACTCGGTGGACGAAAACGTAATCCAGTTTCTATCTCATTGTCCATACTGAAAAAAAAGACATACACAAACACAACCATAATCAACATTCTAATAAAGAAAATTTGTTGAAACATTTTCTGATGAAGTTTAAACATTTGAGTATAGAAAGAATATCACAACAATCATATTTACAGAATATTATGTTGTCACAACTATGTGTTTTGATTTAAAATGAATAAAATATTACACAAAAAAGTAACATTCAATTTGAGAAACAAGCGTTTTTTTTTGTTCAAAAGAAAAATAACACACTATAACCAAGAACGAATGAGCATTTAAACGAATAATGAATTAAGTCCTATTTACTTCGATATATAAAAAAGAATGAGACGAACAGAAGAGTGCACAATGAAAAACATAATCAAATAACAATGAAACATTCCTATTTTTTTTTTGTTTATCACGGACTCAGCTGGTACCTGAGCTACCTGTTGCTACTTCCTGTTTCTAACATGTGCGGTGATTTATTACTTGATCGGGGACGCATACGCATATCAGCCGATACATGTCTTGGCGTATTGGATCGCCTCTCAACGGGTGAGTTATCATTATTTGATTCAGTGCTTGAATCTGGTCGAAATATATCTAACCCGAAAATAGCAGTGAATCAAGCAAATTTGAAATCGATTTTGGTTTTTTTTTTGTTTTGTTTGTGTATAAAATTTGATGTGACAGCATCTTTCACTTGAGCTTATTATAACGTATAATAGCGGGTGTTATGTGCCATTTTATTTTGACTAACACTCAAGCAAAAATACTGTGCAGAAAATCATACAATGTGTATTTGTGTCACACAAATTGTGTGTGTGTGTGTATACTGTGTATGTATAAAAAAGACCATTAATCTGCATACTTACCACCTCTGGATTTGGTAGGAACACGATATGTAGACATATTTGAAAATTCGTTAATTGGACTAACGCTTGTATCTGATTCGGTGTCATTGTGGTGTGATTTTGTAATTTCGTTGCGTGATTTCGACTTAATGCATCGATTCATATCCATTTCACGTTTGCTCTTACCGCGATTCGATTGTAATTGCAATTGCGAATTACCAGCCAGTATTGTCATCGATTTGCTCAACGTTGAATCGTCTGTCAGATTGACGCGAAAAAAAAGAACAATTGAATTCACTGTTAAATTATTCACACCCATGTTTATTTATTTCTGAACACTAATTAAGAGTGTAACAAAACACAAAAAATTTAAACGATCTCAATGCATCTTCATTTAAAAAAAAAAAAACTTTAATTTGATCACTTATACACATTCACACGTTTTACCATGTACTACAAAACTTTATCAGCTTGGAGGAAACATTCAAAACTTTCGACTAATTTCTCTATATTTTTCGTTCGATAAATGGAAGAAAATAAAGTTCACTACATGCAATGTTTAATAATTACCGTCTGTATTATAGTATCGTTGGTTTTGCCAACTGGATTTTCCTTTTACGTGACCAAAAGCAGCCGCAGCATTTGGCAGCACTGGATATGCCGTTGCATTTAGATTATCGCCTTGACCGAAAGTTTTGAATTGAACTGTGTAATCAAGTGCAGACGGTGTAACACCATGCAACGGAGTTTTACTCAATTCGGATGTTGTTCGGCCACAACTCACACTGAACGTTGCATATGGCGCAATTTCGTACATTTCTTTGAACAAAACAGCGTCCCGCAAAGAAAATCGAATCGAAAAATAAATTGAAGGTTCGCATTACAGAAAATTTGCTAAATGGCATTTTTGTGTGCAAGAAATGTGGTTTTACTCCTTGCGTTATGTTTTATAATCATATTTACCCGAATCGTTGTGTTTATTGACGGTCTTAACCGGAGATGCACTATAAACTTGTTGGCTGCGTCGGCTGTCGTATCCATCTTTCAAATCATTTGGTACGGTGCTCGTTTCAAGCCCACCAGAAATTGATTCACGCCAAAAGCCACGACGTCTTAATGTTAAACAACTGCTTAATTAAATGAACCGAATGATAATAACCGGAGATCAGAGAGAGATAGAGAGAGGACATGCGATAGAGGGATAGAGAAAATTGAATTAGAACTTTATAATAAGCTTGCTCGTCTTCAACATAAATAGAGGCACATAAAATTGACCATAGACCGAAGGTGTTCGGTGTATGCGTGCATTCGTGTTGATTGGGATAATAAATTAAATACAGTTATTCGAAAATTACATTATAAGAGATGCAGATAAAATCATAATGCCCACAATTGTTGTTGGAAGCCAGTCTCTTTGGCTTGAAATAATGGCAACATTGTCTGATAACTCATTTTCTGGAAATACTTCGGGCGTTGGTATTCGCTCTGGAAAAATGAAAGAAACACAAAACAAATGAAATAGCGAGATAAATATAAGAATTTCTTTTTTTGTGAAATATTTCGTTCACATATTTTCAGCAACAGGCCCGATCATATTTTTGTAACTCGAAAAATTACTAAGTATATAATTACAAAACACGTGTATTTAAAAACGATTTTCTCTTAACAACAAATGAAACAACTACAACTCGAAAAATTCCTAAGTATATATTTATAAAACACGTGTATTTAAAAACCATTTTCTCTTGATAACGAATAAGAAATGAAACAACTACGACGTAAAATAATAAATGTTTTTTTTCCCATTGAAATCAATCATATCTTAAATAAAAAAAAAAACAAAAATGCAAAAAATAGAAAAATTGAAGACATTATTGAATATAAATAACGAGGATTTATTCATTCGGAACGGTCTAAATGGCTTATGTTTATTTTCTCAAATTTTCATTACATGACGTTTCGGATGTACATCCAATCCATTTTCCAAAGCCTATAAAGGAAACAATATGCAGTAGACAACTGTGTGTCACCAGTCGATTTTTTCAATATAAACTAAATATATATACATAAATGATACGTTCGGAAATCCAATTTCACCATTAGTAATGACTGTTGTTCGTTGATTACAATATAATATCGATATTATTATAATCAACAAACAACAGTCATTACTAATAGTGACTATTGCCGAAAGGGCTCTCCTACTTTGTGAAATTGAATTTCCGAAGGTAAGTCTACTGCTTAGTGTTTCCTTTATAGGCTTTCGAAAAAGAAATGTACATCTGAAAGGTCGAGCAATGAAAATTTGAGAAAATAAAAATTGACCATTTAGCTCGTTCCGAATAAATAAATCCTCGTTTTTTATATTCAACAATATCATTAACTTCTGGCCAGCCACGTTAACAAAACATCGAAAAATTAAAGTTTTATTATTGGCAACCTATTGTTACATTATATATTAGAAGCACAAATATAGAAAGACATTCCTTATGTCAGGTGTTTCATTTTTAAAGAAAACGTATAAATACAGCAAATTCTATTGAATTTAAACAGTATACTCGAGAATTTTGAGCGAAAATGATACGTTTAATTCAAAAACTTTTTTTAATCACCATTTTCACAAATGGCGTAAGTAAAAGAATTTTTAATTTTTTACTAAACTAATAAAAATATCGTTTCTTTTCTATATTTCTTATAAAAACAGATTTATATGGTATTTGGTGATGATGATAAATTTCCAGTATACTATGCTGATCAAATTCATGAATTTGAATCCTTGATAGAGCATTTTAAAACTCTTTTGAACGATTCCATGAACATTGTTGATGACAACGCACAACTAATTGAATTTCTGGATGACTTTGACACTGTTGAAATAATTTGTATACGTATTCATTTCTATTGTAATTATATTCCATTGTAATTAAATGTGTCAGTCTTACGACGACGTTCAAGCAAAACACAAGTGCTTTTATTTTACTCTTCTTTCCACTGCAGCGTTTTAGGTGTTGAATTACAGAGGTCCGAAGACCGTATTTTCGCTTTGCTTAACTAAAAATAACAGACACAATTTTTAAGCCAGCGCTTAAAAGACTATCGAAACTACATGCAGAATATGCCAATTGTTGTCATACATATGATGATGTATACGCAACGTATCTGTCAAAGGCGAATTCTCTTAAGAAAAATGCAAAGTTCCAAAAAATAGTCGATCAATGGAATACCATTGTTCAAATGAGAACGGGTATTTCTGCAAAAATGAAAATGGCAACGGAGCAATTCGCAGGACTTCAAAATGAAGGTGGAATCTTTTATCAAATCTTCAACCAAGTTAAAAGCGGTAATTATGATAGTTCGCTGGATGATGAGTGGGCTAAAGTATGTAAACAAGCCATTCGCATCTCAAACGGCATTAAAAAAACGAAATCCGAATTTCAATGTCCGGATGTTCAGCAGTTTTTATCTAGTATGAAAAAATGTTTTGAATAAATCTATAATATTTATGTAAAAAGTACTTCAATGTGTATTTGGTCGGCTGAAAAGTCGAACTAGAATAGATGAAGAACTTTTCCACCTAACGTAAATAAAGATTTATTCTCTAAACAAATAATGTTTTTTTTTTGATCGAGTATTTAAGCTTATTCGAATTAACTGTCTGGTATTGTCTCAAAAATGTGTTCTACATTCGTTTATTTAAAAGCAATCTCCATTTTTGACTATATTTACAAATATACAAAAGTATTTTTTTCTCCAATTTTCGGAATATTTTGGAATATTTTTCTTACTTATTTAGTAAATTACCTCCATTTAATTTAGTTGTCGCCACATTATAAAGAGCGGTTGTTTTTCCTGCATCATTTATAGCAGCAACTTTCAATTGATACCATGTAGCCGGTTGAAAATCGCAAAATACTAAATTCCTTTGGGTTTCATCCGAGTTGGATATATCAGATGATAAGACAGTCCATTGCAATTCACCTACGAGAACGATGAAATAAAATGGATATTGAGTGTATGCGCGAGAGATATTGTGAATACTATCTACACGTATTGTTGTTGTTTTATCTGACATGATGTTGGATCAGACATTTGGCCGAATGCCATTTCATACATTCGTACGTTCAACAGTTGAAATGTGAACGTGAATAAAAGTGTGCATGTTATGTGGCGAGCAATAATAATAATAGCTATAGTAAATTGATGATGATAGGGAAATGTTCTTGCTTAAAAATAGATGGAGAAAAATAAAAAAAAAAACACGCACACAGTAAACGAAAAATCAGATATAGGGAGATAGAGAGAGAGAAATAGTATATAACGACTAACCATGCGGTCGATGTTCAATGGAAAAGTGTGAAATTGGGCAACCACCGTTATTCCACAGCGACAGTTGCAAATTAATGCATGATGAATTTGTGCTAATGAAATCCTTTTCCTCGGGCTCTTGTGACTCTGCGTGTAGCGTAATAGTGTTTGGGAATAAAAATAAATATTGTCGTATATTAAATTGGAGTTGAAATAGTAGTATGCACAAATGTTTTATTCTATTTCTTTGCAGCATAATATTTAATGGAATAAAAGCTTTGCAACAGTTTTTCGAAACGCAATATACGACTCAAAATGTTGCCAGGCAGACAACAGCCGTTTACTATTTGATTACAACTATAATTTTACATATATAACACGAAAGCATTTGAAACAGTGCGATGTTATTTGGTATGTTGAACGATCGATTACCGAGAATCTGAGTTTTCCACTAAAATAGCTTCTCCATTTTTCTCAACAAATTTGAAGTTGTTGTTGTTTTTTACATTCGTACGGGCGGGTATGAACGCTTAAAATAGTGCTGTAAAACAAGTCCATAAAAGCGGCGAACGTAAAATGTCATAAAAAATAAATTGCCACTTATCACAGTTTTCATGAATTTTGAACAATTGAATGTGAGTGAGTGCGAGAAAATGAACCTCTTGGCCTCCAGCAATACCGGCAGTACCTGTATTGCGATGTTGTACATTTATTCGATTCCAAAAGCGAAACCATAACGTTATTCTATTCTTTGTGCAAATCGACAAACGCTGGAATATGTTTGTGTGTGCGTATTTGTGTAAATGATGGTGACGTTAAAACAAAGAGACGAACCGACTTGATATTATTCATCTCGGTAAACTCACACAGCTATTCTATGATTTTTTTTCTTCTTATCTTTTTTGCGCAATTGAAACAAACGATGAAAAACGTGTGCGAACGCGAGAAATGATTATTTGATTTGAGCAAACACCCAATAAATATCGCATCATATGAATATTTGATATAGCATTTTATTTTTGTTGCAAAGCTCCACCATTTCCTACCGATTCCACAAAGTGTAAACCACATAAAATTTTAAATGAAAAATAAAATCAAGATATGTTTGCGTTTACTTTTGCCTTTTGTCCATAAATTAATTTCATCACTAGATTGTCCGTCGCCGACGCGATTATTTGCTGACATTTTGATGATATATTGTGTGCCACATTTTAATCCAATCAGAGTGTAAGCATTATTTTCCGGTGTAATTTCAACTTTGATCCATGCCCCCGAAACGGTGCGATATGATAGTGAATGAAATAAAATCGGCGCACCACCATCATCGCCACTTTCCCAGCTAACGCGAATACTATCAAACGATGAATAATGAACGTTAATTTGTGGCGCATTTGGTACTTTCATTGCGATTATTTTATAAACGATACTATCTTCGCCAAATAGATTTTTTGCCGAGCACGTGTAATTTCCGGACAAACTCGCCTCAATGCTATGAATTCGAAGATTTCCATTTACCATTATTTCATAAAATGGGCTAAATGTAACAGGACGATCTCTTGTAAACCAACGAGCTCTTGGTGTTGGATTACCAACTGAAAAAACAGTTCAAAAGTCAAACATTCACCTAAAATTTATAAATATACACATGTATATCGCAAGAATTGTACAGATTATTACCTGAAATACAGTCCAATATCAAACTATTGCCAACCGCTTTTCGTATTGTTTGCGAAAATGACGCGATACGCGCCGGTGCTTTTGTCGTTGTTTGAACACTCGATACTGACGTTGGTTCACCTTCACCCTCACTGGTTGAGGCTGTAACCCAATAGTCATAGGTATGATTCTCAATAAGACCGCGTGATTCAAAAAGTCTTGGATTTCCATCTTCGTCAACGCGCACCATATGATTTTGAGCTTGTCCTTTCCGACCAGTTTCTCGCATATAAACCGTATAATGTAAAATTAGACCGTTTCGATGTTTGGGCGGCAACCATGACACAAGTATCGAATCACCAGTCAATGCATTGCTTTTTATGCCAGCCGGTGCATCGGGAACATCATCTTCGGTTTTACAATAAATTGATTGCGATATTTCACCATCACCTATTTCAAAATGATATGAGTTAAAAAGACAACAGAAAAAAACGCCATTTTATTTATGGGTTTTTGATCTGAATTGATGTCATTGTGAAATGATGCAAGAAATGAAAGACAGAGAAAGAGAAAAAGAGTGAACGCAACCACAACTGACTTACCACTTGATGTATACGCTAAAATGCGAACCGAATAATTCGTTGCTTTATGCAATGCATGTAAGTATGTTTCCAAGTTAGAGGTTCGCTTCACTTCATTTGTTACAGCAATGTTATCGTCGTAGCTCACTGGTGTGTATAATATTTTATAGCCTTGTATAACACCGCCATGAAATTGAAGTGGTGGTTCAAGCCACCAAATTTTAATACTTTGCGATGTCAATGATGTACAATTGACATTTTGTGGTGGTGCTTGAGGAACTCCTTCCAATGTTGTACTAAAAACTGGCACCGAAAACGGTCCCGCACCAAAACTATTGATTGCACGCACAATAATTGAATAGCGTCGAAAGGTTCGTAAATTTTTTATTGTTGTTTTTGTTGTTGCAAAACCATCAACTTGAATTGATTTCTGTTGCGATGCGTTCGTGCTAATGTAATTAATATTCTGTTTTTCTTCTGTACAGTTAACCGTGTAGCCAATTAGTTCACCATTCCAACTTTCGCGAGGTGGCAAATTCCATGTAACAATCAATTCACCAATACCGCCCGGTTGCACTTGAACATTTTGCGGTGGTTCGATTGGTGCCTCTTCTTGTGTTCTCACAACGATTGTTTCAGTGAAGCCGCTGCTTTCAATTTCGTTTACAGCAGCCATACGAATCAGATAAGTCGTTGATGGATGCAGCCCTGCCAATGTTGCCGTTTCCATCATATTACCCATTGAACTATTGAACGCAATTCAATAAAATTCACGAGAAAATCAGTAAATATATTTTAAAAGATTTGGCATGACATTAAATGAATGTTACAAGTTAGGAATGTGTCTGCATTGAATCGAAATCAATGGCATTTAAACAGACAGCTCTATTTTTCTAACAAAAAAGAAGCAACAAAAATTCTTAAGTTGATTGAATTCGAAATCGAGATACAAACAGATGCTGCCGAATTGCTTGAAACTTGAAACTAATTAAATTGCTGTAACATATATGTGTAACTATATTTCATTTGAACCTTAGTATTCAAGTATATCACATACACAGCCAACATAAATAAAGCACATCTATTTCGAACGAAATGATGATGCCGATGATGTTGCGATAATGATATAGCAAATACGTATTTCGTCGAAAACGTTACAAAATCGGTTCGGTAATACATTATTCTATTTTAATAGTACAGAATGGAAATTGAGCATACCTTTTGCCGATGCTAATATTTGGCAACGTGATATTCATCGTATTTGGTGAATTCCAATGGTCATCCGAATCTAATATTGACAAATGTGCATACACAAATTTTGTAGGTTGATATTGTACAATGTAGCTTAGCATGGGTGAATTTCCATCGAAAGGGCGTTTCCACGATAATTTAACAGACCTACTGCTGACCCCTCGGCATTCCATATTCATTGGAGCATCTGGATGCTCTGTCGTTTGTTTATTTTGCGTGTGTATTTTGTGTTTGTATTTGTGTAAAAGTGCACAAAGAAATAAAATAGAAAATCAACAACAAAAATGTTATATAATTTACATTTTAACAACACAATCATCGACATCGATGGTACAGTATAAATGTAAATGAGCAATATTTTTGTAATCGAAGAAAAACTGTTTATGAACCGTTAATAGGAAATTGGTTCATTTAAACATTGATTCTAATATTTTCGGATCAAAAAGGTCCTTTTCGAATATTTTGTTAGTCAATAAATCACTGAATGCTTTTCGAGCACATTAAAATACAAAATGATCGCTCTTTTGCATACTAATAAACATAATCGGTTTTGTATACGTCTTGCAATAATTTTTTGTGTAAACTAATTTTCGTGAATAAAACACACCAAACAACGTTTCGTACACTGTGTAAATTAAATCCAACATAACATAATTTAAATGGCAACGATAAGAGCGACAGCGACAGTGAACAACAATAATGCATGCCCTCTGCTCAACTGTATGTAGCTTATAGCATCGCAGAGATTTGTTTGACAACAAACTTATAATTTGTATAATACTTTGGGTAACAAAACGGTTATACATACCCTGAACAGCAACGTAAATAACATGTTCACTTTTCCCAAATGCATTTTCAGCTTTGCAAGTATAGACGCCTGAATCTTGTCGATCTGAATGGGTAATCGATAATTGCGAATTTATTCCATTTGTCGTTTGCATTTCGGTAATGCTAATACTGCACAGTTCGTTGAATGCGATTTGTAGACGATTTGTGTTTGCATCACCAGAACAGCATAGCACATCGATTGAATCATGTGTGTATACACACATATATAGATATATATTTTAGCAGTCACAGGCACATATTTACATCGAAAAGCACAATTTACAATATGAATTTGAGATGATGTTGCGAACGATGAGTACAGCATCGCCATCGGGACGACAAATGAGAGAGCCAGGAATAGCAAGCAACACGAAATGAAAATTAGATTTAAGTAAGTAAGTGAATTGCAATTTCTATAAGATTGGATTTAGTCTATAATCTCAATAATGATTTTCTATCACACACGACGAAGCTTTTGCTTCCACACTTGAATGAGAATAACTATTTACCCCTACGGTCATGGCTTGTATTCGTTCAATAGATCCGATTATTATTTGTCTTGAATATTTGTTTCAATTCAAAAATAACATCAGTAAAAGCATTCTCTCACTTATACACACCACCACCACGTACACCACTTTTATTATTATATAAAAACGATGCGGTTGATTTTCATTTTTTTTTTCTTTTCTGAAAGCTGAAATTCTACCTACCGATAATTATTTAAATCAATTCGATTATTGTTATGCAGCCACGTGATGGTTATGTGATCATCGCCTTTGGCCAAACATGATAACGATATTGGATCGCCTCGACGTGTTGAAGAATTTTTGGACGTAGTTTCAAAACGAGCCGGTTCTTGTGTCAACAACATAGAAATACAATTATAAAGGTTTTATTTTCAGAATAGCTTGCGGAAAAATCGATTAAATGCATATCGAGAATGAAGAGTTTAAAAGTTTATTTGCTTTTTGCTACTTTTTTTTATCAACAACTGTTCAATGGAAATAATGGTTCAGTTAAATTGTACAAAAAATATATGATAAAGATTCTTTTTTTAGACAATTCATAACTATTTGCTAGAAATACTGCATTTACTACTTTTAAAACCCATGAATGTTCTAATTTTGAAACATTTTTTTATGGAAGCAACATGATAGGACTTAATAAAAAGTTTATTGAAGCTTTTTACCATTTATGTGTATATGTAGGTGTTGTATAACATTTACCATTTACGTTGATGTGTAGAATTTTTTTGAGACCAGGTCCGATGCCATTGGTCGCTTTCACCATGTAATAACCTTCATCAGCATCCGTAACATAGTCGACCATCAATGAATTATTACGAAGCTGAATCGATTTAAACTCTTTCGATAGTTTTCCCTCTACCATCGGGAGCGGGAGCGGGAGCGAGAGCAAGATTCAAAGAGAGAGAGAGAGAGAGAGAGAACGGCATGGAAATTTATAATTTGTGTATTGTTTCACAACTGAAAACAATATGTGTGATAATTATACCTCCTTTAAACCATGTGATTTCCGGTTCGGGATATCCTATTCAAGAGAAAAGGTTTTTTGTATCAAATCGTTTTTTTTATCTCTTTATTTTCACATTTGAATTTACCCTCTGCTTCACAATTTATAACAAGTGCATTTCCCAACATCAATGCAGTATCTTGTGGTTCTTGTATCCATCGTGGTGCAACTATATTTGTTATTTTTTTTATAATATCAGACAACAGTGCATGAAACGTGATTATTCAATCAGAAATGAATTTTTTCTACGTGTTTTTATGTGTGTTGTTTGCACAATTTTACCTTTCACTAAAAGTTCACTCGTGTGATTAACAGTGGCTCCAGAATTACTAGCAATACACGTATACAAGCCAGCATGTCGTGATGAGACGTCCTTCAACACCAGCATTGAAAAGAATTCATCACCCTTCACGGAAACCTGAACGCATTGAATTGAATTTCATTCAAATTATTGTCTTTCAACTGTTGGATAAAACTCTGTATTCGATAGGTTTACTTGTAAGCTTTGCGGAATCGGATGATCGTCCTTTTTCCAAGTAAAAATAATTGGCAAATCACCGGAGATTACAGCACAAGTAACTGTAACTCGTCCTCCTTCTTGTAAATTTTTGGGAAATGCAAATGGTTCAATAACAGGCGGACCTAAAAAAATGTTTGTTTGCTTGTGGTTAAATGTTATCATTAAACGAAATCTATTTATAGAAAACAATCTCATTTCTACTAACTATTCACAGTCAGTTCAATGTCTCGACGACCTTCTTCACCCGCCCGATTAGTACAGATGCAAGTATAAACGCCCGAATCTTGTGTTGAATCAATTTGATGAATTTTCAATGAGCCACGCTCCGAAGATAGTTCATATTTTGTACCTGTTGTTATGTGAAACGAGAGAAGAAAATTGCAGCCAATTTATTTTCGGATGCTTAAACGAATACATAAAATGTGTATGTATGTGGGTAGTTAGTTAGTTTACTTGAAACAAGCTCCTGGCCCGCTTTCTCCCATCGAATTTGTTCAATTGGGTATCCGGAAAATGGACAAAACATTGTAAATGAATCACCAGCCACAGCTTTAATTGGACTAATAGCGCGTACATATGGTGGACCTGTGCACATAAAATATAAAATCAATTTGGCTATGAATCGCACTCGGTAGCTATATATGACGTTTTACTATTATTTTTCTCTTCATTTGTTTTTTTGACGAATCCTACAAGCTCGTTCGAGTTTACAAAAATGATTGTTGCTTTGATCAATGCCCACTTTTATCAGTATTTAATTGTTTCAACAATATTTTTTGGTCATTTTGTGCAGAATGATTTATTTACATTGATTGTTTGGGCATTGACTCATGCATACGATGAACAAAATGAATGAAAAAAATAAAAAAAATAAACAAAATGGAATGTAGGGTATTCGGTGAAATATGCGTACAACACAATGCACACTAGAATGATTGGTTGAGGTTTTTGTAACAGAAAATATGTGTGCATGCAAGGATACAGTTGAATCCTTGTGCCACATCGTTGAACACAATGGATAACACACAATCCATGCATACCATTGTGATAAGGAACGTGTTAATTTATTTTCAGTCTCAATCTCATTTTTTTTTTGCTTTCTATGATCCTCTTATATTCTGTCGTTCATTTTTCATCCATTTTTATTTCAACATTTTCACATATATAACATTCCCAAAATATTTGCTGTTACATTTCAGTCTATGCCGTATTCGTTTCCACAAATTGTATGATATTTTCACCGTGATAACAGCTGTACAACTCTATAAAATTTATTTGTATGTGTTTTAAACGGCTGACTGTACATACCTATTAATATTACAAGTTGACAAAATAAATACGGTGTAAACTGGAATTTTACAACAAACATTTTTTTTGGCAAACTACTCATTTTGTGTGTGGTGTGTTGACTATTCTCAATCATCATCAGCATCATTATCATATACATGAGACTCATCCATATTTGATAACCACAGAGAAACGACATGCAATTATGCTGTGTAAAACCTTAATATTAATTTATTAAAAGCAATGGAAGACACAGTATCCTTCTTACATCAAAAATGGACACTATGAAGCTTAGCACCGTTCTAAGCCAGAGATTGTTATCAACTCTATCTTGAAATGATAAAAGATATCATGCGAAGAGAGAGAGAGATTGTCATATTACCATGCAAATGGATCGTCATTTGAAATGGCCATCGCTCATCGTTTTCAGTGCAAAACACACAATAATTATCTTTTGTAGCTATATAAAGGCTTCTCTATTATACTTTTGTGCTGCCTTGTGTAAATTTTGTGTTAATTTTGCGCTTTATTATAATTTATGTCATACATGTCGTTTGCCAATTGCATTTCGTTACCCAATTCAAGCCAAAAATATTTTCGTGAGCATGACCATTGGATGCAGTTGCGGGAACAGCGATGGCAACAACAGAATATACCAACAAAAACAGAGTAAATGCAAATTTAGTTGTTTCCAAACAGAGTCGCATAAATTTAAATTGAATTATTATCGATAAAGTGAGAAATGGATATTGTGAATACATTATATAACCAGAGAGAGAGAGAGTATATTATTTGCTATTGCCTTTCGACTCTGCATATTTTGAATATGTTGTTATAAATGGTCGTATAGTATAGTTACAATACATAGACCCACATGCATAATAATATAATATATGATAAATCCATAGTAGATAGTAGCTATAATTTGATTGAAAATGCTCACGTGCAATGCATTATAGAGTATAAAATGAATATGATATCACTAGGCAATCGACTCCTTCTCCCTTTCGCCAAAAACCACAAGATTAATTGTTTGCAATCTATTTAATAACGAATTCTTATTAACATAAGTAATGGCACATAGGACTTCATTTATCTAATGGTTCGTCGATGCTTCGAACGGTTTTTGGGTCATTTGGTGTGTTTGAGTCTTCATCACTTATGTGAATCTCAAATGAAGTGAATTCGGTATTGCCTTACAGATATTTATAGTACGAATTTTCTCGGCTCCATCCAAAATGTTGAACACCAAAACGTTTTATAGTTGTACAGTTGATGGTAGAAGAGTCTTTACAAACATTTATCATGTAATTATAATGAAGTTTTGATCTAATGCTCTCTTTGCTCTATTTTTGAAAATGTATTACGCAATACGTCATTTTGAAGAATACATTCGAATGCAACGTATATGTAGTTATTTAAACCAATTTGATGGAAAATTCAATAAATAAACAGATAATAGGTTATATTGTGTCATTTTGATTTTATTTTTTTTTGAAATTCATTTTTTCCGGCACATTTGTTTTTAGCTACCATCATAAGAATGACATTTATTAACAATTTTAACACAATGAAGCGTAAAATTTTGATAGAAAAGAAAGCAGAGCGTTCAAATTTAATTACATCGCACAGTTTGAAGACAAATGAAAATTGGTGTAACATTTATTTAGTAGATTTTTCACTTGTTTTCATCATTAATCCGCTTGGAAGAGTTTGGGCGAGAGTTGGAGAGAGAAAGTGATGAGGATTAGTTTATTCATTCGAAACAATCTATGTGTATTGAAATAGACTATCAAAAAATGGAGCTTTATTTTGTTTTCTTGTGATGTCGCGCAAGCGAGCGAATGCTTAATACCCGTTGGGGCCAACAGTTATCCCAAAGCATATAAATTTACTGAATGTTGTTTAGGTTTTAACACCACTAACAACAACATAGAGCCAACAACGAAAAATCGTTCACTACATGGCTACATGTTTACTATCTCTCATTTTGTTCGTCCCCCTTCTGCTGCCATGTGAAAAGCATTTGATTGGCTCTTGCGCAAACAATCACTATAGCGGCACCGCAAATTCATGAATATAAATTGAAATTAGTGTGGTACAGTAATGAACACACTTCATTCTGCAATGTTTATTTTTAATGAGGTATCAAATGGACAGGTTAAAGTTATAACGCGTGGTGTGAAGAGAGGAATAGGGCCTTCGATTGGAACTGCGTATGCATATCTCATGCACATACAATATACACATGTATCAAAATATATATTGGCAGAGTACATGTATAGTCGTCCAGTCTTCGGGCTGTGTGCGTATTCATGTATATATTATTATATATATTTTAATGTGCTATTTATTTGTACCATACACTCCTTCTTTCCCATTACAAAAAAAAAACATATAATGGACAATGGACTTTATATAAATTATTATTCACTGTTCATCGATTAAAAGTTGAAATGTTACCAATCAATTATTATATTGGCATTCGTTGTTTGCTCTTATAACTTCAAAATGAAGTGAGAGAAGGGGAAGAAAAAGTAAAATAAACATAATGCATGCCCAAACATAATTTCGTTAACTGGGGGGTTGCTCGGTTTTGGTTAACTTTATTTGCGAATATTCACAAAATGTCGAGTATGTGGAAAATTACTAAAAACAGCCCATTTATTTTAAAATCAAAGTCAAACAGTTTGAACCTTCAAGCCATTTACTTTCAGCGTATATGTGTGTACGTCAAATGTCTTACTGACAAGGTATTTTTGATTCCACCCGAACGGTCTGGGTCAAGTTTTTTTCGTCAAAGGCCCCAACAAATGGTAAGAATTTTCCAAAAAGTTTCCGTTTCTTGCTTACAAAAGAAATTGCTTATGCTGTTTTCAACATGAATGGTTTTACCTTGTTCTATATCAAATCATTCATTCACAAAACTAAATCTTTCAATGCACCGTAAAATTCGCTTTTTGTAAGTTCAAACTAGAGATGGCTACGAACGCGTTTGCATAAAAAATGTTCGTTCGTATACATATTTTTCGAATCGTGTTCATTCGTATTCGCTATAACCCCCTTAGCGTTCTTTCGCTGAACTTCAAACCCCTAGTTTGTAATACGTGCTCTATAATTTTGTACTCAGTTTATATCAAAAATAAATATGTTTGTCAAGGGGATAGTAGTAGTAATTTGATAACAATGCAATGCATACACAAAGAAACACCGAAAAAGAAAAAAAATCTCTCTTTTGACATGTTTTACCATGTCATCCCGGATCTATTACATAGTTTAAAGATACTACACGCATATTCTGCTGGAAAAAAATATAGCTGCACATATACGATATATTTCAAAAATTAATTGCTTGCATGTACCGGATATCGTTTCATCGTCCCTTATTTGCCCCCGCATTCCTTCTCACACGGAATACTTTACGAAATAGTAACACACACACACACATACACTCACACAATTTCCGACTTTAAATTTTTCATTTTGATTTCCTTCTCCTCTCCATACAATACACAGCCCATGTAAGCTTGCTGAAAGCAGATTAAACTTGCACAAAAGATGAGTTAAGAAACTTTGCATCGATTGAATTGAAAATTCAATTTATTTGGCATAAAAGAATTGAAATAGTACATAAAAACACTTGCAATATTGATTTCCTATCATAATTTCCAATCCAAAATGCTTGTGTTTGATATAATGGATTAAGTGAAGAAGATTCGGTTTTATAGACATAAATCTTTTGAATGTAAACCACTTTCTCAGAGTTTTAACAGTGTGCATACACATCTAAATACATGTATCCTTCATGGCAATATGCGCTGTGATATCTCTAAAGCGAGTCTTGAATATGAGCGAGCGAATGATTGAGCGAACGAGCGAGAGCATGTTCAAACACTTCACACAAAAATGAAAGCAATCGAGTGCTGAGTTAAGATAAACAAAGCGAGAAATACTAGAACCAAGTCCATTTTACTCTTAATGCACTCCTATAATTCTACATTGCGACGAGAATATTGAACACTTTCCATGCACTCTGTTTACACACTTCTTTATTGCATCGATATATTATGTATAGAGCATAAATCCATACATAGATAGATACTCAATGGATATTTCCATCCAAGAGAAATCAGCATAAAGATGCATAAAAACTTGAATTAACATTTTAATATTATACTTTTGATTCTATAAAATGTTTGTTATCGTTTGCTTTTGTTCGACATTTTTTGCTCTCTCTCTCTCTCTCACTCACTCACTCTCACTCACTCACTCACTCTCTTCATCGTCTTCGATAGCATTCATATGCGAATACTACTTTTGAAAAATGTTGTTTGAACGAATGTTTGCGGTTGCATGAAATTACATTCACCTCAAAACAATATCTCGAAAAATAACAAAAACGAGAAAAAGGAAAAAAAATTATTTGAAATTATTCTGGATGTATGAGCCTAATGCTTTCTTTGTTTATGGCCATTTTCACCGAGGGCGGAAATTGTTTACATTTTTGTGTTGGCCAAACTATAACAACAAAACATGCCAAAGATTTTATAAACGACTCAGAAATTCAATTCAACTGATTTACAATGTTGAATTGTTTGGATTGAAAGTTAAATTTCGTAGCCAACATAACACAATACCGGAGTCCAGAGATCAAAGCCACATTCACATGTGTACACGATACAATTTAAGGGATGTACTTTCGTCGAATTGTATGTATTAGGTAAACAGAGTGTTTGTGATACAAAGGTGCAAATGAATATGATTTGGATATGGCACAAAAGTTAAAATGTATCCGGTGTCTAATGTATCTGAATATGCTTGAACGTCTGTACATTGCCGGAACTTACATTCTATGTGATCGAACGTTTTAAAAACGTTACAACCATTGTCTGTATTGTGTGTGTATTTGTGTGAAAAAAACGAAAACATTTTCCAATTGAAATGCAGCTCTTGCAGGTATCTTATATTTATAGTTTAAATTTTATCGACAGTAGTTCGTTTCGTCGTCGTCATTTTCATCTGCTCCATTTCTTTCTTGTTCACAGAACAAAATAACGGAAATGAGATGGTTGTGCTTCAAAAACGCGAAATTGAAACAGATAATATGAAAGAAGAACAATTTGTCGTAAAATTCATTTTAATGTATTTAGATTGAAATGGGTGATGATTTTTATTTCCTTGTTTATATTTTTTGTGTATGTTTTTTTTTCTGCAGATAGATCAAAATGTATAACATTGTCCGGTTGGAAAGATAGTTTGAAATGTTTGAATTCTTCATGTGAACTATATAATCTGTTGAAACGAAACTTCGAAAACAGAAATGCTTTCAAAAAGATTTTTCTTCAAAGTGCGCGTCCGAGACGGAGTTGGAAAATTGAATTGAATTATTTATAAAGAAATAGTGTTATCGTCTTCTTCAGTATGTGTCACCATCATCGCTGAATACGCTTCCCTTCATTTTTCAAGCTAACTACGGTGGGAAAAAAAATGTAAGTGTGTGTGCTTGTTGTAAAGTTACGAAATAACATATGCGATCACAGCCTTTTATTTAAATATAAATCGAATACGAGTAGTTTGGCTCGTATCAAATAAATACCAAATTCAATCAAAAACTAATCTCAGAAAAGAGTGCAAATAGTGAGTAAAGAAAAGCTCTCATTGTAAGCTAAATAAAAAAAAACAATGGCCTGGTCCAAGTTGTTGCTCAAAGAAGAACCATCTGCATGAACTATTTGAACTAGATAGTTTGAACGTTTCGGGTTCACTTTTAAGTCAATGCTGCACTCAATTCACTCTTTATCTCTCTATCTTTCTCTGCCTCTCTCTTCCTTTTCGCCCGCCATCTCTGAAAATTTAAATCCATTTTACATTTTAAATACGATAAGCTTCTTGATCAGTCGGTTACATACATGTAACGAATGAATGCGTTTACACATTTTATTGCCCTTTACACTTCGATTAAGGATTTATGACACATATAAAGGGAAAACGAGTCTCATATTAAGAACCATTCACAGTAGATTATTTGTTGTGACATCCCTTTATCCCGTCTTTTTAGTGGTACGACGGTTGTTTAACTGTTCCATCATTCAATCACTCATACATCATTATACATACAATGTGATCGACACCTACACACGAACCTACCTCATATATATGGACACTCTTACACACACTTAATTTTTAGCAATAGCTAAAATGTCAACCATGCAGTGTGTTCACACCGTGTCTTCTGTGTGTATATTTAAAGTATGTACCATGCGGTACTGGTGACAAGAGACCTAAAATGATGTTAAAATTAAGGGGGTTAATCTACCAATCTACCCACAAAGTGTCACTTAATATAGCATTCAGTGCAATGGGTATATAACTTCAATTATGGACTATATACATTTGATCGTGCTTGCTCATTCGCTTTCTCTCTCACACACACACACACACATACACACATACACGTATATATACTCTGCCGTGCAGCACAAGTGAACGTGGACGTAAACAGCAATTTGTTTTGCATCTATTCAAACATTATAGTCGGAAATAAGTACATAAATTCGTAATGTAATTTTGTTTATGTCAACTAAAGCGCACCAAGTCTCTTTCGTTTGCTCGATTCGACTCATAGTCATTGTACGAAATGTACAAAACCGATAGTCAGTAGGAATAATTGGGAATGCAAATGCAAGCAATTATGTGTCATGTGTTGGATGTGCATTGTACAATCCACATTAGGGTGATACAACAATTCAAAAATGCATCACCTAACCTCGTCCCCTTCATTTTCTTCGGGTCCATTTCAAAGAAGTTGGTAAACATGTGGGCAAAAAATCTCCAAAGCCAAACAGAAAAAAAATAACATCAGCAACCACCCATCCACACACTCATAAATGGTACTCGTACTCATGTATTTTGATCGGATATTAGTCTTTTTGGTTGGAATTTAATGAATCTACAATGTATGTAGTCAAAAGTTTCAAATAGAATTGCTGTTCGCATGAGATGCTTTCAATACATGCAAAACAATTTGCAAACGTTTCACAAATGTTCACAACATTCACCATGCACACGAACCTTTCGCTTTTGTTAAGTTATCATTTGAATATTTAAAATATTTTCCAAAATAATTTTCAGCAGTTTATTTGACACGAGAAAATATAAGCTTTACACTTTCACTTCTTGTTTCTTGTAAGATGTATATGCATGCATTCAAATGAAGAATCCACTTTGGTAAAAGTAGGCTTGACAACGATAATAAAAGATTTTGTGAGGCTGTAGATTGTTGTTTTCGTTGCGGTTGTAAATGGCACAATACTTTTGCGGTGCACACACACACAAGCGGCCACATACCACATGAAGATTGAAACGATTGGGATGTTGAGTGAAATATGTTGAAGCAAGCAATATCTCAAACCACCCTAAAGCAAACTGTGTGTATCAGCAAGATCAGGTAGCAATCCAGTTGTGAAGAGCATCAATCCAATAAAATGCAAACATATCGGCATGTATTGTTATTGGTTTAGTTGATACATTTGGTAAGCTTTGTATAGTAAAATAGTGTATGGTAGCATCATATGTGGAACTGTACTCTGTACTCTGTATATAGTATCGTATATAATATGGTCGATGTGGCTTTTGTTGCTGAAAAAGTGCTTTGGCGTGTGTACCTTGTTTGGACATTTTATGCATTATATAATATAACGTTTGCAGCACAATAATTGAATCCATTCCAATAAGCATGAGTGAGCAATGTAAGCTATAAATGAAGTGACAAAAGCACTACATAATATCAGTGTGTTTTGTTTTTCGGTGAAAGAATTTTAACAGAGAGTTTGTATCATTAATTTACACACATTCATGCACTGTTGCATACACAATTTTCTACATCACAACATATCATGTCATATCATTTGTCAATCTCGCAAATATATTACACATATACATTTATTTACATCGTATGCATAAAATGATCCAAAAACATCACCTTCCCTAGTCAAACTATATTTTGTAAAGGATACAGCATCAAACATCAATTTGTGGTTCAGATGATTTTTAGTTCAGAAATACGCGCGACTCAAGCATCAACACATGCACACACGCACACATACTGGGTTCACGGCAGGTTCACCACAACTATTTTCCTACGTTTGTGTACATGCACCTCTCTCTCTCTCTCTCTCTCTCTCTCTGGGTCTCTTTCCGTGTGTCTCTTTCATTTTCCTTTTGCATGCCTATGCGATGCCTATGTGAAAAACTAATTTACAATTCGAAAATAATTACATTTTGTGTGAGTTCACAATTTTGTAAAACGGAAATGAAAAGGACGCCAAAAATCAATTGTATTGATTTGACGTTTTTGAGGATGCGAAAATAAATTGAACTTTAACTGTTTACATTTCTCTCTCTCTCTCTCTCTACCTCGCTCTATCTCTCTTTCTAGTCGCCGTTTTATTGATCTCCATATAATTTGTATAAAAATAGATTTGAACATCAATTCGATGCAAATTTTTGCTCATATGTCAACCAATTAGTTTGTACATTTGAATATTTTAAATTCGACAGAGAGCATAGTTGATGAATATGCTCTTTGTTTGTCTTTATTTTATGTTTGGCATACTTGGAATTCTTCAAAAGCCCAAAAAAGTACATACATTTGCCGAATGGCATTGTTAAAGCTATTCACTGCCATCGACTTTGTGTCATGTACAGGCAAAATCTTTATTATTATTATTTTTTTTCGCTCGAAAATTGAAATCAGACAACAACAACGAAACAAAAAATTCAATTTCACATTTCTCCGCATGAATGACATGGATATAAGCTATATGTACAAAATGTGTACTACACATGAAGAACCGAAAGAAAACAACAGATCTATTGAATTCAACAACATACACGACAGATTAGACTATTTTCTATTTCTTCACTTTATGGAAATTACATAAAGCCAGATCACATATACCAGATGATATTAGAATGCATGTGCTGTTCCTTTATATTGTCGGATCTAAAACGTACCGAAAGTTCTAGCCAACAAACATTTCATATGATAAAAGAATGTGTGTGGTTGTGTGTAAATAATGAAAATATCCTAACAGATGACTAGTTATTTTTAATAAGCTTTCAAGGTTTTAGGCTGTATTGCCTCGGGGTAGTATCGTAAATAGAATCGTAAAATAGTATGGAGGAACATTTGTTAAAGAAATTTGAATTGAAAATATAAAAAAAGTGGAATATTTAAGAGAGAGATAAAGAAAAAAAATCCATTGGGGTTTGCACTTACCGTAAACATTGAGACGAGACGAGTATTCAGCGCTGCCCATTGAATTAAATGCGAGACATTTGTACAAACCACCGTCTTCGGGTCGCACGTGCGTAATATTCAAGTGACTTATAACATCGCCTGAGATATCCACATATTGGCCGATGGCATATCGTGCAAGTGATGATACCTCAATTATTGGCTGCGAATCCAATTGCCAAACAAACTGGAAACGAATGCGAAAAAAAGCGATAAAATAAAAATAAATTGAACTGTGACATATTAACAAACACAGTCGAAATGATCCAATCAATTTTTTTTGTTCCCTTGAAATGATACACAATAATTTTCCAAGAACTAAAACGAATATATGCTTGTTATGATACTAGATAGAAAATGCAAAAGGTTTATATTATGTCATGAAAATTGATTGGTTTCGTTATAACATTCAACTAGAGAGGAGTTCACAAGTTGACACTACATTTCGGCTGGCAAGTTATATTTTTTAGTTTCTCTTTTTTTATACACATATATAAATATTTATTGTTTTGTGAACTGTATTGAGACTAAATACCAGATGGCACCGCATATGCGATACTCACTTCACTCATGAAGTGTGCGCCCATCTTTTGGTTCTGAATACAATGTACAGTATATGCATAACTTTTTCCCATGGTATTTACCTGTGCTGGTGGTGTTGCAGTTGCAATACATTTGAATGAAACGAATTGACCGGGCCGTACGATTTGTTCGTTAAACGTTGATATAATTTCCGGTGTAATTTCTGTTACGGTTTAAAAAAATGTGTAAACTGCGGCGTTAAAAAGTGAAAGTGACTCTAACATAAATGAAGTGAATGAGATTTTCGGATTATGTTGAAACTTTTTCATTACGTTTAATGTGAAAAGTATACATGATTTTATTGTTTGTGCGTAAATATGCAAGTGTGTTTGTGTGTCTCTTTTTATCATTTAAGTTTTACACTTCACTTACCACCAAGTTTGAGTTCTGCAACTGCTTGTGCGCTGCTATATTTGTTTGCAACCAAACATTGGTACATTCCTTTATCACGTCGACCCACATCATAGACTGCCAGAGAATAAGGTGACAGCAACTTAATTCTAAAATTGTAACCACAAAAAGTAAAAGAGATAAATAGAGATAGCGGAATATAGTAGGTCAATATTATTCACATCAAAATGTATAAATCGATTTTGTGTTGATGTGATGATTAAAACATTTTCAAATTATTCATTGGAATCCACATTTTATCGTTACACATTTTTTATTCAGCAATTATTTGATTGCGGATTTTTCTCGAATTCAAATAAAAACGAATAACAATTTTTTCGTTCGGTATTTTTATTGCACGCAATCACATCAGAAACGCCAACGCATTATTTTGATTACTTTTTGCAATGAGTGTCTCTTAAAAAGAAATGAATTCACCCGTTAAAATGGTTCGCAACACCTTTATTTTTCCACACATACACAAACATGTACTTACTTATTATTTGATACCGGTAGATCCGGTAGAAGAAGAGTTCCGTCATGATACCAATCTATCTTTTCATCGCCTGTTCCAGCTATTGAGCAGTTGAATACGGCTGTTCCACCTGAGTTAACAATTTGCACTTGCGGATGAATATGCACAGACAATATAACTTTGACGTGCAAACGAATTTCTACCCGTATTTCACCAAATTGATTTGTTGCCTTACACACCTATATGCGATTCAAAGAAGACGAAGAAGAAGACAAAAAACCATACATAAACACAACACACCACATAACATTTAAGACGAGCTGTGAACCAACACAATTTTACTAGTTTACAAACAATGCCATCGATAATTTGGCAGTTTTGTTCTCGAACATAAGCAGTAGTCAATACACACAGCAACTGAGGATAGTATCCAAATTGTTCTGAATATCTACATATGCATATGGACATAAAATACGTGTGTTTAGCTCAATGAATCTGGATAAACTTCATAAAAGATTCTTGTCGATCGGATCGTGTTTTCATTAAAACAAATATGTTTAGCATTGACAACGGTTCCAAACTACGTGTTGTCGATTTAAGTCTGACAATAGACACATACAAGCGGATATATTTTTGCAGGCAAAAAAAGGGTGAGAAAAAAGGATAATAATGATTTCATGGCAAATCTAATACGAAAAACTTTTTGAAGAATTTTACATGAGATGAGGGTATTTAGTGAAAAAAAAGACAGGGAAAAGTCGTGTGTGTGTGTGCAAGAGAGAAAGATAGAAAGACAGAGCTTGATGCTCACTAAATATACTAATGATTTCCTTTGGGGACACTTTGCTTTTCTGTATGTACCAGTTGGAATTAATAAAAAAAGCGACTGGAACTTACCCATCTGCCGGCGCTACGTTCATCTGCATTTCTTATGTAAAGTAGAGTATTTGCGGGAATTATTCGTTGTGACGATGGTACCGGATACAGTGCATTTGAATCGGACACACGATACCAACTGAAATGTTTTTTTTTAAACGGTTGAATAATTATTTTTTATCGACAACCGATTCTAACCCATCTCTCGTTGATATATACGGTATAATAAAATCGAAATAATGCAAATAAACTTACGTATAGAATGGCAGTGGGCTTCCTTGAATATTACAGGGTAAATGAATATCATTACCATGATCGACATAAATGTTAAGTACTGGCTTTTGATTTGTTGTTGGCGCCATATTCGTTGTTATATCTGAAATAAAACCGTTCATCCATCAATGGATAAATGTTATTACATCATTTAAAAGTTTTAAATTCGCCGACATGTGTGATCTGATGGTATCAGCACTAAAATAATAATTTTAATATTGTAACAGATCAATAATGGTAAAAAAAAGAGAGAAAACATGCCTTTTGCTGATAACTGCACGGGTTCGCTGATTTTTCGCTCTTTGGTTATTTTATTCATTGTCTGGCATGAAAACTTTTTCAAATTATCATCAGACTTTACGGAACGAATGTATAAATCTCCAATGGTTGACGTCATAAAATATCTTCCTCCTGTTCATACAACATAATCATTAATACGAATAATTCAGTGTGGAAGTGATAAAATTTGGGTATTTTTCATTTGCTAATAATTTTAGTGAACCATATAATTAATGGATATCTACATATTTTGTTAGATTAGTGAATGTCCATTTCTACTGAAATGAATTAATGGTCAGATCATCTATTATGCCATTGTCTATTGGAATTTGTGTGTGTGTACATATTTATGTGAATTTATACCCATATCAGCCATTTCGGCAAGTAGCTCTTCATCGCCACGAAACCACGATGATACCGCAACAAATTTTCGAACATGCTCTGGAATAAAACACCGCAAAAATGCCACATTTCCCATGAATACCTCACTACCATCCACTCGAATATCATATGGTTGCCGCACAACTACGGAATGGAAAGTGATACAAACGAAAGGAAGAAAGTGATAGCGATAGAGAAAAGCCATTCTGACAAATAAACTAACAGAAATGAGTTGAGTGTCTGTATTAGTGCTCAATTAAATATTTATTGTATTTCTACCGAGAAAAATTATCCCCGATCAGACACATACGACCAATTCGATATATACGGGGGCTACAATTTCTATCAAATGTGCAATATTATTGCAATATAAAATTAGTTATTTTACGATTGCAATTAATTGAATTTCCGAAATGTCTGTTCAGGATTCGTAATAAATGCGAAAACACTAAATAATGAATGATAATAAGTTTTTCTCTGATTTTCCATATAATATTTTAGATCGCATTTTTTTTTGTTTGCATGCAAAAATAAAAATAAATGCCATTTATTTTAAACGGACTGTTTTATGATTTAAGTATAAAAATACCTGCACTTATGTGAACATCACGGCTTAAAATGGCACCGACCTGATTCGATACTTTGCATCGATAAATTGTCTCGTGCACATCAGCTCGATAATATGTCCCCGCAAATGGGGGAAAGAGGAGGGTTCCATTTGGCAAAATTTGTCTGCATGCATGTGTTTTCGACCGACATGAAAGGCAAAATTGCATTACATTATTTAAAGAGAAGATGGTATAAGCTTATTTACAAATAAATAATGAAGCTTCTAATTATTTTTATTGTCACATTTGTTTTTTCTTCGTCTTCGTTGTGTTGTGTTCATCTTCAGTGTATTTTCAAGACTTTCACTATAGTGCAACGAAGCTTTGCAACACATAAACTTTTGGATTAAAATACAGTGCAGTACGTTGTACGCTTTGAGAATAGCAATGTTAATAATTGATGAAATAAACGGGAATTTCTTTTCCCGAAAATATCAACTTTCTTACATGTATAATAATATTAAACGAAACATAATATAAATTTAAAATTTGTGTGACGTAGTAGGCCTTTTGTAGAAGGAATTAATTCATAAAGAGACCGACAGTGATGCAAATGTAGACGAGATAGCAAACAGACTATTGAAGATGATGCGAATGTTTATGATTATGTGATTGTAAATAATATACCTTAATCCCGGCACCGATGATATTGGCGAACCGTCTTTTTGAACCCACGTCACAATTGGATTCCCATGAGCTGAACACGATATTTGTGAACCACTTTCATTACTAAATACCAATTCAGATATTGGCTCTTGCACAAAGAGTGGTGCTTGGACACCATTATCAACTAGAGATGCGATTGTTACATAAAAGAACTCTGCAATGGCAATTCCAATAGCGAGAAAGAGAGAAATGACAGGAAAACAAGAGATGAATATTATGTTAAATCGATCACAATTATTCATTATACTAAAAATCATATTTCCTTAAATTTAATATCCGACTTTTTTGGGGAGACTATGAAAAGCTCAAAGCTTATTTTATTGTGTTTGAACAAAAGAGAACCCATTCGTTTTGAAATAATCATCCCAATGAAAACAAAAATGCATACAAAAAATCATTCAGACTACCAAAGTGACATGTGAAACTATATAAAACTCAACAACACATACTTGGTGAGTGGCAATGCAGCCATCACCGCTTAACCACCATCAAACTTTTTTTTTTATTACAACCCATATAATACCAACAATACTGGCAAGCTGAAGGCATTGTGTAAGCCACTTCGGTATGCACAGTGTACAGTATATTATCATAATAAAAAAAATCTACTGGTGAAACCATCGAATCGATTTGAATTTGGATTCATAAGCTTTGTTAATCTACTTTGACTTTCTAAGTATCAAAGATAAACCAATATCATTTATGTTTCTTACAATGTAGCAAGAATAATGGTGGTATGCCATCGGGCAAAAATTGTATTTTTGTTAAACATTTTGGTAGTTGCCAGAAATTCTAATATATTTTTCCTTAACTACCACTAGTTTTCTATAAAACGTCTTCTTTTCTCTATCATATAGAAAATGATGTTTTGTTGAACACCGGAATATTAGAAATCATCGTGTAAACATTCGATATGAGATGATTATTCGAGTTGATTTTCTGTTATTTCTCCATTGATCCCAAAACATCAATTATAAACCATTTACATAAACGAACAGAATTGATTTTCTGCATTTTTAAACAGTTCATTTTGGCATTTTTCAATTGAACAATTCTCAATTTCGATCGATTAATTTAAATGTTCTGTAAAAAATCGCTCATCTATTTTTAATGAGCAAATGAAAAGAATGGGAAAAAATGCGGATTATATCTATAAAGCTACTGTCTTTCTTTGAAAGTCGATAGAGCCATATCCCCTTTATCACGGTTAAATGAATTCGTATCTCGTATACTTACCAGCACATATAAGAAGTTGCACATTGATTTTTGCAGGTAAATGCATTTCTTGGATCGAAATTCCTATGCTCTCTGTGTAAACGATTTTGTGAGATGATTTTTTTTTTCGTATTATGTGTATAAATACAACATTTGGCAACAGCTCAATGAAGACACACAGCATAAAATTTGTTTGTTTTGGTCCATTTGGTTATGTCCCCCAATATATAATATGGTTTAGTACATAATATAAAAATCGAAGAAAAAAAACGATAAATAAAAGAAATAATTTGAAGTCTCATCAAAGATAACAACAACAAATAAAAGAAATCGCTTGAAATTCGTTTGTTTGTCACTTTTCGTAAAAATGTATTTTATCTTCTCAAGATAGAGCTGCAAAAGCATCACAATTCCGCCCGCAATCGTACATGCGGATAATTCAAAAGAAATAAACGAACGAACATCAGTTAGACTGATGTTTATTCGTTTAATCCGTTGTGTAGCTATGCTATAAAAACATTTCGATGATGTACAGTAGTTTGTACACAGGTTATCAACTCTGTTTCTCTCTCTCTCTCTATCACTCGTGCTCTTTTTGTTTGTTGTTGAAATGATTTTGCATTGCTTCTTGTTCAAAGACAAGAAAAGTCAAGACACAAATGCACAAAAAAGTTAAAAAAATTGAAGTGAGTTTATGTGCTGAAACAATAGAATATTTTCACAATTCACATCACATCATAAATCATTTTCTTTTTAGTCAGTCAGTCAGTCAGTATGTTTATTTAAAATATTGTCAAAATGAGCGAACGAAGAAAAAAAATGTTCATCCACCATCATCAAAATGTGTTTGAACAATGCACACGTAAAAGTTCTAACCGACCGACCAACCAACTCAATTTGCGTTGATAAAAAGCATTAATATAAACTTTGTAATCGTTTTGGCAGTTTGCTCGAAATATTACGAACAATGAACCACTTCCATGCAGGCGAAAATCGTGTAATATGAAAATCGGTTTTTCCGTTATTCATTTAAACTCTAATTTCTTGTTTACATCCATTTATCATTCATCACGATCATATTTCTTGGAGATTTTGTGTTTTCGTTTTTTTTTATTTGTTCGCATAAGTTTTATCTTAAATCGTTGTGCACCTGTTCACATTCACGTTGAGAGTTATACTGTTATTATTATTTTTTCAGCAAATATTTGCCGGTCTTAATTTGATTTTAATTCTATATCAATAACACGCACACACACAAAATGAAGAATTATTCAAATTGATGATAATTCACAGTTAAAACTGTTATTTTAAATGCGATCAAAAAATAATAATGCCGGCGCCCAAAGCTATTTAGAGATCATCTATTTACTTATATTTTTATCATCTAAAATGGAAGCACCATAAAATAAATCACCAAATGTTGTCTATTTTATTTGATTATTTATTTTTCCGATTTATTGACAACGACAAAATTCACCAAACAAAAATAAAGCACTTCAAATACGATAAAAATGAATTCGAATAAAATTCATTTTATTTTAAAACAAACGATTATGATGTGAAATAACGATCCGAAAAATCAACAACGAAAAAAAAAAAAAAAAAATGATGCGATTAACAAATTTATATTTCGAAAAATAGTACAACGATTGACACACACGATTGTCATTATAACACTAATCTCACCTCCGAAAGCGTTCGTATCCGTCTAGTTCACTCCAAACTTCGATCCCAACTGAAAAATGTTTCATTCAGTTGATGAGGAGAAACCATGAGCCAAACACAAACAATGTATTCAACACAAAAAGTTCGTTCATCCAGCAAAACACAGACACAAATGATAATAAAATACACAACAAAAATGAACAAACCAATTTTCATTGAGTGTGCACTATACACACGGACGAAACTAGATAACAGCAGCAGCAACAACAACAATAACGGCGGCGGCAATGGCAGTAGTGACGGCTACAAAAGCAACACCAGCATAGTATATGAATAGGGGATGGTGTGGTGTGTTCGATTCAATTCGAACACAAGAGTCGAAGAGTCGAAGAGAACGGACCAAAAGCGAATAGCGCAGTGTACAAAGAAATCCCAAGCGAAATGGAAATACCAATAGCAACAGTAACATAGACACATACGAAGCATTTTACCCGTTGTGTGTTGCCATTTCATGAAGCGATTTTTCAATACACTTCTCATGTAACCGAACGGGTTTGAATGATGTTACTGTGGAAAAAGGCACATGCGGCGGTTTTCATATGACGATAAACCGCATCGCACGCTACAACATATACGAAAAGGAACAGAGAGAGAGAGAGAAAGGAGGAGGGAAGGTGAACGATGATGCACACACATTCCAAAAATGAAAGAATATCCTGTTCTTCTCTATGGTTTCGGGATGTATATCATTTCAGAATTGCCGACGTAAAACGAATGTATCAACAACATTCTGAGTGACTCTTCCATGACAGATTATGTTGACCTTTTAGTATACACATTATATCCAAAATTGAAGTACATTTGTGTGTGTGTGTGTAAAAGAGAGAAAGATATCGAAAAGCTCGAAATGTGTGCACCTATCTGCTTGCAAGCCGACAACATTCAAAAGCATTGATACAACAAAATAAGTTTCAGTTTTAGTTTTGAGCACAACAATCTATTTCAATGTGAAATGTCACTTGTTTTGAGTACGACCAAAGTTTTCCTTATTTCTTCTGCTCTCTCTCTCTCTCTCTCTCCTTCTCTTTCTCTATCAATTTCTCTCTAGCCCATTCAGATAAACTTATTTAATAGACAGGTTATTCTACACAGTTTGTGATGAGTGACACAACGTTCGTTCGTTCGTTTTCGTTTTATTCAAAATATCGTGACCAAGTGTAACATAGTGCCCCAAGAGATAGATAATGTCACATGAGTCGGTAGTACTGTCACTTGCTTGCACATTACACTTGAAACAATTCGTTATAAAGTGTGCAAAAGAACGCTTTGCAGAAGAAAAAAAAGCACACAAGCACATACACCGAATTGAAGACTGAAGAGGGGAAGAACGGAGTAAATTAAAAGTAAAATTTGGTAGAAACTTTTAGCGAAAATCTTGTAATGAAGTTCAAATTGCATACGGAATAATTAACAGATATTTTTTGTGAGTTATTTTAATCATTTTTCGATGCACGCGCCACACAAATCATACAACGGACACTTGCACTCACACACACACACATACACACCATACCACATCAATAAAAGCAATAATGGTATTGTAACATAAATTGCATTGGATATGCACTCTGATCATAATGATGATGATGATCAAAACGTGTTGTACATTCTATGTGCTATGTGTGCGCTTATGAATGTATTGAAAACCACAATGCAGGCAGTTCGATTTTCAAAGCTCATTAAAATTGAGTTATTTTGAATATGATGGCTACATTGACCCGCATTCATATGTGCTTTCATACAATGTGGAAAACATTTTTGGACATGGACATACTCGGCTGTATTTCTCCATAAAATCCAAATAATTTATTCGAATAAGTATGCGAAACAACAATTTTCCATTGAAATTGACTTGCATTTTTTTGTTATGTATTTTTAGATTATTTTACATAATTGTGTTTGTGTGCCAGCCGCCACCGGCGATACATTGGATTTTCATCAAAATCATGTACGCTTTCTTGTTGTATGTATGCTCGTTCTCTATCAAAATGTTACATATCTACAGCAGAAGCAACATCATCATCACGGGCGCACACATTATTCAATGCAGATTTGTGCCAGAAATCTATTTACATTTTATTTTCATTTTCAGAAATTGATAATAATAATTTTTCGACGAAAATCGAATAATGTATCTATTGAGGCGTTTTTTTTTTGTTGTTTATCAAATAATTGTCTATTGTAAAGAAAAATGTTCAAAACTCATACGTTTTCATCTCATGCTTCATAAAACACACACACACACACTCTCACAAAATTCTCGCAACGATTCTGAAGCTTTTTCAAAATCAAAGCTAATTAAATTCACATGCACATACACAACATTACATATTACGTACTTGAAAATTTGATGATGCTCCTTCTACTTTATGCTTTATCTTTCAAAAGTCGAGATAATATGAGAGAAAAAAAGTTATTAAAACTCTTAAAGCACTATATCATATCATATCATAGAAAATACGAAGTGATTTGTTTACTGTATGTATTATCACCTTCGTTGTTGTCCATGTGTGTGTGTGTCTGTATTATTATTATTCTTTTTATTCTTTATACGCAAATATGGAGGTACTTCTGAAGCTTAGACTAATAAAGCAATTCAGTGAATTGTTTACGATTGCTAGCAATGAAAGAAATTCTTTTACTCTCGCATCGTTTTTATAATTCACTTTCATCTATTCATTTCTGTCCTTTCTGTTTATATATTTTTTCCATTCTCTCATATTCAACGGAAATGCATATATGGTCTCTGAATGTCTGTTTTTACCATTGCATTCGAAACAAATTTAACCTTAGGATTGGACGATTCCATGCAAAAACCAAGTCAATGTGCAACATGTTGCCTAAATAAATATTTACACTATTTCGTTGCAAATTTTTCTCTAAGCAATGTAATCTTTAAGCGCAATGAACGGGAGCAAGAAAATGGGCAAGAATGAAGCCGATTTATGTAAATTGTATTTATTTTGTTTATCGATTAAATATTATTCTTTATGGTCTAGGAGAAAGTTGCTTTCAAAATGGTATTTAATTCGAAAAAAAATGGTATTTGAATTGTGTTGGAATTGTCGCGTTGTCGGAGTTGCAAAAGCAACAGTAATGCAACCAACTATTGTAAAACATGATAGGAAACACAGTAAATTATGTGCTCTCTTTCAAGCACAAACAGCCGGTGCGCTACGGAGCGCTGTGCATCATCATAATCATCATCCATTGAATGTACATTTGGTACGGAAAACACATTAAGAGGAGTTAGAATATATACAAAAGTCAAATGTCTCCTTGTAAATCGGTGCTCCACTTTAGGGTACCCATGCCCATTCATATAAAATATTGAATTTTACCAGCAAATTTATTGATTTTAGCGTCAACATTTTGTTTTTGTTTTTTCACGAAAAAGATCCCGAATTTATGGAAAAAAAATCGTTGGGGAAAAAGTATTTTTAAATATTTATTTTCAATACAATTTTCCGACATTCCTTTTTTACAATGTGCGAAGGAACATATTCACACTTTAC